TGCAGAAGGGGCCTACATCTCTGCATCCAGTCCCACATTGAGAATCCAAAGCCCAGGGGGTATCTGCCCACTCACAGTGTCCAGTCCAAGAGAGTGTGCCTCCAGTCCAGTTTGCTCCCGGTCACAATTCTCGCCATCCGCCACGTATCGCCACCACTGCCGTCCCTCCTCATTACTCAAGCGCCAGCGAGTTAAGTCTGTGGCAGGTTCTGTTTTGTATGGGCCGCCTCTTCTTCTCCGCAAACATCTAATGAGTTATCCAGAAAACAAATAAACTCCAAACAACAGAACTCATCTTACAATGCTTAAAAAAACCCCAACCTGAATAGATCAAAAAAGGGCCCCAAAGAAACAGCTTCAATATAAACTGCAGCAAGCACCAAATACCATGTGTTTCTTGTAAAAGCATCTCAGATTCTTCCTTTTCTGTTCTATTGTGTTGTTGTTTTTCTGAATCTTTGTATGAGTAACATAGCTGATATGCTCAGAGAGAAATCTTTGCTTTTTCCTAAGATAAATATTCCATAGTTGTGGATTCACTTGTACAAGAAGTCCCCAGATTACAAACAAGCCAGGTTCTGTAGGTTTGTTCTTCAGCTGAATTTGTATGTAAGTTTGAACAGGTATGTTTTTGTGTTACTTCAACCATATGCGTGTGTGTGTGTGTTTTTTTTTGGGGGGGGGGGGGTAATTCTGATGATGTTGATGTTGTTATGTTTTGGTTTTTTTTGCTGTAATATGTTGTTTGAGCTTGGCCCCATGTAAGCCACCCTGAGTCGCCGCGGAGAGTAGAGCAGCCGGAGCAGAGGGTGTCCGCAATTGACAGAGCGGCGCCGGGTGGGTGTTGCCAGGGAATGCTGGCGTTCCCTGGCCACGCCCACCTGGTGCTGCTCCGTCACTTTGGAACACCCTCTGCTCCGGCCGCTCTCCCTGTGTGGAAGGGAGAAGCCTCCCAGCTGGGTCCTCTGCAGCTGGGAGGCTTCTCCCTCCACACAGGGAGAGCGGACGGAGCAGAGGGTGTCCGAAATTGGCGTAGCGGCGCCGGGTGGGCGTGGCCAGGCCAGGCCGCGTGGGCCGGAGAAATGCCCACGGCGGGCCGCATATGGCCTGCGGGCCATAGTTTGGGGACCCCTGATCTAGACTACTGCAACGCTCTCTACGTGGGGTTGCCTCTGAAGACTGCCCGGAAGCTGCAGTTAGTCCAACCGGCAGCAGCCAGATTACTAACAGGAGCGGGGTACAGGGAGCATACTACTACTCTGTTGCACCAGCTCCACTGGCTGCCAATTAGCTTCCGAGCACAATTCAAAGTGCTGGTGTTGACCTATAAAGCCCTAAACGACTCTGACCCAGTTTACCTGTCCGAACGGATTCTCCCCTATGAACCATCAAGGTTGTTAAGATCTTCTGGAGGGGCCCTGCTCTCGGGTCCACCATCGCGTCTGGTGGGGACGAGGGACAGGGCCTTCTCGGTGGTGGCCCCTTGGCTCTGGAACTCTCTCCTATTGGAGATTAGAACTGCCCCTTCCCTCCTGACCTTTAGAAAGTTGGTGAAAACCTGGCTCTGGAATCTGGCATTTGATGAGTGAGGCAATGGCTTTTGACCACATGGACGGATGGGGATGAATAGTGATTTTTATGCTAACGACTTGGCTTTATATTATTATATGATAGTATTTTAATGTGTTTATATTAGTGTATTATTGATGTGATGTTTTTAAACTATTGTGTATGAACCCCCTTGTTGTAAACCGGCCTGAGTCCCTCGTTGGAGGTGAGAAGACCGGTATATAAAAGTTCTAAATAAATAAATAAATAATCTGGATTGTATATTTATTTATTTATTTATTTATTTACTTTGCTTATATACCGCTGTTCTCAGCCCAGGGGCGACTCACAGCGGTGTACAACATAGGAACAACAAAATTCAAGACATAGTATAAAAACAATTCTGGCCCCAGAGTGGCCGTTGGTGTTGGGGGAGGGGCGCTGATGTCACAGGGGACAAGATGGCAACGTCCTCCTGGCTCCCCTTCTTTATTCTGGCCCCAGAGTGGCCGTTGGTGTTGGGGGAGGGGCGCTGATGTCACAGGGGACAAGATGGCAATGTCCTCCTGGCTCCCCTTCTTTATTCTGGCCCCAGAGTGGCCGTTGGTGTTGGGGGAGGGGCGCTGATGTCACAGGGGACAAGATGGCAATGTCCTCCTGGCTCCCCTTCTTTATTCTGGCCCCAGAGTGGCCGTTGGTGTTGGGGGAGGGGCGCTGATGTCACAGGGGACAAGATGGCAATGTATTCCTGGCTCCCCTTCTTTATTCTGGCCCCAGAGTGGCCGTTGGTGTTGGGGGAGGGGCGCTGATGTCACAGGGGACAAGATGGCAATGTCCTCCTGGCTCCCCTTCTTTATTCTGGCCCCAGAGTGGCCGTTGGTGTTGGGGGAGGGCGCTGATGTCACAGGGGACAAGATGGCAATGTCCTCCTGGCTCCCCTTCTTTATTCTGGCCCCAGAGTGGCCGTTGGTGTTGGGGGAGGGGCGCTGATGTCACAGGGGACAAGATGGCAATGTCCTCCCGGCTCCCCTTCTTTATTCTGGCCCCAGAGTGGCCGTTGGTGTTGGGGGAGGGGCGCTGATGTCACAGGGGACAAGATGGCAATGTCCTCCCGGCTCCCCTTCTTTATTCTGGCCCCAGAGTGGCCGTTGGTGTTGGGGGAGGGGCGCTGATGTCACAGGGGACAAGATGGCAATGTCCTCCCGGCTCCCCTTCTTTATTCTGGCTCAGTGCCATTCTTTATTATGGCAGTGCAGAAGGGGCCTACTGCTCTCGGGGTGAGAGAGAGCAGGATATAAGTATAGCTAATAATAATAATAATAATATTTTATTTATTTATTTATTTACTTTGCTTATATCTCAAGCCCGAAGGCGACTCACAGCGGTTCACAAACAGTAAAAACAGTAGAAACAGCAGTGGTTCCATACAACATATAACAATTGACTTAACACATTATCCATAAATTACCAATAAGCAATTACAATGCACAATTATTACAAAAAAAAACCGTACCCAATCTTCTCATCATCCAAGCATAATAGAGCATGTAATTTAAGATGCAATTATTAACACATTGCACTAATTATTCGAACGCCTGCTCAAACAGCCAGGTCTTCACTTTTTGCGGAATACCATTAGAGATGGTGCTAGTCTAATGTCCGTAGGAAGGGCGTTCCACAGCCGAGGAGCCACCACCGAGAAGGCCCTATCTCTCGTCCCCGCCAGCCGAGCTTGAGAAGCAGGCGGGATCGAGAGCAGGGTCTCCCCAGAAGATCTCAAAGTCCTGGTGGGTTCATAGGCAGAGATGCGGTCAGATAGGTAGCTTGGGCCGGAACCGTTTAGGGCTTTAAAGGCCAACGCCAGCACTTTGAATTCAGTCCGGTAGCAGATCGGTAGCCAGTGGAGTTGGCGCAACAGGGGGGTTGTATGCTCCCTGCGCTCCGCTCCTGTTAAAATCATGGCTGCCGAGCGTTGGACTAGTTGGAGCTTCCGAGCTGTCTTCAAAGGCAACCCCACGTAGAGAGCGTTGCAGTAGTCTAAACGGGATGTAACCAGAGCGTGGACTACCGTGGCCAAGTCAGACTTCCCAAGGTACGGGCGCAACTGGCGCACAAGCTTTAGCTGTGCAAATGCTCCCCTGGTCACCGCCGAAACCTGGGGTTCCAGGCTCAGCGATGAGTCCAGGGTCACCCCCAAGCTGCGAACCTGCGTCTTCAGGGGGAGTGCGGCCCCATCCAACACAGGCTGTAACCCTATGCCCTGTTCGGCCTTGCGACTGACCAGGAGTACCTCTGTCTTGTCTGGATTCAATTTCAATTTGTTTGCCCTCATCCAGACCGTCACAGCGGCCAAGCACCGGTTCAGGACCTGGACAGACTCCTTAGTAGCAGGTGGAAAGGAGTGACAGAGTTGGACATCATCCGCGTACAGATGACACCGTACCCCGAAACTCCGGATGATCTCCCCCAGCGGCTTCATGTAGATGTTAAACAACATGGGAGACAATATTGAGCCCTGAGGAACCCCACAAGACAATGGTTGTGGGGTTGAACAGGTGTCCCCCAACAACACCTTCTGAGATCGACCCTCCAGGAATGACCGGAGCCACTGCAGAACAGTGCCTCCAAGGTCCATTCCTGCGAAGCGTCCCAGAAGGATACCGTAGTCAATGGTATCGAACGCCGCTGAGGGGTCCAGCAGAACTAACAGGGACACACTCCTCTTGTCTAGCTCCCGGAGTAGATCATCAACTCAGGCAACCAAGGCTGTTTCGGTACCATGTCCCGGCCTAAAACCAGACTGTGCCGGATCCAGATAATGTCTTCCAAGAATACCTGGAGTTGTGAGGCCACCACACATTCCAGGACTTTGCACAAAAAGAGAAGATTGGAAACAGGCTGATAGTTGTCAAATTGAGTGGGGTCCAGTGCTCGGGGTGAGAGAGAGCAGGATATAACTATAGCTAATAATAATAATCATCATCATAATCATAATCATAATCATAATAATAGATGGGAAGGGAAGGGAACTATGTCAGGCTGAGAGTCACCCTCTTCTCAACAGCAGGAGTAAAGGACATGCCTGAACCTGAAAGATAATGTGGAATGATATTGGCAATCGATTTCCTCCAAAACTTTTAACAAACATCAGATAACAGAGTCTCGTAAGGTGTGGTTTGAGATGATGATAAAGCAAGGCATTGGGATACTGGGCTGTGCCCGAGCACACAGCTGGTGATGGAGAAAGCTTGGGAGGGAGATCTGTATGCAAATATGAAGAAGAAATCACCTGTGTGTCATGAATTGGAAAAGTACTGCACATGTTTCCAAAAGGCACCAAATCCCTCTGAAGAAATTCTAGGAATTGGGTGGGGGAGGGGGGGAGTCTATGCTGAGGACATTCTTTTGCTATAAACTTCATTTCCCCATCAAACTAGAGTGATTTGACACATGTTGATAGTTTTGATCTGTTCATATACTATTAAACCAACCATGTGCTGCAACCTGTAGAAAATTCTGCTCCGGGTTTGACAGTGTTGTTCCTGTTTAATTGTTCAAAGTTTAATTACTTTGAAAGTAGTTGTTCTACTCCCGCCTTCTTCACAGATTCAGTTGGCGGGGACAAGAAACAGGGCCTTCTCAGCGGTGGCCCCTTGGCTGTGGAACGCCCTCCCTAGGGACATTAGATCGGCCCCCACTCTCTTAAGATTTTGCAAAAAAAGTCAAAACCTGGCTTTTTGAGCAGGCTTTCTCAAATGCAGTGTAGCAGACAACCCCTGATCTCGGAACAACTGGACAGTGCAATTGGATAATGATTTTTGTAACGAGATGCGGACGATCTATGTTTTATGGGTTTTAAGGGTCCGGAGAAAAAGCCCTATGAGGAGTGGCTTAAGGAGCTGGTCATGTTTAACCTTCAGAAGAGAAGGCCATGTATAAATATGTGAGAGGAAGTCACAGGGAGGAGGGAGCAAGCTTGTTTTCTGCTTCCCTGGAGACTAGGACACAAACAATGGCTTCAAACTACAAGAAAGGAGATTCCATCTGAACATGAGGAAGAACTTCCTGACTGTGAGAGCTGTTCAGCAGTGGAACTCTCTGCCCCGGAGTGTGGTGGAGGCTCCTTCTTTGAAAGCTTTTAAACAGAGGCTGGGTGGCCATCTGTCAGGGGTGCTTTGAATGCAATATTCCTGCTTCTTGGCAGGGGGTTGGACTGGATGGCCCATGAGGTCTCTTCCAACTCTAGGATTCTATTATTTACTGATTTTATGTTAAATGTTTTAACTATTTTATGTTATTGTGGGCTTCAAATTGTGCCATCTTGTAAACCGCCCTGAGTTGCCCTCGGGCTGAGAATGGCGGTATATAAATATAGTAAATAAATAAATAAATATTCCAGAAACTTTGTTTTGTGTCTGCCACAAACTAGGTTGAATTGGTTGAGGCCCCATGAGATATTCACTGAAAAACTAGAACAAAATGTGCTGCGGGTGGTCCCCCAGAAACAAAGTTTTGGCAGTTGAATAAACTTTTAGTTTTTTTATGATAGAACTCATTAGGAAATGGCATTTATAACCCAGAGACAAAAATCGTGTTATACAGTGTCATACATAAATAAACTTGGTTGTTTTAGGTTTTTTCGGGCTATATGGCCATGTTCTAGAGGAATTCTCTCCTGACGTTTCGCCTGCATCTATGGCAAGCATCCTCAGAGGTAGTGAGGTCTGTTGGAACTAGGAAAATGGGGTTTATATATCTGTGGAATGACCAGGGTGGGACAAAGAACTCTTGTCTGCTGGAGCTAGGTGTGAATGTTTCAACTGCCCACCTTGATTAGCATTTGATGGGATATAGCATTTGATGGCCTGGCAGTGGAGCCCCCGGTGGCGCAGTGGGTTAAACCCCTGTGCCAGCAGGACTGAAGACCGACAGGTCACAGGTTGAAATCCGGGGAGAGGCAGATGAGCTCTCTCTATCAACTCCAGCTCCCCATGTGGGGACATGAGAGAAGCCTCCCACAAGGATGATAAAAACATCAAATCATCTGGGCGTCCCCTGGGCAACGTCCTTGCAGACGGCCAATTCTCTCACACCAGAAGCGACTTGCAGTTTCTCAAGTCACTCCTGACACGACCAAAACAAATGGGGCAATCTTTTGTTGAGAGGTGATTAGATATCCTGTATACCATGCAGCTGTGGACAGGTCCACATAGGAACCACCAAACACAGCATTGCCCAAATACGAATCAAGGAACATGAAAGGCACTGCAGACTACTCCAACCAGAGAAGTCAGCCATAGCAGAGCACCTGATGAAACAACCTGGACACAGCATATTATTTGAGAACACAGAAATGCTGGACCACTCCAACAACCACCATGTCAGACTACACAGAGAAGCCATTGAAATCCACAAGCATGTGGACAATTTCAACAGAAAGGAAGAAACCATGAAAATGAACAAAATCTGGCTACCAGTATTAAAAAACTCTAAAATTACAACAGCAAAACAACAGAGAGGAAACAAACAAGGACATCTAATCACCTCTCAACAAAAGATTGCCCCAGGCACTGCCAGGCATCAAATGCTATATCCCATCAAATGCTAATCAAGGTGGTCAGTTGAAACATTCACACCTAGCTCCAACAGATAAGAGTCCTTTGTCCCACCCTGGTCATTCCACAGATATATAAACCCTTTTCCTAGTTCCAACAGACCTCACTACCTCTGAGGATGCTTGCCATAGATGCAGGCGAAACGTCAGGAGAAAAATGCCTCTAGAACATGGCCATATAGCCCGGAAAAACCTACAACAACCCATGTACAAATATGTGAGAGGAAGTCATAGGGAGGAAGCTTGTTTTCTGCTTCCCTGGAGACTAGGACACGGAAGAATGGCTTCAAACTACAAGAAAGGAGATTCCACCTGAACATGAGGAAGAACTTCCTGACTGAGAGCCGTTCAGCAGTGGAACTCTCTGCCCCGGAGTGTGGTGGAGGCTCCTTCTTTGGAAGCTTTTAAACAGAGTCTGGATGGCCATCTGTCTGGGGTGCTTTGAATGCAATTTTCCTGCTTCTTGTCAGGGGGTTGGACTGGGTGGTCTGTGAGATCTCATCCAACTCAAGGATTCTATGAAACTGCCTTAACTCTACCGTGTAGATGTGCAGGACAAGCAGCTCAGAGGCGCCGTACTCACGTGCCCTCCATTCTGCTGCTCTCCGGCAGAAACGCAGCTCGCGCCGATCCCAACTCACACAAACAGCGGCTGGAGTCCAGGCTGAGCGCCGTCGGCAGCCAAGCCTCACAGTACACTTTCACGCTAGCGGCATGCCGGGAGCTGAAGTCTTTTACAGGCAGCCGGCGCTTCACGTTTACCAGAGAGAAACTACAACACCCAAGATCCTCCGAGGCAACATGCCATCTGGACTGATATAAGCCGACCAAGGCGCCGACCAATCACAGAGGTCTCCGATGAGGCGGTGGGCGGGGCCCGATGGGCTGGATTGCATCTGGGGCTTTTGTTGGGGTTTCACAAATGAGGGAGAAAAAAAGCCTACATAGGGACCACCAAACGCAGCATTGCCCAAACACGAATCAAGGAACATGAAAGGCACTGCAGACTACTTCAACCAGAGAAGTCAGCCATAGCAGAGCACCTGATGAACCAACCTGGACACAGCATATTATTTGAGAACACAGAAATGCTGGACCACTCCAACAACTACCATGTCAGGCTACACAGAGAAGCCATTGAAATCCACAAGCATGTGGACAATTTCAACAGAAAGGAGGAGACCATGAAAATGAACAAAATCTGGCTACCAGTATTAAAAAAAACTCAAAAATTACAACAGCAAAACAGCAGAGAGGAAACAACCAAGCACAGCTTAACACCTCTCAACAAAAGATTCTCCCAGGCTCAGCCAGGCCTTCAAATGCTAATGAAGGTGGTCAGTTGAAACATCCACACCTAGCTCCAGCAGAGAAGAGCTCTTGGCCCCACCCCAGTCATTACACAGATATATAAACCCATTGTCCTACAGACCTCACTACCTCTGAAGATGCTTGCCATAGATGCAGGTGAAACGTCAGGAGAGAATGCCTCTAGAACATGGCCATATAGGCCGAAAAAACCCACAATAACCTATAAGCCTCTCTTTGTTTGACGCCACAGCTCCAGGATGGTTGTGTTTGGAATGGGAACGCTGCAACTGCCTGGCACGGTGGTTTGGTTGTTGAACTAGGGCAGTGGTTCTCAACCTTCCTAATGCCACGACCCCTTAATACGCTTCCTCATGTTGTGGTGACCCCCAACCATAACATTATTTTCGTTGCTACTTCACAACTGTAATTTTGCTATTGTAATGTAAATATCTGATATGCAGGATGTATTTTCATTCACTGGACCAAATTTGGCACAAATACTCAATACACCCAAATTTGAATACTGGTGGGATTGGAGGAGGGTATTGATTTTGTCCTGTGGGAGTTGTAGTTGCTGGGATTTACAGTTCACCTACAATCAAAGAACATTCTGAACCCCACCAACGATGGAATTGAACCAAACTTGGCACACAGTTCTCCCATGACCAACAGAAAATACTGAAAGGGTTTGGTGGGCAGTGTCCTTTGGTTTTGGAGTTGTAGTTCACCTACATCCAGAGAGCACTGTGGACACAAACAATGATGGATCTGGACCAAACTCTACAAGAATACTCAATATGCCCAAATGTGAACACTGGTGGAGTTTGGAGAAAATAGAATCTGACATTTGGGAGTTGTAGTTGCTGGGATTTATAGTTCACCTACAATCACAGAGCATTCTGAACCACACCAACAATAGGGCCAAACCTCCCACACAGAACCCCCATGTGGGCCACAGCAACGCGTGGCAGGGGACGGTTAGTATATATATATAGACAGACAGACTTGGTTAGCATAAGGGTTAACCCCCCTCTGATGTTTGTATTGCTGCCTGTGTCCCTGTTCAGAAGATTTCACCCCACTTTCTGTCCCTGTGATTGGATTTTGAAAAATGTGGCTTGTTGTGGAATCGGGGATTGGTTATACAAAATTTCAGTAGAGACACCTTTTTCCCATGAAAACTCTTCCAGGAGTGAATTTCCCTTCTGTGGGATAGATTTCTCTCACCCCCGTTCTTAACTAGGAGTCGTTTTTAAGTCGGATGTCAGTAACTCAGGGACTGCCTGTATAATAGGTAATATTGCATACATGTTTCCATTGTTGTTGTATGCCTTAATGTCGTTTTTGACCTGTGAAGGTCATCACCTTCATCTAAGGCTCAGAGAGAGTACTCAAACTCTGATCTCCAGAGTTTTAGTCTGCATCTAAAAATAACTCCAGAAATGGGGAGGATCCCATCAGGCCTTATTCAGTGGTGTTGCCATCTTGTGAATGACTGGAGAGACAACTAGCGGGAACCCTGTGAAACTCTATGCCCCACCCTTTCAAGGCATAAGAGGGTCACTCATGGGTGGCTTGTGGTTGCAGAGAGAATGTGTAACTTGCAGGATTCCAGTTTGGCCAGAGGCACGAGACAGAAAGAGAGAGAGGGGCCCGCTTGCATTCTTCAGTTGGACAGTAAGAGCAAGAGTGACACTCCTTCCTAGCAATTTGCTCCACTGAGAGAATGGGCGCAGAAAAATAGAGGAAGAAGATAAGATGGGAGTGGTTTTTTTAAAAAACGCAGAAATTAGAGAAAGGATGGGCAGGACCAATATACAAAGTGATGGTCAAGGAGAGTGAATATATGATAAGGACAATACAAACTAAAAGACAGAAAGAAGGACCACATATAAGTCAAATAATAGAGAGCCTAGTGAAGGTGGATCAAGAAAATTAAACTGGAAGATTATAAAGTAATTGGAAATATTTTTTATTAAAATGATATAGGACTCCAGCCCAACTCTCATCTATATAAATAAAAATGTAATGTTTGTTTGTGGGATTAACAGAACTCATAAACCACTGGGCGAATTGAGACCAAATTTGGACAGCATACACCTAGCAACCCAATGTATGTCCTTCACTCAAAATAATTGATTTTGTCATTTGGGAGTTGTAGTTGCTGGGATTTATAGTTCACCTACAACCAAATAGCATGGTAGAATTGAACCAACCGGGGCATACAGAACTCCCATGACCAATAGAAAACACTAGAAGGGTTTGGTGAGCACTGACCTTGAGTTTGGGAGTTGTAGTTCACCTACATCCAGAGACTACAATGGACTCAAACAATGATGGATCAGGACCAAACTTGGCATGAATATTCCATATGCCCAAATATGAACACAGATGGAATTTGGGGAAATTTGACCTTGATATTTGGGAGTTGTAGTTACTGGGATTTATAGTTCACCTACAATCAAAGAGTGTTCTGAACCCCACCAACGACAGAATCGGGGCAAACTTCCCACACAGAACCCCATGACCAACAGAAAATACTCACGGCCATCCAGTCCAACTCCCTTCACCAGGGCAAGAAAACGTAATCAAAGCCCTCCTGACAAAGAGCCATCCAGCCATAGATATAGATAGATATGATTCACACACACACAGATATAGTATCATAGATTTGAAAGGGACCCCTGAAGAAGGACAATTATATGTTGCATGTTCCAGAGTAGGCAAACCAGACAAACTCCACATCAACACTGACAAAGAAACAACAAGAAATACTGTTTACCCACAAGTATAAAGAAATTACATATATTACAAACCAATGCTTTCTCGTTATTTTATTTTCCAGATCACCAACTGGGCCACAGCAACGCGTGGCAGGGGATGGCTAGTATATGATAAAAGAGATAAGCGCAATGTCTTGGCACTGTAGTACAAGTAAAGGATAGTATGCCCATATGTGGTGGGAATGCTCAAAAGTCAAAGCTTTTTTGGGGGGGAGGAAATAGAAAAAAATGGGGAAATTATTTAAAATACCGCTACAAATTAATATAGAATTGATGTTACTGGGAGTATTAGGGAATAGTATGATTAATACCAAAGAACAAGTACTGTTCAAAATTATGATCCTAGCAGGACAAGCTGTAATAGTCTAGAGTAGAAAGATAAAAAAAAAATAATGGCCTATAGAAAATTATTTTTATGACCAGGTCCTATCCAAAATCATAGCATATATAATTGGGAAAGATAGACAGGATAAATCAGAAGAAATTGAAAATAAACAGAAGACCTATATAGAATGGATAAAAAGAGGTGAAGCCAATGTAAATATTGTACAGAAATTAAGGAAATTGCGCATATGGTTAGAGATAAAAGATATGGCGTAAATTTGTGGTCAGGGGAAGATGGGGGTGAGGTTGAGGGGTGTTAACAATAACCATCCATTTCAAAGAAGCCCGGAGCATTTAACACAAATACTTTTTGCTGAGCTTGGTGGTTTAACAGGAAGCACGCCTTTTATTATCAAGTGCCTGATCTGTGGGAGAGGGAGCAGGTCTCAAATTCAGTGCACATGGAAAAAAGCAAAACCTGTTTGCTCCTGGCAAAGGCTGTGACCGTCACAACCCACGCAGATGGAAGAGGGGTTTTGCAACACTGTCTGGGCTAAGAATTAAATATCCTATTTTGTTTCCTGCAGAGAACTTGCTATCACACAAATAGCCTTTATTTGCTACCAAATAGCTAATTTAAAAATTAAGCTGAAACATACCCATTTATTTCCATAATAGAATAACCAAGATTTTCCTTCTCATTAGCAACACACACACCCTTATAAACTGTTCTTCATATTACTGTCAGCTTAATGGACATGTTTCCAATCTATATATATATAAATGCTCCTGTCGTCRTACCTTAAAAACAAAAGAACCACTGGGCCAATACCCACCAAATTTGGCAACAAAACTCCTCACCATACAAGGTGTGACCAACAACAATAATAATAAAAAACAAATATACAAATCCTTAATAAAAGGAGAAGCCATCACAGCGCATGCATGCAGCTGTGGGGGGTGCGCACGTGCATGTAAGAGAGTTCCTCCATCGTCTCATGGCGGAACTTGTGGTGGCAACARCTAGGATTCCATCATCATCAAGTTGAGGCTGGCCATCTGTTAGGAGTGGTTAGATTGTGCTTTTCCCATTTGCCAGAAGGGGCTGGGTGGCCCTTGGAGGTCTCTTCCTACCCTAGGATTCCATTATTATTATTATTATTATTATTATTATTATTATTATTATTATTATTATTAAGCTGAGACTGGCCATCTGTCAGGAGTGGTTAGATTGTGCTTCTCCCATTTGCCAAAAGGGGCTGGACTGGATAGCCTCTGGAGGTCTCTTCCTATACTAGGATTCTATTATTATTATTATTATTATTATTATTATTATATTATTATTATTATTATTATTATTATTATTATTATTATTATTATTATTATTCTGAGGTTGAATGGCCATCTCTCAGGAATGGTTTGATTGTGCTTTTCCCTTATGCCAGAAGGGGCTGGACTAGATGGCCCTTGGAAGTCTCTTCCTACCRTAGGATTCCATCATCATCATCATCATCATCATCATCATCATCAAGTTGAGGCTGGCCATCTGTTAGGAGTGGTTATATTGTGCTTTTCCCATTTGCCAGAAGGGGCGGGACTGGATGGCCCTTGGAGGTCTCTTCCTACCGTACCATTCTATTATTGTTATCAAGCAGAGGCTGCATGGCCATCTGTCAGGAGTGCTTTGATTGTGCTTTTCCAGCATGAGGGTAGAAGGGGGTTGCCACAGACTATGTCACAGCAATGCATGGCCAGGTACAGCTAGTCATTTATGAAAGTGACACTGGGTCAGAGGCAGGGAGAACCCAAAATTGCATGACCGATTTAGTCAACCTGAGTGTCATGACTGCAAACAGATACTACTTAAAACTAGAGTTAGAGTTATAGGTTTTAAGTTATGACAACACAGTTGTAAATGAATACACTATGAAAGAAAGCTGGCCTTTGGTTCATTATAACAAAATACTAGGCAGCAATCAGTTGACTCTGCAAGAGTCTAGGAATTCTGGTGATTATATTTCAACAGCACATTTATGATTATCATTGCCACCTTGATAACTTTTTAAAAAACCATTACTGAAATAAATGTCACTGTACAAGTATCTATCTTTCAGGGCTAGTCATCCCTTTTAATTTGAATTAAAAGAAGGTTTCAATCTCTTTTTTTTTTAACTTCCAGTTGTTTCTGCTGAACACAACCACCTTGATAGGTCAGCTCTGCTCATAAAACAAGAAAGTTAGGAAAGCACAAGTCACTTAAATCCCTACTCTCATGACTGGCACCTGCCCCATTTGCAATTCAAAATATGTATTTATTTATTTACCATATTTATATACCGCCTTTCTCAGCCCAAAGGCGACTCAAGGCGGTTTATGCATGAATATTTCTACATGGCAATAGGAAATATATTCCATATGCATGAAGTTCATTTCTTCTTAGATTCCAATGAAAATCCTTACATCAATCAATTTGAAACTGTTCATGAAAGGGCTCCACTGTGCTCCCCTTCATACTTTGTTATAGAGTCCCTTCTAATACTCTGTAAAAGTCAAAGTCAATTCATAGGGAAGACATTTCCCTTACATTCACATACAGAATCAAAGTTTTGCATAATTCTTTTCCCTTCACTTCCTCAAATATGGCAGGGAGCTATGAGTAACAGTGTTACATATCTACTGATTCGTTAGTACATCTCCCTGCCTCCAAGATCACAAGACACTGATGTGGAAATACGATGCCCTGAGATAATACAGGGAACAAGCTTTTTCCCCAATTTTATTGCATAATTACAGCTACGGACTCTTTCAAAGTTGTAGAATTCAGTACAAAAACAATTCTACAGACTCAATTGAAAGGAATACTACTGAGTTCAATAGATTTTACTCCCAAGCAAGTGCAGACAGGAAAGTCGCCAAAATCATAGAACAAAATTCAACACCAGGGAGCAGTTAATATAAGATATTAGCAAAAAAAGGATTATCAAATGGAGTCACAAAAAACTTCAAGAAGTCTTTCTTGCTTTTCAAATCAATTTTGATCCAGATGATTCATCTCTCTTTGGAACACATTGCGGACTTTCTTACAGGTTTGGGTTAAGCAGGATCACATATTTGTCACATCTAACAATGTAGACAGGTGGATTTCACAAGCCATTTCTTCTTCTTTGTTGGCCCTTATCTGCTGTTTCAAATATTGAAGTCTGTGAGACAGAGAGGTGTCTGGATCAGGCAATTCTTTCTTTCCTGCCTGATGTGAGGAAGAGGAAGATGAAATCAGAAAATCGTGTTGAAATGCAAACAAAAAAGCAGCAGAGTATACTCCATGACAAGACCCAGGGAAGCCTGGTTCCACTATTATGTCTGAACTCTGTTTATTACCCCATGAAAAGGCCGTGGACCTTATGCATCATTTCCTTTCCAACATCACCGTATAAGTCAGCCACACCAAACTTAATTTCTGACCTTTTTCTATTCGCTGGGAAAGTTTGAAAGGGAATACTGCTCATGGCTACTAAAATGCAAACAGAAACTACTTCTTGAATGGAGCCCTGAAAATAAAGCAGCTGAACCAAGGCTTTTCATCATGTTTACATACATGTGAATGTAAGGCAAAGTGCAAAGTTTTCTGCTCAATGCAGTGAAGTAGTGTGATGCTGAGTACATGCACAGCCCTGCACTTTTCACATGTTGGATTTTATTTTTGTGCCGTATTTGGATATTGTTGGCCTCCTCAACAAATACCGCATATAGGACAGCTGGGCGTATAAGACGACCCCAAATTTTCCAGTTAAAATATAGAGTTTGAGATATACTCAACATATAAGACTACCCCTCTTCCAACACACACCAAATAAAATTTTTAAAGCATCAGATTTGATTTCAATATGGTCATTTTCCTATTACTGTACCTCCTTCTCTGCCTCTCAGATCTCGCACATGCACACCTGCACCGCTTTACTGCAGTCTTCAGGAGCGAGATCTGAGAGGCAGAAGAGGAGGTACGTAATAGGATACAAGGGCAGGCCAGACAGGTAAAAGAGGTGTGTTTTTCTGGGGTCCAGAGCCACTCTCTCTTTTTCCCATAACCCGGGCACCCTGGATGCCTGCAGTTGGCTCCGCCCTTCACTTACACCTTCCCGGCGCCCCTTCACCTCACCACTGGGACCGCATTAAGTCCACGAATCCTGATGAATGGATTTTCTTCTACCGTACTTGTACAGCGTCGCCCTTAATGCTTTCATACAGTCGCTGCATATGGCAGGGATGTGGCCACTGCCATTTTTGAGCCCCCCCATCCCAATATGCAGCAACCACAGATTCTCCAATCTAGATTGGAAGTTTCAGCACCCGGCATATAAGACTATTCCCGCATATAAGACACCTCCCATGCATAAGGCTACTCCAGCGTATAAGACGACTCCCGTGTATAAGACAACCCCCGATCTTTGAGAAGATTTTCTTGGGTTAAAAAGTAGTCTTATATGCCAGAATATACGGTATGTATATAAACTGTATATACATATGGGATATTCAAGGATTACCTATAACTAGCCAGGAAGAGGAGGAGGAAATTTCTCCAATGGTAAATTACTTTCGATAAATCCACAGAGTTGGCCTCTTTTGCTCTATCTAGTTTAGCATTGCCCTCCTTAGCTACAGAGCAGGAACTTACAAGCACACCCCCATCTCCTGACAGAGTTCTATTCTGTTCTTTTAAATGTTACCTCTGGGCTTCTTGCCATTGATGTTTTGGCCAGCGGATGAATTATTTGAGGCACACACACCAGGGTTTCAGGAAGGTAAAGAGGAAGAGAAGGGGAATCCTGAAATATCTCAGAGTCTTCAACTAGCAATTGCTGCAGTTGCTCCTCAAACCTAAAACAAAGAAGAAGCAAACATTATTTGCAAAAGTTCCTGCTGCAGTTAGATTTCTCTTTGGTTTTTTCTGCTGACGCAATTTTATAAGTCAGCAGTTTTAGTAGGAAATGTGAGGAAAAACCCGAAAAGCTTGTTGCTAAGACCTTTATCTGAAGGTATGAAATTCCTTCCTTTTAAATTCCTCCTCTCCTTTTAGCAAAACACTTTTGAGAGGATATATTAGTTCTTCCAGATTTCTCTTATATCGGCGCAATCTGTTCAGGCACCAGGACAAAAGGCTGCAAGGATGACTAACTTTTGAATGGTCTTTCCATGCTCAAGGGCTCTCTTTACATTATCCTGCTACCAGCTGTCAGCTTTCTGTAATGTCGAAGGCTTTCATGACTGGAATCACTGGGTTGTTGTAGGTTTTTTCGGGCTAAACAGCCCCGGTCCAAATTACCTGCCCTGCTTTCCTTCCCACTATTGTCACAGGCGCGATTGGTGGGGACGAGAGACAGGGCCTTCTCGGTGATTGCTCCCCGGCTATGGATCTTCCTTCCTGGTGAGATCAGGTCGGCCCCCTCTCTCCTGTCCTTTAGAAGTAGTGAGACCTCACTACCTCTGAGGATGCTTGCCATAGATGCAGGCAAAATGTCAGGAGAGAATGCCTCTAGAACATGGTCATATAGCCTGAAAAAACCTACAACAACCCTGTCAGCTTTTTTTCTGCCCAGCACCTCTCACCAGGCATGACCGTTTTTACTGTGTTGCTGCCAAAATTTTCTACCTGTTTGTCCTGTCCTCACAGGCCTGCCAAGTGGGTCTCCATCACTTTTACTACTTCACACAGACTCTTGGAAACACATCTTAGGAAGGAAAGGAAAACAGAAGCTGTACCTTCTGCTCTCTGCTTTCTCCTGCTGCAGCTTGATGGAAAGGCACTCAGGAAGAGCATCTATTTCTGAAACAGCCACTGTTAGGTCTGCTCCACTAGGAATAGTCAGATCTGCATTCCTTGTCTTTCCTTCGCTGGCCCAACATTCAGCTGGAGACAATGACGGTGAATGCAGCTTTGCAAAAGACGATGTCTTTATTTTGGACCTAAAGAAAAATGAACATCAAGGAAAAACAACTTTGGCTATTTGTTGGAATCATGAACTATCAAGTGCATTTATGGCAGTAACATGTGAGTAGTCATCTTGGACCAGAACAAAGATCCCTCTAGAACAGGGTCCTCAAACTAAGGCCAAGGGCTGGATCTGGCCCTCCAAGGTCATTTACCCGGCCCTCGCTCAGGGTCAACCTAAGTCTGAAATGACTTGAAAGCATACAACAACAACAATCCTATCCCATCAGCCAAAAGCAGGCCCACACTTCCCATTGAAATTATTGTCATCTATATAAATAAAAATGTAATGTTCGTTTATGGGATGAACATAACTCAAAAACCACTGGATGAATTGACACCAAATTTGGACACAATACACCTACAAGTGACCATCACCCAAAAAATTGATTTTGTCTTTTGGGAGTTGTAGTTCTGGGATTTATAGTTCACCTACAATCAAAGAGCATTCTGAACTCCACCAACGATGGAATTGAACCAAACTTGGCACACAGAACTCCCATGACCAACAGAAAACACTGGAAGGGTTTGGTGGGCATTGACCTTGAGTTTGGGAGTTGTAGTTCACTACATCCAGAGAGCACTGTGGACTCAAACAATGATGGATCTGGACCAAACTTGGCACAATATTCCATATGTCCAAATATGAACACAGAAGGAAGTTTGGGGGAAATAGTTTGGGGAAAATAGACCTTGACATTTGGGAGTTGTATTTACTGGGATTTATAGTTCACCTACAATTCTTAACACCACCAATGGCAGAACTGGGGCAAACTTCCCATACAGACCCCCATGACCAACAGAAAATATTTAAGGCCAACTAGTCCAACTCCCTTCACCAGGGCAAGAAAACATAATCAAAACTCTCCTGACAAAGAGCCATCCAGCCATAGATATAGATAGATACATATATGATTCACACACACATAATATCATAGATTTGAAAGGGACCCCTAAAGAAGGACAATTATATGCTGCATGTTCCAGAGTAGGCAAACCAGACAATCTCCACATCAACACTGACAAAGAAACAGCAAGAAATACTGTTTACCCACAAGCATAAAGAAATTACATATATTAGAAATCAAAACTTTCTCATTACTTTATTTTCCAGATCACCAACTGGGCCACAGCAACGCGTGGCAGGGGAGGGATAGTTATAAATCCACATGACATACAGTTCTTAACAAGACAGTCTCACCTTCCCTGACTTTGCTGGCTCATTTTCTGTGTTTTTAATCTTGCTTCTTCCCATGAAAAAGGAGAACTGAATCTTTCCAAGTGTTCCTTAAAGAAATATACTTGTATCTGACCATCTTCATTCACTGCTTCTGTAAGAGGCAAAAACAACCCACTATAGTCAAATCAGGAGTAGCATGGATTTTCCATCTTTAACATCATCTGGTACAGGAAAAACACTATTTTTAAGAAAACATTTCCTGAACTTGCTCAGTTCATTCCCAAGCCTAGACAATGGAACAAGAGAAAAATAATATCCTCACAAACAAGAAAGTGCTTTTGTGTCTTCCTTCTTGGCTAAAATTGACCTTCATGATAAGTTCTCAAATGTGCCATTCTCAACCAGTGGAGAAGGAATCATTCATAAATGGGAATTGCCTTAGCGTAAAGAGCAGGAGGGAAGGTAGAAGAAAAAAAGTTGATGCTTTGCAAATTTCCTCCAGGAGGAAACTGAAAAAATACAGCTGTGACTATTGCCCTTGTAGAGTGTGCTGTCATGTTTTATAGCAGGAAGACCAAGAGATTAGGAAGCCAGAAAATGCACACTTTGATCCACTGAGTTAGATTAGAGGGACAGACCTAAGAAACAATTGTAAAGGGGTTTTTTAAGAAAATAAAAGAAGGGGAGGAAAAAAGGGAAGAAAAGTAGCCAAAAGAAAAGGGGGAGCAGAGCATATGATCCTTCATGGGCAAGGCAAGGTGAAAGAACCGAGAGGCACCACGGGCCCAGCAAGAAATACTTTCTTCAAACATATGATGCCACGATCAGTAATAGGAACTAATCCATTATTTGCTGGCTGAGAATAATAAAGGAAAAAGAACAGCGTATAGAAAGTGCCCAAAGTTCTTGGCTTTACCTGGTGCAACTGGCAGGCAAGGGGGTTTCCAGTCTCTCAGTTTATGGTTAATGCAAAGTACCAGCATACTGTCCCAAGGAATCTCCTCCACAGAAGGACCATCGTCGCTGGACTGTACAGACGTTTTTTCCCATTTGAGGTAAGTCCTGCTCAGCAAATTCTCCATTTGAGACTGAAGGATTTCCTGAGTCTGAGGAGAACTAGCAGTCTGGGATACATATTGGAAGATCATAGCACAAACAAGGTGCCACGGAGCTGGTTTGAGGGAGAGATAAAATGACTATATATTACACCAAAATGTGAGAGAATAGCAGCCCTGATGACTATGATATCATACTAGCTCTTCTATTACCCAACATTGACATATGACAAAATCGAAATGCACATAATTAGACTAAAATCAGAATATGTAGAGATAAATCTCTTGAACAGCATTAGCTAATTCAATTAGTTAATTCAACAGTACTAACTCAAACTGTGGTTAGGTACAACAACAAAAAAAATTTCAGAAAAAAATTAAAAATGTGTCAAAACTACAACTTGTCCTGAAAGGAAATGTGGCATATTTCAAAAATGAAGGAGTACATGATGTTAGGCTTATTAATGATAAACTGAGTTCAGAAAACTTAGGAGCTCCAGATTTTCTGGCTTCAACATTTGATGGCAAAAGTATTTAATTAAAGAAATAGATCAATGGAGATTAAAAGAGAGGTTTACAATTTCTCAAGTTGCTCCTGACACACATACATAAAAAATGGCAAGTGCAAGGAAACCTTTAGAGTGGATAACATAAGCGGCACATCAAAATACAATGTTTTCTTGACTTACGACTTAATTCCAATGATCACACTCTTAACTCAAAATGTTCTTTTCTCAAAGCGAATTTTCCCACTGAAATGCTATTAATCAATTTGGGGGGCCTGAAACCCCTCCAATTTTTTGCTACTTGTTTTTAAATAAGAACATTTACTTTATCAATATTAAATAATGTATAAATGTACATTTACATGGAATGTCCCTCTGAAGTTCACTCTTAACTCAAAATGCTGCTCTTATGTCAAAGCAAACTGGGGCGAGCGACAGTTCTGTACGCAAAACGCTCTTAAGATCATCTTAAGTTGGGATGATCTTAAATAAAGGTTCCACTGTACATGCAACGCCTACAGGAAGATATTACTTAAGAATTTTGGCCAAGAGAGAGATTTATTTTCAATCCAATTCTTTGCACTCAGTGAGGTAAAATGTTCCCTTTGTTTCAGCAGAATAGTCCCTAAGGCACCACCAGATAATATTCTCGGACATGCTGTTCTACCTGGTTAGAAATCCTTACCGCCTGAAGGAGGAAGATCCATGTGGGGGATCTGGAAGGACAGCACAGCTTTTCTCAGCCAAGCCAAGTGTTTGGGCATGTTCCACTGGAGATGTGGGAGCAGCTTGCTACCCCCAGGTTCTGCAAATTCAATCACAGGCCAGGAGAAGTCACAGAGATCTTCTGAAGAGACAACCTCCGCTAAGAACTGCACTGCATTGTTGTACAGATCTATTATAGCACTGGGGTCCTGGGCACACAAGCCTGCTATGTATCTTTCCTTCATGTCTGGATAGAACTGCTGACTGAACAGAAGGTCCAGGCCATCTTCCACATACTGCCTGAGCGTCTGACAGCAAAGGTTGATGGAGCATGGGTACTGAGCAACCAGCCACTGCACTGCTTCAGAGAGCTGTAGAAAGCAACACGGAGAAGAATAAATTCACTAACAGGCACACAGAGTCATCAAACCATAGAGATGGAAGAGATTCCAAGGCTTCTCTAGGAATCTACAGCCAAAGTATCCCCACAACACACTCATTTCTGTGTTAACACTTCTCTGCTCCCACAATGCTCTATCTAGTCTGGTGGTCCAAAGGAATGCCACAACTGATTATATCAAAAGCTGCTGGGAGCTCTGTTCCCTTCTTCCACTCTTTGACACAAGTGATCTACCAACCCAAGCAATCTCAATCCTAGAACCCAGAGAAAAGCCTGGTTGAAATTTCTCTCAGTAACACAGCTCAAGAACAACAACAAAAAGTCTTGATGTCTTGGTTTTTAGGCCTGTTCCCAGGATTATTTGAGGTGCTGATTCAGAAAATTGCATTAGACAGACTGCATCAGTTTTAGTTTCTTAGATCTGATTATCATGGTTTTCTATGGGCAAGCAGATAGAGTTGGATGAGACTGCATAGGTCATCCACTCTAGCCGCCTTTTGCCATGCTGGAAAAGCACAATCAAAGCACCCCAGATGGCCATTCAGCCGTTGTTTAAAAGCTTCCAAGGAAGGAGCCTCCACCAGACTCCAAGGCATAGCTCTCACAGTCAGGAAGTCCTTCCCAATGTTCAGGTGGAATCTCTTTTACTGTTGTTTTAATCCATTGCTCCATTGAGTCCTAATCTCCAGGGCAGTAGCAAACAAGACTGCTCCCCTTCAAATATTTAAGCATGGTTATCATGTCTCATCTCCAACTTCTCTTTTGCAGGCTATGTTCTGGAGCTCTAAAACTAGAGCTCATAGGGGGAAACTGGTGCCAGTTTTGCAATTAGAAGGTCAAAAATACCCAGAAACAAGACCAACATTTGAGGCATCAAAATGTGTTTCAGCCAGTTCAATCAGTGTTATCAGAAAGTATTGTAGAGTTGTATCATTTTACCCATGAAAAATAAATTCAAGATTACTCAAAACTCATGAGTGCATTCCACAATCTTGAACTAAAACAGGAGAAAGTGCAGCTACTGAGAAATGTATTTATGAGATGTGCTCCCTATCCTCTGAAGTATCTATGCAAAGTTTTGCTTCCTTTTAATAATAATAATAATAGTAATAATAATAATAAACTTTATTTAATACCTCACCATGATCTCCCCAATGGGGACTCGGGGCGGTTTATATGAAGCCAAGCCCAACAGTATATTACAATAAAGTAAAACCAAAACACAATAACAACACAGTAAAATACATACAACATATGAGTACAAAGACGATAAAGCAAAATCATACACCGTAAAATAAAATAACATAACATAACAATGAGCGGGCCGCATGTGCAAGATAAACACTAAGATACTAAAAATACTAAAATCAGGATGAGATAGGGATGGAGCAGATTGTTTATGGGGGAGAAACTTGTAAAGCAACGGGGTCATAAATATAGACCTTCATACAGGTGGGGAATATACTCTGGGGACAAAACCCTTTTTAGGTAAATTGCTGCTTGCTCTGTCATTCAAACTTAGGAAAACGATGGTTAATGTTAGCTATCATTAATGCAATCAAGTCTACACTTCAGTTTATGCTGCTTTTTTCCCTAAACATAATCAAGCTTAATCATAGCTTAATCATACTTGAACAACATGCTAAACTGACAATAATCTAAAATGGAGTCTGCAGCTTCCAATCTTCTCCTCACAGCTGTGCTGAAGAAAGATAATGTTAGCATGCCCTCTCGTAATGGTCTGAGGACATTTTCTTGATTTGTAGGACTATTTGTTGTAAACTGCTTTGAGGACTATAAATCTTCAAAACAAGTGCTTACATCCTGCTACAGCTGCATGGACTTCTGGGTCCAACTAAAGAGAGCCTTCACAGTTTAGAACCCTTAATACAGTATGTGAGATGACGCTTACAACATATCTCTCTCTGTGGAGATCGTTCTTACCTTTCTGGTGCCTTGTAAGTCACTCACAGAATCTGGTATTTCAACAACCTTGTAGCCTGAAATAAGGTTAGCCGAAATCAAATCTGGCAGCATCAACCCTTCAGAAGGAAAGGTAGTACAGTTTAGTAATAATACTCCTTTATTCCCTCAGGGCCCTTCTACACTGCTCTTTATCCCTGGATCTGCTCCCAGATTATCTGCTTTGAACTGGAATATATGAGTCCCCACTACCAGATTATGTGGGGTAAACAGATAATCTGGGATCAGATCCTGAGATAATGGGGCAGTGTGGAAGGGCCCTCAAAAACAGATTGTGACTGAAGAAACGGCAATCACACAAACATTCAAATGGATAATACTGACTTAAGTTCAAAAATTAAAACTGTAGAACAAATTTATCAACTACATATGGCACCAACTGTCACCACACTTCAGTCTTGACTACTGTTCTAACGAAGGAAATAATTCTCAAGTAAGGAAATCTCTTGTACCTTCCTCTACTTCTTTCTCTGCAGCCTCATCTCCACGACTTGGGACAAGAACCACCAGAGGTACTATTGGCTGGTAAGGTTTTGCTTGAAGTAGTCGTTTCAGCTGAAGTAAGGCTGAAAGCCAATAAATGTCTTCCTCTGCCACATCATCACTTCTCACTCGAGGAGAGAGCAACAGAATAAGCCCACTCGTTCCAAGAAGCTTTTTCTGGATCCCTGGGTCTTCAACCTCGGAGGTACTGAGTGTCCCATGGGTTGTCTACATGAAGAAAACAAATAGTATATTCCACCATACAGAGAAAGCAAAATGGCTGGGGGGGGGGGGGGGCAAATAAAAGGAGTGTTTTTGGATTAGACCAGATATCTGTAGTCGTAAAAATTTATCAGACAAAAAGAGGCCATGAGTAGAAAACATTTAAGAAGTCAGGATTCAGTCCATGCTTCTGACATATGTCACATTTCATTGCATAACAGTCGCCGCCATATGATAGTTGCACCTAAAATGGGTTTTCCCCATTTCCTCACATAATAGTAATTCGCCCACACCCAGACAAGTGAGTCAAGGGTGCAACTCAGTGAGTGAGGCTTCACTCACCTGCATGGCTGTCCCCTTAATGAGACTATTACGTGGTGGAAAAAAGCCCTTTTGAGGGAGTAGGTGCACGGGCGGGTGACGCTTCAAAGAGAGCACCTGCATGGTGCTTCATCAAAGGGGCTTTGCCATCACATAATAGGAAAAAAAACCTTTTTAAAGGGAAAGTGGGGGTGGGGATGACTATTATGTGGTAGAATATAGGATTCCCTGGCATGGCCCTGTGGCAACAGTTCTCTCCTACAGTTAGCACCCATCTCACTATAGCAAATAGCATACAGAATGCCTCCAAGCATGGAGATTTTAATCGGCTAGCATGGCTAGCAGGCTCAAATAGAAACTTTCATTTATAATGTCCTTATTTATGGAACATGTTCTCTTAAGTTATTAATAGCTGCATGCTAGTTTTTTCTTATGAACTGCCCTTTCAACATATATGACATGAAACCCTGGGTTCCAGGGTCAGAGAAATTAACCCTGAAGTAATCAAAAGTCTGATTACTAGAGCAATAATTAGAAGTATTTGTAATATTTTAATAGAAATGATAATGAAAATAATTTCTTCCTAAAACAGAGACAAATCATGGAGAAACTCAAACAAGTTGAAAAACTTGTTTGATTAAGGGTAGGGAAGTAAATGAAAGCATCTAAATGAATGAAGAGAGGTTCTAAACAGCAGACCTTTGTTCAGAGCATGGAAGGAGGAAAAACTGAGCTGGATTCCAGCAGCACCAGACCTCAACCTAACTTTTCTTCCTACCTGTGCCACCAAAAAATCAGTTTAGTGAAAACCAGTTTAGTGAAAGCCAGTTTAGTGCCACCATGGCTGAGAAAGCCATGTGTCCCTTGTAACTATCCACATCACCACAGAAGGCTTTGAGAACAGGAATATGAGGTCTCACACAAGGCAATCCATCCTTCAGATGCTGTAGGCTTGTTAGGGCTTTGCAGAATACTATCAGAACTGTAAATTCTAACTAGAAACAAACTGGAATTACTTGAGATAATTGTTCATTGACACTAGCTTCACTTCACAACCTGACTGCTACATTCTGAACATTTCTTTTTGCAGAAAGCAAACCCATATTTAGAATGCCTTCAAATAACAAAACATTGGCATCAACTATCATAAAATTGAATATGAGCAACAGACCTTAATACACACACTGACATAGATATCCCGATCCCTTTGAGTACAAAGAGAGGTATGTAGTGCAATTGTTTTAATTCCATCGTTTTCCACCGATGTTTCCTCCAAATTTTTATCAATTCCAAATTTAGCTTTCAACCAATCTGCTAAAATTCTGTGAACAGAAGGAGGAAATATGGTCAGTAGAGCAACACCAGATTAAACTTATCAGATATCAATGTCTAGAATTCAAGTATTTAATTTTATAAGGACAAAAACATAGATAAGCAACTTATTTATTTATTTATTTATTTACTTTGCTTATATACCGCTGTATCTCAAGCCCGAAGGAGACTCACAGCGGTTCACAAACAGTAAAAACAGTAGAAACAGCAGTGGTTCCATACAACATATAACAATTGACTTAACACATTATCCATAAATTACCAATAAGCAATTACAATGCACAATTATTACGAAAAACAACCGTACCCAATCTTCTCATCATCCAAGCGTAGTCCAGGTTCGTCGTCCATTGTTCCATTCCTATGTTCCATTACCAGATTGCACTAAATTACTCAAACGCCTGCTCAAACATCCAGGTCTTCACCTTTTTGCGGAATACCATTAGAGATGGTGCTAGTCTAATGTCCGTAGGAAGGGCGTTCCACAGCCGAGGAGCCACCACCGAGAAGGCCCTATCTCTCGTCCCCGCCAGCCGAGCTTGAGAAGCAGGCGGGATCGAGAGCAGGGTCTCCCCGGAAGATCTCAAAGTCTTGGTGGGTTCATAGGCAGAGATGCGGTCAGATAGGTAGCTTGGGCCGGAACCGTTTAGGGCTTTAAAGGCCAACGCCAGCACTTTGAATTCAGCCCGGTAGCAGATCGGTAGCCAGTGGAGTTGGCGCAACAGGGGGGTTGTATGCTCCCTGCGCTCCGCTCCTGTTAAAATCATGGCTGCCGAGCGTTGGACTAGTTGGAGCTTCCGAGCTGTCTTCAAAGGCAACCCCACATAGAGAGCGTTGCAGTAGTCTAAACGAGATGTAACCAGAGCGTGGACTACCGTGGCCAAGTCAGACTTCCCAAGGTACGGGCGCAGCTGGCGCACAAGCTTTAGCTGTGCAAATGCTCCCCTGGTCACCGCCGAAACCTGGGGTTCCAGGCTCAGCGATGAGTCCAGGGTCACACCCAAGCTGCGAACCTGCGTCTTCAGGGGGAGTGCGGCCCCATCCAACACAGGCTGTAACCCTATGCCCTGTTCGGCCTTGCGACTGACCAGGAGGACCTCTGTCTTGTCTGGATTCAATTTCAATTTGTTCGCCCTCATCCAGACCGTCACAGCGGCCAAGCACCGGTTCAGGACCTGGACAGCCTCCTCAGTAGCAGGTGGAAAGGAGTGACAGAGTTGGACATCATCCGCGTACAGATGACACCGTACCCCGAAACTCCGGATGATCTCCCCCAGCGGCTTCATGTAGATGTTAAACAACATGGGAGACAATATTGAGCCCTGAGGAACCCCACAAGACAATGGTTGTGGGGTTGAACAGGTGTCCCAATAACACCTTCTGAGACCGACCCTCTAGGAATGACCGGAGCCACTGCAAAACAGTACCTCCAAGGCCCATCCCCGCGAGGCGCCCCAGAAGGATACCGTGGTCGACGGTATCGAAGGCCGCTGAGAGGTCCAGCAGCACCAACAGGGACACACTCCCCCTGTCGAGCTCCCGGCGCAGATCATCCACTAAGGCGACCAAGGCTGTCTCGGTACCATGTCCCGGCCTAAAGCCAGACTGTGCCGGGTCTAGATAATCCGTGTCTACCAAGAATACCTGGAGTTGTGAGGCCACCACACGTTCCAGGACTTTGCCCAAAAAGGGGAGATTGGAAACTGGCCGATAGTTGTCGAATTTAGTGGGCTCCAGTGATGGTTTTTTCAATAGCGGTTTTATTATAGCTTGTTTTAAGCTCGTGTGCACCATTAAACCAGGGGTCCTCAAACTAAGGCCCAGGGGCCGGATACGGCTCTCCAAGCTCATTTACCCAGCCCTCGCTCAGGGTCAACCTAAGTCTGAAACGATTTGAAAGCACACAACAACAACAACAACAAAAACAATCCTATCTCATCAGCCAAAAGCAGGCCCACTTCCCATTGAAATACTAATAAGTTTATATTTGTTAAAATTGTTCTTCATTTTAATTATTGTATTGTTTTAAGTTTTTTGCACTACAAATAAGATATGTGCAGTGTGCATAGGAATTCATTCATGTTTTTTTCAAATTATAATCCGGCCCTCCAACAGTTTGAGGAACTGTGACCTGGCCCTCTGTTTAAAAAGTTTGAGGACCCCTGCATTAAACTGTAAAGGCAAATGCTAGACAGCATCCAATGGAATAAAAAAATGGAAAAAAGTAGATATATCTCCAAGTTCTCAGTGGAATGTCATTTTTATTTTATTTTATTTGAATACTGGTACATATACATAGAAATGGCTTGATTCTTATAGACAAATCCACTCCTGCACATCCCTTTCAGATGAAGATGCCAATGAATGAGGACGTGTTTTATGTGTTTTAAACAACAGGCAGATGAGGAACTTTTCCTCATTTTTAAATGGCTAGCACAAAATAGGCTGCAATATATTAAGCACCAATTCCACCAGAGCAGAACCATCATATCCACCACTGAAGATGATACAGCCAAACACCACACCTTTGAATACAAGAAATACGTACACATACTTTGAATACAAGAAATACCTGCTGGGATCCTTAGCTGGATATTCCTCATAGCTTGGCAACACCAAAAGTGCTTTCCAGAAGACCTTTTCTTGTTGCACTGGAATGTTTTCAGCAACCAAGGTTGGCAGATCCAGTGGAGTCCACACTGCATCCCTTAAAATTAAGAAAACATAATCTGAAGTCAAGGAAGATGACCTGTAACCCTTGAGATGCTACTGGACTCCAGCTCTCACCAGTCCCAGCAAGCATGGCCAATAGGGATAAGAAGATGGCAGTTGTGATCTATTAATAACTGGAGGGCCACTGGCTCCCCATCCCAATATTTGATTGTAAAACATAATCCCTAGAGATAGAGATGACAGGTTTAAATTAAGAAAATTTAACTGTATTAGGGAGTGAAAGAAAAGGAGGAGAAAATCATTATCTAGACTCAGGGGGAAAACTTAGGGGAGTGAAAAAGATTTTATAACCTCTGCTAGTTATTTCATACACAAAAGAGAAAGAGTTCAAAATGTGATTTTAAGTGTTACTTATTTGTTTATCTATTCATGTAAATCCAGTGTTTCCTCTAGGACAGGACCCAAAGCAATTCTGCTTGAAAAGTGTAAAACTCTAGAGTCACACTTAAAAATTGCATAAACTGCATTTTAAAAGTAAATTTATAGTGAATTGAGCCTGAACTAGGATCTTGAAATTGGAGTATAGGAAATTTAACACTTTGCTCTGCTCCTACTGTGATCATGATTATTAAAACTTCCAACCTAGCGCATCCGGTTCAGTTCTCAATAATAATAATAATAATAATTCAAAAATACATCACACAGTCTTAGACGCTTGGGAAGTGTTCGACTTGTGATTCTGTGATACGAAATCCAGCATATAAATCTTGTTTGCTGTGACATACTGTGTTTTTGTGTCAGTAAAATAATAATAATAATAATAATAATAATAATAATAATAATAATAATAATAATAATATATTTGTAGACGGTCCTATCTTCCTGAAAGAACTCAGGGCACATATGGCAAACATTCAATGCCAGAAAAGACATACTAACAAATTACATCAAAACAATGCACATCAAAGAAAATAGAATAGCAATTACTGTACATTTCATAATAAATAGAGATTAACACCAGAAGCGACTTGCAGTTTCTCAGGTCGCTCCTGACACGACAAAAAAAAAAACAAAACTTGACAACCCTAACAGACATAGTCACATAATATGAATTTAAACAGAATATCATTTAAAACAACTAAAACCTTATTAGAGGTAAAATGGTTCCCAACAACTAATAGGCTGAGATCAGTTAACAGACCACTCTCAGTTTCTAAACAGAGCAAGGACTCTACAGAAGCGTTCAATCCAGTCTTGGGACTATTGCAACGATTTGTCCTACATATAATCAGTGTGAGCATTTCGACAAGTCTCTGCTTGATAGCTAAAAAAATCTAATTAAATAACAGGAATCTATCATTTCACAATTATGCTAAATGGGTAGCAAACCTAGAGTTAGCTGCACTTCTGTTGATGCAGCGAAACCAAAATCCCAACATACCGTAACAACTGCTGGTAAAAATGCTGTACTTTCATTTGATGGACTGTATTGTTCCGGAGCCATCCAAGCCTATAAATAAACAGAGACCATCAGTACCTTGGCCATTGTCCATTTCCCAGCTCATTTCTTATCTATGAAATCTGTGGATGAACTGGCAGTGTATTTTACAAGCCATTAATAAAACATCAAAAACAACACTGAGAAGAACTATCTAACTCCAGACATGACATAGCTAAATAGTGATGATGCAAATGCTTGAATCTTATATATATCAGGCCCCATCTACACTGCCATATAATCCAATCTGAAAGTGCATATGGCAGTGTAAGTGGGGTCTTAGAAATGGACATGTCCATTAATAAAAACTTTACACAGAGAAAATATTCATGAAAAATAGTCTTCCTAAAAGTCTGCTATACAGTGAGCATTCTCAGATTTAAAGAATCTTCCTCTCACATATTGTTTCATGTAGGCAATGGTTCCTAACCATGTGTTTGGAGGTTCAATTCCCAGACACCTCAGCCAGCTTGGCCAACTGTTAAGGATCCTGGGAGATGAAGTCCAAAACTCTTGGAGGACCAAATGTTGGCAACCAGTGATTTAGCGCAGTATAAGTATTGGTGATTGTTCTCCACAGTCAAAGGGCAAGAAAAAAAGAGCATGGGATCCAGACATAGCCATTCTTAGAGCATAGCCTCTAAAATTAATTATTTCAGCCAGTCATAAATCATTTCCCACTAGATTTAGCCATTTTATTTATTTATTTCTCGTGTCAGGGCAGCCAGTCAATTATATTACATTTCTAACATAACAAAGCAAACAAACAGAGAAAATACAAAATGTGTGATTTGGTGGTTGATTAAATGTCCTTTGACCAGTATCTGGCCACTTGGAGTGCTTCTGGTGTTGCTGCAAGAAGGTCCTCCATTGTGCATGTGGCTGGGCTCAGGTTGCATTGCAGCAGGTGGTCTGTGGTTTGCTCCTCTCTGCACTCGCATGTCGAGGATTCCACTTTGTAGCCCCATTTCTGAAGGTTGGCTCTGCATCTCGTGGTGCCAGAGCGCAGTCTGTTCAGCGCCTTCCAAGTCGCCCAGTCCTCTGTGTGCCCAGGGGGGAGTCTCTCATTTGGTATCAGCCATTGGTTGAGGTTCTGGGTTTGAGCCTGCCATTTTTGGACTCTCGCTTGCTGAGGCGTTCCAGCGAGTGTCTCTGTAGATCTTAGAAAACTATGTCTGGATTTAAGTCGTTGACGTGCTGGCTGATACCCAAACAGGGGATGAGCTGGAGATGTCTCTGCCTTGGTCCTTTCACTATTGGCTGCTACTTCCCGGCGGATGTCAGGTGGTGCAATACCGGCTAAGCAGTGTAATTTCTCCAGTGGTGTAGGGCGCAGACACCCCGTGATAATGCGGCATGTCTCATTAAGAGCCACATCCACTGTTTTAGTGTGGTTAGATGTGTTCCACACTGGGCATGCATACTCAGCAGCAGAGTAGCATAGCGCAAGGGCAGATCTTCACTGTGTCTGGTTGTGATCCCCAGGTTGTGCCAGTCAGCTTTCGTATGATATTGTTTCTAGCACCCACTTTTTGCTTGATGTTCAGGCAGTGCTTCTTGTAGGTAAGAGCACGGTCCAGAGTGACTCCCAGGTATTTGGTGCGCTGCAATGCTCCAGTGGGATTCCTTCCCAGGTGATCTTCAGAGCTCGGGATGCTTCTCTGTTCTTGAGATGAAAGGCACATGTCTGTGTTTTAGATGGGTTGGGGATCAGCTGGTTTTCCCTGTAATAGGCAGTAAGAGCACCTAGAGCTTCGGAAAGCTTCTGTTCTACCATCTCAAAGCTCCCTGCTTGAGCAGTAATGGCACGATCATCAGCATAGATGAAACTCTCTGTCCCTTCTGGCAGTGGCTGGTCATTTGTGTAGATGTTGAACATGGATGGAGCAAGCACACTCCCCTGAGGTAGGCCGTTCTTCTGTTTCCGCCATCTGCTTCTCTGGCCCTGGAACTCAACAAAAAAGCTCCTGTTTTGTAGCAGGTTTCCTATGAGGCGGGTGAGGTGGTAGTCCTTTGTGATATTATACATTTTTCTCAGGAGGAGGCGGTGGTTCACAGTATCATAGGCTGCTGACAAGTCTATGAAGACAGCTCCTGTGATCTGCTGCCTTTCAAAGCCATCTTCTATGTGCTGAGTCAGGTTCAGCACTTGCGATGTGCAGCTTTTGCCTTTCTGAAGCCAGCTTGCTGTGGGATCAGACATGGGTCTATTTTTTCCGTAATTCTAGATCTCTTCATTTGGGGGCTTGTACACAGAGGTGATGGTGATGTTATTAAGCTCTACTGTTATAACCTCGATATTGTTTTCTTCAGTGTTGTGGGCACTGCTGACTTGGAGGCCTGGTTTGACAAAGACAGCGCTTCCATACTGCGCATGTGGTCTTTCCGCTACTAAGACCATTCCTGGAACTTTGGGTCGTTTCTGTTGTTCATCCCTGTGTGTTTCTTGGACACACAGCACATCGCATTTCTTATCTCGGCACAGTTCATAGAGCAGTTGTTCTTTGGCAGCTGACATGCCTTCGATGTTGATTGAGATTATTGTCATCGTTGGTCCTGAAAAGGACAGTTGGTTGTTTTGCTTGCTTGCTTGCATGCTGGTCGCCTCTGGATTGAGAGAATCAGCCGTCTACGAAGACGTTGCCATGAGAAGGAGAAATAGAGTTGAAATCTGAAGCAATGCAGGGACTGCCATCTACACAACAAAGGGAAGGGGAAGAAGTGTCCTCTTCTGATCCCAACAAGTCTCTCTCTAAAACCTTGTTAGCTCCTCTTATGTCATCAGAAGAAGGAGGAAGGGATCCTTCAGTGTGGACCCCAGCCTTAAGGCCTGGGTTGGGGGTGTTTTGTCTCCTGCCTTGGGTGTCCCACTTTTGCTTCATATGCCTTCTTCAATGCCTCAACTTGGTGCTGATATATCTGCCTATGAAGGCATTGGCTATGAGTGTTTATTTCTCTTTGAATTATTTGCACAGAGGAGAGAGACTGCTAAAAAGAAACCTCCAAATTGTTTTAAAATAAATATCTTTATGAATTATTATCAGTAAATGTTTGATTTGTATACCTATTTTATTTACCTGGGTTATGTAACCATTTCTCAGATGGAAAGGGGTCACAATTTGAAAAAGTTTAAGGAGCCCTGACCTACAAATGTCTACATTATGTGGAATAACCTCTTACAAATATGCACTTACCGGAGATAGGAGGTACCAAGGTTTCCTGCATGTCCCAAATTTACAATCCTTTTAGCCAGGTGCTCTCTGGTAATTGGGCATTCTGCACTGGGCGACAGCGCTTTCAACGCATCTTTTGGATCCATGTAACATGGGGCTGCTGGGAATGCTCTCATCTGACGCTTCAGTTTCTTACGAGCTACAACAGCATCCCGCCATCTTCAGAAGAAAGCAAATGTTTCATAGAAATGTAATGCTAAAAGGCATTATCGCTTGAGAAGCTAAACATTTTAATTAGAATTTGCTGGTCGTGGCTTGACAATGAATTATCATCAACACTGTTCAAGAATTCTATATTTCCTGCTCTGTCAGGGAAGAACAACTGCATTAGTTCATTAATCTTCCTGACATCTAAACCGCCCTGAGTCGCCTGTGGACTGAGAAAGGCGATATACAAATAGAGTAATAAATAAATAAATAATCCTAGTTATTTCTCAGTTTAACCTACCTCTCAGGAAAGAATTATAGAAACAGGAAGTATAGTAGCCTGAATGTCTTATGCTATAAATACAATGGAATTCACACATTATACTACGTAACAAAATTTGAAAAAAAATCATTGAAAAACTATAGCAAAATGCACTACAGGATTTCCCACAAAAACAAAATTTTTGCAGCTTAACAAATGTTTTCCATGTTTTATGATAGAACCAATTGGGAACTGACATTTTAAACCCAGGAACAAAAATCATGATACACAGTGTTATCCAAGGGTCTATCACTCTGCTATGAGAAAGCTTAATTTAACCTACCTTTGCAAGTATTTGCAGAAGCACTGGAGTTCCTGCAGGGTTTCCTTAGCACTCTGGAAGATCTCATCTTCCAGAAATGTGCCCATTATTTCAGCACAAACTTCCTTGGAGCACCGAGCAATGCGTGCTTTCTGGTCCTTCTCTTTAGCACACCTAGGACAAATTTACGCTGTCGGATTAGCACACATTTCCAAAGTGAAAAGTCACAGAGATAAACTAAACATTCACAAGAAAAAAATAAAATGGGAAACATCTGGATTTCCCTCAAACAAATTGCCATCATTTTCTTTGAAACATTAAGAATCAACTCAAAACTTTTTTTTTAAAATGCCATGGCTATACTGGATAGATATGTACCATACAGGAGTTCTCGTTTTGTCTATCCAGAGGAGTATCAGATCTATACTTTTCTAAAAAAAATAAAGACATGCAACTAAGTTATGTTTTGATTTAATTTGAGAGAAAACTGTTCATAAGGTCACTAGAACTGACCAAATATTGGCCTCACATTCTGGGGCTTAACCAGCTGTTGATTGAGCAGAAGGTTACCTATGCAACCAAGCTTTCTGTTCCGCACTTTTGTACTGTATTCACTGTATTCACTACATAACTCCTCCCCCTCGATGGACTGTCACCTTATCGTGGTGAGGGGGCTTGCATGTTCCAATGAACCTGCAGGCACAACAACTGGAGTCGTGCACTCCCAGGAGTGGCCGCGGGGGAGGTTCCAGACCAAGCACAGTCCGAAGACCCAAAGACCTCAACGGCGGAGCAGGCGGAGGATAACATGGTACATGTTACAATGGCTGTGAAGGCGGAAGAAGGCTGCAACAGACTGAGAAGCCACGGTCATTGTGTTAAACTACACCACCAGTGGAACCTCACTCTGTGAAGACTGTGTGTTGATCAGTTGTGCACTGACCTCCACACACTAAAAAAACTCACGCACAAGCATCTTCCAAAGAAAATAAAAACAAACCAAGAAAAATCCCATGGCAATCAGCGAGTGGCGACGGGGGCAGGACTGTGAAATCTGGAAGCCCCTAGTCACAGACTGGCACATGGGCGGTGGGTACGGACTCAGTCGTTCTACCTCAAGGTCCGAGGCAGTTGAGTAGTTCGGCAGCTGTATCCACGACTGAGCAGCCCTTTTGAGGACCCACTCTGCTCACCCCACATGGGGAGGGGGCTAGAAAAGGTGCCCTAAACATAGTCTGCCTCTCTCATCCCTGACTGGACTGCCGCGTCCAGTGGGGTCACCACCCTGCGGCCAAAAAAGAAAAATGAACTTCGGTACATGGAATGTACGGACACTGATGGACAACAGTGACAGTGAACGCCCCGAACGCAGAACTGCCATCATTGCAAGGGAGCTGGGACGCTTCAACATCGACATAGCAGCCCTTCAGGAGACCCGGAGAGCAGGAGAGGGACAGCTGAAGGAAGAAAAAGGAGGCTACACCTTCTTCTGGAAGGGACTGCCAAAGAATGCACGGAGTTGGCTTTACTATCAGAAATGATCTGGTGAAACATTTGACCGAAGGACCCACTGGCATCAACGAACGACTCTCAACCCTCCGAATTGATCTTGCCAAAAACCAACAGGCAACCATCATAAGTGCCTATGTACCAACACTAGATGCTGATGAAGACATCAAGGAAAATTTACTGTCAGCTGGACACCGTCCTATCGGGGATACCTAAGGAGGACAAAATCATCCTCCTGGGGGACTTTAATGCAAGAGTTGGGCGAGACTTCGACCTGTGGCCAGGGACCATAGGAAAAGACGGGGTTGGAAACAGCAACTCGAATGGCATCCTGCTTCTCACCAAATGTGCGAACACAACCTTGTCATCACCAACATGCTCTTCCGCCAGAAAAACAAGCTCAAGACATCATGGAAGCACCCCCGGTAAAAGCATTCGCACCTCTTAGACTATGTAATCACATGTGCCAGAGACCACTGTGACGTGCTCCTCACAAGAGCCATGACAGATGCTGACGACTGCTGGACAGACCACAGGCTAATCCGATCCACGATGGCTATCAAGATCACCCCCAAGCGCAGACTCCAAGGAAGAAAGACAAGGAACAAAATGAACACTCAAGCCCTTCAGGAGCCCTCCAAACGAGCCCTTCTCCAAACAGCACTCAAGGACCATCTAGGACCAAAACTCAATTGCACTACGTTGGAAAGAACACTACCAAAGCCTCCTGAACCGCAGCTCCAAGGTAGCTGAAGAGGTTCTCTCACAAATCCCGCAACAACAAACCAGGGATGAGCTTGCAGCACTGCCTAGTTTGGAAGAAGTCAGCAATGCCATCAGCCAACAAAAAAATAACAAAGCCAGTGGACCTGATGGGATCCCTGCTGAAATCTTTAAAGAGGGAGGACCTGAGCTGACACAACAACTCCACCAGCTCATAGAAAAAGTGTGGGTGACCGAGAAAATCCCAGCAGATTTCAAGGATGCCACCATCATCACCCTCTTCAAAAAAGGGGAAAGAACAGACTGCAGAAACTATCGAGGTATCTCCCTTCTAACCTCCGCTGGGAAAATCCTCGCAAGAATCCTTGCAAACCGCCTTCTATCCCTCTCGGAAGACACCCTCCCAGAATCCCAGAATGGCTTCCGCCCCTCCAGAGGAACCGTGGACATGATCTTCACTGCACGACAGCTCCAAGAAAAATGCAGGGAACAAAATCAACCTCTGTACATGGCATTCATTGACCTTGCAAAGGCATTCGACACAGTGAATCGCAGCGCTCTCTGGGACCATCCTCCAAAAAATCGGGTGCCCTAACAAATTTGTGAACATCCTGCGGCTCCTCCATGGTGACATGATGGCAACAGTCTTGGACAGCAGTGGCTCCCAAAGTGACCCATTTAAGGTGGAATCAGGTGTCAAACAGGGATGTGTTATTGCCCTAACTTTATTTTCCGTCTTCATCGCTATGATACTTCATCTTGGTGACAGGAAGCTTCCCACCGGAGTGGAAATCATTCGGACAGAGGGCAAGCTATTTAACCTCAGCAGACTGAAAGCCAAAACCAAGGCTACAACAACATCTGTTATAGAACTCTAGTATGCTGATGACAACGTCATCTGTGCGCATTCAGAAGAAGATCTACAAGCCACTCTAAACACCTTTGCAGAAGCATACACGAAGCTTGGCCTGTCACTGAACATCGAGAAAACCAAAGTGCTGTTCCAGCAGTCACCAGCCATCCCCCCCCCAATGCCAGAGATACAGCTTAATGGTGTAACATTAGAAAATGTTGACCATTTCCGCTACCTTGGCAGCCACCTCTCCACCAAAGTCAACATCGACACGAAATACAACACCGCCTGAGCTCTGCGACTGCAGCATTTTTCCGAAGGAAGCAGAGAGTGCTTGAGGACTGGGACATCTGTAGGGATACCAAGGTGCTTGTTTGTAAAGCTATTGTCCTCCCAACCCTGCTATATGCCTGCGAAACGTGGACTGTCTACAGACGTCACATGCAACTCCTGGAACGATTCCATCAGCGCTGCCTCGGAAAATCCTGCAAATCTCTTGGGAAGACAAGCGGACAAACGTCAGCGTGCTGGAAGAAGCAAAGACCACCAGCATTGAAGCGATGGTCCTCCGCCATCAACTCTGCTGGACTAGCCACTTTGTCTGGATGCCTGATCACTGTCTCCCAAAGCAGTTGCTCTACTCCAAACTCAAGAATGGAAAACTGGTGGGCAGGAAAAGAGATTCAAAGATGGGCTCAAAGCCAACTTTAAAAACTGTGGCATAGACACTGAGAACTGGGAAGCCCTGGCTCTTGAGCGCACCAGCTGGCGGTTAGCTGTGACCAGCAGTGCTGCAGAATTTGAAGAGGCATGAATAGAGGGTGAAAGAGAGACACGTGCCAGGAGGAAGGCACGTCAAGCCAACCCCAACCGAGACCGCCTTCCACCTGGAAACCAATGCCCTCACTGTGGGAGAAGATGCAGGTCAAGAATAGGGCTCCACAGCCACCTACGGACCCACCAGAATATTGATCATGGAAGACTATCCTACTCGTCCAATGAGGGATCGCCTAAGTAAGTACATAACTCCTCCCCAGCAGTCAGAGAATACCTACTTTAACTCCATAGTTGAAATCTCCTGCATCATTTCTTTTATGACATCGTCAGTCAAGTTCGCACCCATTGACTCACTCAATGTTTTTATGAACCGTTCCTTTTCCTGCCTCTGCCTAGAAAGAGAAAAGATAGATACACTGTGGTTTACCAAGCAACAGTATTTCTTGTATGAAATAAATTCAAATTCCATGTAAAATAAATGGTAATGGAATACAAAATGCTTTACAATCATACTGGGCCACAAGTGATCACTTATGAAATGATACTGAGATACCTTTTGATCCAACTAGCTCAGTTCACTAATGTGCAATAGGTCTCCTAAGTTTCATAAAGAAATATTTCCCAGCCCCTCAAAAGACCAAGGAACTACATCTTGACTCTTTTACACACAAAATACACATTCTAGCATTGAACTATGGCGCTTTCCAGTCAAATACATCTGACAGATGGATCCAGACAACCCTCACACTACAATGGAGGGTGAATCCCATCCTCAGCATAACCAGAAGCCACATTCTTCAAGTGTGAAAGGGCTATACTTGCATACCCGTGGGAAACCACTTCAGACACCAGCCAATTATTAGTTTTGAGACTTTACTTTAAACTGTTTATTTTAATGCTGTTAATATTTAATTCTATTTTAATGTTTGTATATTTTATGATATTCAATTGTATTGTACTGATTCTATTATAAGCCTCCTTGAGTCTCTTTTTTAGAGAAAAGTGGGACACAAAAGACACAAATAAAAATAAATAATAATAAATATAAATAAATTAATAAATAAAATACATAGCTGGTGAGATATGCAGCTGATGCAGCTAGACCACCATTTGCCCTGCACATGTACTCAGTGCAAGAGGGTTCATCTGAATTCTTCCACTATACGTGTGTCTCAGCCAAAGCAAGAATTTCTGCTCTCCTGACTCACTATAGATACCAAAGAAAACTTACCTTTCTTCTTCAGCCTGACGCTTTTCATCTTCAAATCTCTCTCTTTCTGCATTTAATACAATAGATGCAGTTTCACTCGACATCTCCAGCATAACCTCTGACATGAGTTCATCTGTAGCAACACTGGAAATTCTGACAAAGGATGGAAATCATAAATGGGTTTTTGCTGATGGGTAGGCATATAATAATAATAATCATCATCATCATCATAAAGATTTATTCATATTCCTTCCCCTCTTCCCAAGAGACTCAGGGCGGCTTACAATATAAATAATACAATAAACTGCAATAGACAAGAATACATAAAATGAAATAAACAATTAACAACACATCAATTTGATGTAACACATAAAATACAGCATAACCCAATAAACAAAGAAGAAAATCATAGATTTTTAGCAGTGTGTAGTAAAAGTCTGCTTCTTATTAACTCCTTCGCCCATACTGATATCTGTAAAATCAAAATTAGAGCTCTACCCCACCACATTACATTAAATACGATTACAATCAGCCATCCACATTTGTGGGTTTCTCTTTTACAGATCGGATTAAAATATTCTCTCAGCTGATCAAGGAGTCATGTTGAAGGATGAGAAAGGAACAACATCCCTCTAGGAATCTTTGGGTCCTCTACCACAAATATATAGTCAGCTTCCAGCTGAAATTGACCACAGAGTTGTGTTGAGGAACCTAGAAATTCCCAGATAAGTGTTCTCTAAATAATTCAAAATAATGTTCAATTCACAGTTTTTCACTTTTGTGGGAGTCTTGTGCCCCTCATCCCAGTGAATGAAAATAGCTCACTGTATCAAACACACAAGTGTACTAAACAATTGGCCTAATTGTCAGAGTTATTATTTAATTAGTTCACAGTAAACAAAGCACAGTTCCCACTACTGGAGAAATATACAGATTACAAGCAAAAAACTTCACTACAACTCTCTTGCCCAGAGACCAGGAAAGCAAATGGTATCCTTGAATTTGCCTAAGGTAACAGGACAATTATTTTCCTCACAGTTCAAATTGACTTTTTTGGGGAAGCTCCAGACAACACTGAAATCATAGAGTCATAGAGTTGAAAGAGACTTTGTGGAGCCTCCAGTCAAAACTCCTGCCAAGAAGCAGGAAAAATGCATTCAAAGCACCCCCGACGGATGGCATCCAGCCTCTGTTTAAATGGTTAGCAAGAGGAAGTTAATTGGTCATATTAAAAGTTTGGTCATAAAACCAAGGAGAAGAATGGAACACACAAAAATCAGATGTATATTTTCCCTCTCTTCCCCTCACCCTTAGTTTGTGCCCCCTTCACCAGGACCAACCAACTCATGTTGTTTCACCATTCCAAAATATCATTGTTTCTCTCGCTGGCTTATACCCCTTTCCCTCATTAAGCACATACTCAATGAATTTTCTCCATATTTTCCAAAAGTCTGTTTGTTTACATATTCCCTTTTTAATTTTAACATTGCAAGTTAGCTTATCATTAATCGCCATATTCCAAATTTCCCTATACCATTCTTCTAACTGAATTTCTTTCCAGTTTTTTGCTATTAACAATTTAGCTGCAGTTATCAAATTAGAAACCAATTCTTTCTCCTCTTGTAAGGGAATTATATTATCATGTATAAGTAATAATGCTAATTTTGGTGTAATCTCAATCTCTATTTTTATTTTTATTATTGCTCTTATTTCTTTGAATATGTTTTCCCAAAAAGCATTACATTTATTTAAACAGAGAGTATTTTGAGTACAGTAATAGAAACTCTAAGTTATTAGCTAATGCAGCACACACTAGGAAACAAAAGAAATTGATAACTATGATTAAAGATAAGGATCGAAAACAGTGCATGAGAATGGAGGATAAAATACTAATTTTTCAGGAATTCTATCAGGATCTGTATACAGCAAATGAAGCACCTAGAAAGAAAATTGAAGAGTATATAGACATTGTAAAATAAAGACCCAAAAACCAGATAAATTAATTATGGAGCAAGCAATGTCAGAGAAAGAGAAAAATCAGATGTATAACACCACATAGCACCCTATAAACCAGAATAACTGTCCAATGTGAGGATTTGCTTTTACCTATGTATTATTACAGTATAAAGATAATTTCTTCAAAGGAGAATTGACACACAAATAGCACAAATCACTTCTGGAATGCAATTTGAAAATAGTGAGTGGAGTAACAGTGTCTCTACCCTATTGCTGACTTGACATAGGCTGCTCCTGCATTGCTGATCTCTCTGGATTCCGCCTCCAAGACTTCATGCACAAGATCTTCAACCACCTCCGCAATGTCCTAGGGGAAAAAAGAGAACACTGGGAAGAAGCACTCGACACTCTGTATAATTTCCACGTATGTTTTCTAGCACTTGAAAAAGCAAGGAAAACCATACTCTATGAAAAAAATTCAAAAATGTGGATGAAAAGGAATTGCTCCACAATCTACAGCAACAGGACATTTTATCGTATCTATAAAGCTTGAAGGAGAGTAAAGATCACTTGTTTCAAGTCATTCATCAGAATCATTCATTTAGTAGCTGAAAATTATTCAAAGATCCATATCTGAATTCTGTGTGTGTGTTTGGATGATGAAGGCTTTTAGTTCTCTATCCCGATTATAACATAATGGGTCAGCCAGCTAAGTATCAGAGTAGGAAGGGACTCTATAGGTTATCACGTCCAACTCTCTAGCAATGCATTTATCCAAAGCATCCTATCATTACTAGACAGCAAACAATTTCCACAGGCGAGTGCCCTTAGTTTTATATTATTGATCTTCACCTCTTTTTTTTTAAACCCAAACCATCATTTTTCTTTCAAGACAGGTTAACTGCATTATTTCATTACCAGCCAATACTGGATCTTTTTATCTTGGCCTCAGTATCAATATACCAATTTTAATGACACTTTACTACCTGTATCGCATTCCTCTTTTAAAGATTTCAGACATTACAAGGAAACATCTTCAGTTGGAACAAAGACTGCATCTACAGTGCCATATAATGCAGTTTGAAACTGCATTATATGGTCAGGCTGGACCCCTATAACACTGTTTAACTACACTGAACTTCACTATATGAGTCTACATCCGGGCGTCCTCTGGGCAACATCTTCGTACACGGCTGATTCTCTCACTCCAGTTTTAAACTGCATTATATGGCAGTGTAGATTTATTTATTTTTATTTATCATGACAATAGCAACCAGGCAATTGTATTACATTTTTAACAAATTTTTAACAAACAGACAAAACTGAGCTTGCAAGCTTGGTAGTTGGGACATGAGAGAAGCCTCCTCGCAGGATTGCAAGACATCCGGGCGTCCCCTGGGCAAAGTCTTCGTAGACGGCCGATTCTCTCACTCCAGAAGCAATTAGAAGATGCAGTGTAGATGGGGCCAAAGAATTGTTGTCTGAGGATTAGTCAACAGCTAATACAGGAACAGTCCCTATTTCCTGACAGTCCTTACCATATCACTGTAAACAGGCTGAGGTTTTGGTGGTGGAGGTAAAGGCTGTGTAAGAGGCTGAAAGGAAGATCCCATAGTGGAAGGCAATGGTGCTGGTGGGAGTAAAGATGAAGGCAGAGCATGAACCACTTCAGAGTCCATAGTACTAACTTCCACTCTTGGTTCTGTAAGAAAAAATCAAGTGGTAAAATATCCACTCCCACTCTGGCCCTCTGTTTGTGGGGTCTGTTTGTGAATTTGTGGGGGCCCTGAGATTGAGGATTTGCCACAAATTATTTACTCTTCTCCACATTATATACAGAACCAAGATCCAAATTCTTGACATCTATTCTGTCTAACCTATGTTCCAATAATGTGTCAAAAAATCTATTTCCTGTGTGACAGGATAATTGCCAATGTCTGAAAATTCAAGCACCCCATGGAAGACACTATTTTAAGATTATAACTACTACATACCTGCATGGAAGATATATTGGCATACCTGAGTGGATTTTTCTTTGTTCTATAATCACAGGTCCATACACTACCCTCTGTATTTTTAGGCTCACCTGTAACATCCACATTGACCTTCTGATTACTGGTGGTTGGATCAACTCCAGCATTCTCCCCTGTGTATCTGTTCTGTGCATTAAAGCTACACACAGGGACATGGCGAATTATGGGTTGTAGAGGCCCTCCATTGACTATTTCCCCAATCGACACAGTCAGCTTCTGCCCAACAAACACTGATTTCTTTGGCTTGGGCAAGCTTTCTGGCTCCAAAAATGCAGACCGATTCAACTCGACAAAACTGTAAAAACAAGAAACAAAATAAATCTTGACCTTAAATAAAATGTACCACAGGTGTTTATGGATATGGGTCCAGAAAATGCAACTGCAATGGGCAACAGCAATATTGTAAAGTTATTATATCCTTTTCTCTATTTGGAAGCTGTTTTAGGGAGCTAGAAGGTAAACCAAGTTAAGATGCACACCAATTTAATATTAAGTGAGCATTATAAAACACCATAACCTGAATTCTGTTAGGGCAAGAAGTTGTACTTTCTCAGGTTGTATAAATGTGATGCCTACTGCAGATAAATGCTCCACGATTATACAAAACCCTCCATCGTATTTAAATTAGTAGGTGCATAGCTGATAGACCTTTGTAAAACCTGAGCTCAAGGTGTTAAGTCCATTATTTAATATGTGGATCCAGTGTATTTTTTTGTGTGTGTCAGAAACTGCAAGTAGCTTCTGGTGTGAGAGAATTGGCTGTCTGCAAGGACGTTGCCCAGGGGATGCCCGGATGTTTTTATGTTTTACCATCCTTGTGGGAAGCTTTTCTCATGTCCCCATATGAGGAGCTGGAGCTGACAGAAGGAGCTCTCCCTGGATTCGAACCTGCAACCTGTCGGTCTTCAGTCCTGCCAGCACAGGGCCACCCACTGCGCCACCAGGGCAGTGTAATTATGCTGCCATATATTTATGTTGTGTTACAAGTCTACTGGACCTCGGTCAGCAACCCCTTGCAACAAAGGATTGTACTGTAAATAATGAAATCTAGTAATGTATTCCTAATATTTGTTTAGTGTTAAATCAGTGTACTTCTCTACTAATGGAGTGTTCTGCATATACAGACTATTTAAGGTGAGAAAAAGATAAGTTTGCCAAAGCCTGGAAAACAACTCTATATAGCAAGTGAAAACAAACCTTATGGCGTAACTATGACCTGTGCCCACAAATGAACAAATATAATCTCTGGTCTTTGCACTAGCTACAGTATCTGAATAGGCTTTTAAAGCTTACCTACTTATGTATAGATATAGTAACATAGCCAAGAGTACCAGATAGCTAAAAATACAAATGATAACAGTGAAAAAAATTACAAACAGAAGAGAAGGGAAGGGAAGGGAATGAATAAAGGACTGAAGGACTGATAAAGGACTGAAACAAAACTACAACTCATCAGATGAAACAAAATGTAGGGGGGAGGGGTTCTACTCAGGATTCTAAATCTACCATTCATTCCCTTCCCTTCTCTTCTGTTTTTAATTTTTTTCCTTTTAACCAGTCAATATATTACTGTGGTCATTAAATATGTTCAGCCCCAGTTTGGTTGCTTGTGCTGCTGGTAGGTGGTTTCTAAAGATTTTGGGAAGGAGAGAGGGTGTGCGAACCTTGGTGTTTCTCAAAGCTAGGTGAAATCTCACAACTAAGATTTCTACTAGTATATATATCGAAGCAAGTCACTGGGCATTCCAGAAGTCAGTCATTACTACCTTCATTGTCCAAATCAGAGCTTTCCAAACTGTGTGTCACATCACATTAATGTGCTGGCTGAAGTGCAAAGGTGCACCACATGAACGTAACTAGAAATCTCTTGAGTCTATCTGAAGTAAACAATAAACCATATAAATATATTTTCAAATATAAATAGAAGTTTTTCATGTTATTTGAGTTATTACAATTTATGTATGTGCTAATCTCTTATAAGGAGTTGGTTTAACCTCAGTTATGCTAAAAACAATGAATTACTGTTTCCTAAATTATGCATATCTAAAAAGTGTGCCACTAACATGCAATTTTTGGAAAACTTTGGTCAAGGTCGGGGTCCTCAAACTAAGCCCGAGGGCCAGATACAGCCCTTCAAGGTCATTTACCCGGCCCTCGCTCAGGGTCAACCTAAGTCTGAAACGACTTGAAAGCACACAAATAACAACAATCCTATCTCATCAGCCAAAGCAGTCCCACACTTCCCACTGAAATACTAATAAGTCTATATTTGTTAAAATCGTTCTTCATTTTAATTATTGTATTGTTTTTAAGTGTTTTTGCACTACAAATATGTGCAGTGTGCATAGGAATTCATTCATGCTTTTTTCAAATTATAATCCGGCCCTCCAACGGTTTGAGGGATTGTGACCTGGCCCTCTGTTTAAAAAGTTTGAGGATCCCTGGTCTAGAATTATTATTTAGTAAACGGGAAAAGCCTAGATTTTTTTTAAAAAAAACATGGATGGAGTTGACCTAAATTGCTGACTGCCACTTTAAATCCTGGCAAATTTGATGATACAAAATTGATGACTGGTACAAAGAGGTATGGAATATTGCAGTAAATGATACACTGACTTGTGTAAAAGGGGAGTAACAAAAATAAATGATTTTGAGGCAATAGGGGGCAAATTTGTCAAAGAAAAAGGAACAAACCGAAATCAATATACATTAGCATTTTGCAGAAGAGGTGAATATAAAAATTATTAATATTAAAGATGAATAAGTATTCCATGGGTAGTGGGTGCAAATAGAGATTACATGTATAAAAAGCTATGATTAATTGTTTAATTGATTTATTGTTCTGTGTTATTGTTAGTTGTGTGTGATTTGTATAATGTATTTAATATGAATAAATAAAAAAAATAAAACTGGCAAATTTGTTTTTCTAGTCTCTGGGAAGGGCACCAGCCAACACTTACCCATCAGACACACTCAAGCCATAATAACTTATGAAATCAATTGCATCTTCAAAATGCCTGAACAGTAACATGCGGACCACATTATCCAGTGGGAAAATAGTAGCTCTCTGAGTGCTCACAGTATAAGCCACATTGAGAGACTTTAGAGCATCTCTGCGAATCTGAAAAACATTTGAAGAGTTTCTATTACTTTTTAAAATTATGTTGCTTAACGTTTTCTTTAAAAAAACACCATTCAGCTCCTGGCATCAGGAACAACAGAATCAGACCTTACTGGCAAAATTTCCTCACCTCTGACCCACAAGCCTGCAAAATCTCTTCCATAAAATTAGGGGAAAATCCAGAAGGGATTGTAGAGTTTAGAGAGCTCATACAGAAGGTGAGGAGATAGAAGGGAATGCCTATTTTATTAAATTAATAAAGACATATTCAAGTTGCTTTATCTTCCATTGTTTATGAATTACAGATTGCGAACCATTATCTGGAATACAATGAAATTACTGCAACAGCAATATTGCATAGGGATGTAGAAGTTCGTGGGTGTCCTCGAGAAGGGTAGTGAACATGGATGCAATACATCTTCCATCCTTAATTACTGTGAAAAGTTTCATAGATCTTCTTTCATTTCTCCTTTTGCTAATCTTAATTCATAGGTTAACTTTTCTAATAGGAATACCACCCATATCCTGTTTAACTAATTCTTTATTGATAAATAATCTAGCTTTTTTCAGTTTCTGACTAGTTTAAGTCTGGTGGGACATACCATGAGCATGTAAGATTTGTATCTACTAAATCCTTGTTCTCACTTTTGTACATAAAAGTAATTACTAGAGCACCCCTGAAAAGGACAATTTCCTCCACTATTTGGCTTATCCGTGACAGAACTTCATTCCAGCACATTAGCCACATGTGAGTTGAATCCCTTCTTGGGTTGTTGTAGGTTTTTCGGGCTATATGGCCATGTTCTAGAGGCATTCTCTCCTGACGTTTCACCTGCATCAACTGACCACCTTGGTTAGCATTTGATGGCCTGGCAGTACCTGGGGCAATCTTTTTTTAAGAAATGATTAGAGGAGAAAGTTGCCCCAGGCACTATGAGGCCATCAAATGCTAATCAAGGTAGTCAGTTGAAACATTCACACCTAGCTCCAACAGGCAAGTGTCCTTTATCTCAACCTGGTCATTCCAGATATATAAATCCTTTTTCCCAGTTCCAACAGACCTCACTACCTCTGAGGATGCTTGCCATAGATGCAGGCGAAACGTCAGGAGGGAGTGCCTCTAGAACATGGCCATATAGCCTGAAAAAACCTACAACAACCCAGTGATTCCGTCCATGAAAGCCTTCGAGAATCCCTTCTTTCTCCATACATTCCCCAACATAGTTTAGAGATTCCATTATTAATTCTATGTAGTTTGAGTGGATACCATCTATGCATAATTTTCAGTTTTTTCTCTCAGATGTGCTGAATGCTTGGGTTTTCCGAAATGAGTTCCTCCGCCCCTTTCCTGCTATGCAGACTTCTGACTTCCAATGGATGGAAGTCTGCTAAGCAAACACATGATAGCCAACTGCTCCTCTTCATAAGAATCTGATTCTTGGAAGGAACTGAATGCCAAAACATGCCTAAAATATCTTAAGCAATGAAGGAAAATTTTTTTCTTCTTTGGAAGCAATTCAGAAGTGTTACTTCTTACCTGACTGAAGTAGCAATGCAACAAGCAAGCATTCAGGTAAGATGCTTTCTGGACAAGTTTGAAAAACCTGACGAAATTATTGCTATTTAACGCAGCAAAGGTTTGAACCGCAAATCTAACTTCAGCAGAGTTGCGGACTTCAGGACGAAACTGTTGCACTTCTCTGTTGAGACAAAAAAAAGGAACGAATTCACTTCCAATAGAAACCATGTTGTGCAATACATATGCACAAAATACATCAGTAAATCCACATGAACAGTCATCCATTTAAATTCCAGGACTCCCACTATCTGGATGAAGCAAATTATTTTTTTTAATATTCACTAGTTTAATTCACCCAAGAACAGGAGGAATCAGGCAATGACAAAATTGTCAGTTTAATTCCCTGAGTACATTATAAGAAAGACAAATATGTTTTTGATTCCAAAGAGAGAGGATTAGAAAGGTCATTCATGCAGATATTAAAATGGGATCTGTTTTAGGTAAACGATTAGGCTAATTGGGCTTTTATTCTCTTTTAATTCTGCTTCTATGGAAGTATCAGTGAATGAAAATCTGCTATGAAAGAAGCAGAGTGTAATTTAAACTGTTGTTCAAATCTTGTAACTGCTGGCAATAGAGGGGAGCCGCTCAATGCTGTAACCATTTAAAGATTCACCTTAGAATATCCCCATTGTTGAGGTTCAGGAGGACATTATACCCTCTGAATTCTGCTTCACTCTTGCAGTAAATGCCCTTATTGGCAAGGTCCTGGTACATTTCCTTCAGGCTTTGAAGACATTTGGTCATGTTTTCATTGTTGATCTTTGCATCAAAAGACGACATAGGCTCTTCGCATAAGTGATGAGAACAGTGGATGTGAAAACGGGTACATTTCTCAATCAAGGAAACTGTCAGAGGACAGCAGAGATGTTGCTGGGTTATATCCTGAACAAATATATAAGTGCAAAAATGGAAGTAACAAAGTATCCTCTGACTCCACTTACATGTTTCAAATGACTTCTTTTACAGATTCCTCTCATTCTACAAATCTCAAAGACAAGACATTGACAACTCAGATGCAGCTTAAAACAGAAACAATGTCTTGTCACAGCCTTGGCTCGGTGGGATCATGAAAGTTGTAGTTTGGTGAGCTTTTGGCACTTTTTGGCAAAGACAGATAAAAACCTTGCAAAACTGCAACTCCCACGAGTCCATAGTATTAAGCCATGGCAGTTAAAGTGATGTTGATTGCATTATATCTGCAGTGTAGGCACTTACTGAATCCAAACAGTTAAAGAGTGAAGATAAAAATGCCCAATCCTGAACACACATGTAACTACATCAGACTACATATTAACCAGGAATAAAAATATTTCTAAACGAGAAAAAAAAAAGAGTGAAGATAAAAATGATCCATACATTACCACAGGAAGCATAAAGGAAGTTAGTGCCCAAGGAGAACAAGTGTTACACATGACATAGAAACACATGAGTAAGAGACCAATAATAATAATAATAATAATAATAATAATAATCTTTATTTATATACCGCTCCATCTCCCCGAGGGGACTCAGAGCGGTTCCCAAGGAACATCATAAAACACAGAGAGTAAAAACAACATCACCATAAGATTAACAAAATATAAGCATAAAAATTGTCACCATAACACACATATATTAAAAGTAATCCTGCCTGTTCAAGGCAATTAAAAATTTAAAGAGCCGTGCCAAGATTTGAGCAAGCCCAAAAATTCTAGGGGGCCCAGGAATTAAGTGCAATGCTATGGCAGGCAACAATAATATTAGGTACAGGTCTGTGGCTGTCCATTCCAGGGCCAATTAGAGGAAAGAATCTGGGTAACTGGTAGGAAGAATAAGGCCGTATTTGACAATGTGTGGGGCTGAGATAGAACTGGTCATTTTCAAAGGCTTGTTGAAACCACCAGGTCTTCAAGCCCTTAAAAAGGAGGGGAGGGATGGGGCCTGTCTTATTTCCCTTGGAAGGGTGTTCCAGAGACGGGGGGCCACCACCGAGAAGGCCCTCTCTCTCGTCCCCACCAACCGCGCTTGAGACGGTAGTGGGACCGAGAGGAGGGCCTCCCCAGAAGATCTTAGAGCTTGCGCCAGTTCATAGAAGAAATTAGAAGTTCTGTATGAGATTGGAGAAATGTTTTTGAAGAACTAGGCATTTACTAGAAAAATTGCGAAGATATTAGGACTGGGGATACACAGGCAAAATGTGAACTACCATGCTGAGGTGATGAGAGCAGATTAGATATTTTATACTTCAGCCTCCAATACCAGAAGCAGGAAATGACAAAAATGAGAGCGAGAGACAGAAGCAGTTCATTACTGAAGACCATCTCACAGTGTACATTGTAATTCCTGAATGGCAGAATAGGGTTGGACTGGATGGCCCTTGTGATCTTTTTCAACTGTAGGGTTCTGTGATTCAAGGTTGTTGTATGTTTTCTGGACTGTAGGGCCATGTCCTATGGCAGGCATCCTCAGAGGTTGTGAGGTCTGTGGGAAACTAGGAAAATGGGTTTTATATATCTGTGGAATGTCCATGGTGGGAGAAAGAACTCTTGTCTGGTGTGAATGTCTCAATTGGCCACCTTGATTAGCATTTGATGGCCTAGCAGTTTTCAAGGTTGCCTTCTTACTGCCTGGGGGAATCCTTTGTTGAGAGTTGATTAGCTGTCCCTGATTGTTTATTGTCTGGAGTTCCCCTGTGTTTGAGTGTTGTTCTTTATTTACTGTTATAATTTTAGAGTTTTTTAATACTGGTAGCCAGATTTTGTTCATTTTCATGTTTCCTCCTTTCTGTTGAAATTGTCCACATGCTTGTGGATTTCAGTGGCTTCTCTGTGTAGTCTGACATGGTGTGTTTAGAGTGGTCCAGCATTCTGTGTTCTCAAATAATATGCTGTGTCCAGGTTGGTTCCTCAGGTGCTCTGCTATGGCTGACTTCTCTGATTGACTTAGTCTGCAGTGCCTTTCACGTTCCTTGATTCGTGTTTAGGCGCTGTGTTTGGTGGTCCCTATGTAGACTTGTCCACAGCTGCATGGTACACGGTAGACTCCTGCAGAGGTGAGAGGATCCCTCTTGTCCTTTGCTGAACGTAGCATTTGTTGGATTTTCTTAGTGGGTCTGTAGATAGTTTGTGGGTTGTGTTTCCTCATCACCTTCCAGTTGTTCCCTTAATGTATGGTAAGAACACTTTTCCTCTGGGTGGATCTTTGTCTTTACTCTTGTGGCTTGTTCTCAGTCTTGCAGCTTTTCTGATGTCTGTGGTGGAATATCCATTAGCCTGTAAAGCCCAGTTTAGGTGGTTCAGCTCGTCTTGGATAGTGGTTCCCAATCTTGTGGGTCCCCAGATGTTTTGGCCTTCAACTCCCATAAATCTTAACAGGTAAACTAGCTGGGATTTCTGGGAGTTGTAGGCCAAAAACCTGGGGACCCACTGGTCCTGGAGGAGGTGGGGTTCGCAGATTCTTTTTGCATAGTCTGCCAGGGCTTTAATTGTGCTTCTTTTTTTTACATGGGTGATGGTTGGAGTTTTGTGTAGATATCTATCCATGTGCGTAGGTTTTCTGTAGACTGTGTGACCCAATTGCTGATCTGGATTGCAGATGACTAGGACATCTAGAAACAGCAGCTTTCTTTCATTTTCTTTTTCCATGGTGCACTGGATATTGTTGAGGTTATACAGGAACATGTTTAGTTCTTCTTCTCCATGGCTCCAAATGGTGAAGGTGTCATCCATATATCTGAACCGTATAGTGGGCTTTTTGTTGCTGTTTCCATGGCTTGTTTTTCAAAGTGTTCCATGTAGAAACTTGCTATGACTGGACTGAGAGGGCTCCCTATAGAATCTATGATTATAGCCACTAGTATAGCTTCACATGATTTCCTCAGGCTGCTTCTATTTATTAAACTCCCCCACGGGACTTAAAAATACTGTCATAAATGCAAAAATAATGTGTGTCCTCCAACTAGCTGTCTCCTATGGCACCTTGGGAAGATCTTGTCCTTTCCATTTCCAAATAAAAGGTGCTAATTCCCAAATTTCTGGGCAACACAAAAATAAAGAGTGACTAATATTTATAAATCATCAAATTAATGAAAATATATACGCCTACAAATCATTTTAGTTTTTAAAATATGTGTCTAGAACGCATTGCTAAGAGGTAAAAAAATAACCACAAGTGCTCCAAAAAAATATTGCTGTAATGTAATCGCACCCTTTGGGGGAGGGGATATTTTTTCCCAGTTTCTATCGCCTTTGGATAAAACTTATTAATAATTACTTTTTTCGACTGTATCACAGGAAAGATTTTGCCCCTGAGTAGTTACCTTTCTTATGCCACGGGTTCTGTTCCACACAAAATCATACCATTCCCGATAGTTTCCTTCTCCTTTGTCCATGATTTGAGTTACTAAGTAATCCATGGTCATACTCAACACCTCAGAAGGCCTCAGTTCATGTGGCAAAGGCTCCTCCTGGTCTGCTGAGGACCTGCTGTATTCCTTTACTGCTGCAGCATGATCAACCTGAAATAAGAAGTGAGCAAACTCTTCAGTACAACTATTTCTGCCACCCTCAGCTATGTTTGCTGCAAAGCAAATCAGTGAATAAGATTAGTCTTTGGACCTCTCAATCTTCAATGAGAAGTCGAATATATTTACGCATGTGTTCAGATGAAATATTCAATTACTGAACTTAACTGTGGTTTATTTCAGACACCCAATCATTAGGTTTGTTTGTGGCCAACAAATTACAGTCTAAAACAATAGTCTGAACACACTTTCCTTGCTGGAACCAGGATATGTCATTATGTGCAAGAACATGACGGGTGCTCCCCCAAAACACCCACACATTTCTGATTAGATTATTCAGGAGTTTGTCACTGCTACTTAAATAGCCCCACTCCTTCTGGTGCCACTCTGGCTATCCTTTCATGTTCTGCAAAAAACACCAGCCCTTAACTCCACTGAACACCTTCCCACCATGACGATTCAACCCAGCTGTTCCAAATAATTGCCTGACACTCACTTCAAGAGCAAATTGGACCCAAATACAAATAAGTCACAAAACTGTTCTGAAAACATGAGTCTGTTAGTTTCTAGGTCACAGGCACAGAAAATGTTCTCAAGTACCTTGTCAGTTCCTGGAATCACTTCAAAGAAACTAAGCTGGTTCCTTGTTTCTCTCATATAACGCTCTTTCTCTGGACACATGTCTGGACATGTGCCAACAAAGGTTTTCGCTTTCCCAAGGTCTATTTGTTTTACTCGGGCTATAAAAAAATTAAGAGAAATCAAGGATTAAATGGGGGAGTAAAAAATGTGAGCATTTGGTTGCTAATATTGCTATACGGATCCACACCAAAAATAACAGCCTGTATTCAGAGATTGCTGATAAAGGCTCAGCATCTCCCTGGAGGAAGGTCTCAAATGCAATGCTGCAAGTCCCAGACCTTGTGCTGTTCAACATTTCTGAAGTTTAAGGGCAGAAATGTTAAGATAACAGAAGGTCACGAAGGATAAACAGCACCAGAGAAGACAAGATCAACATTTGAAAGGAATCAGAGGGAATTGCATACTGTATCACAACAGGAAGATGAAATTCAGAAGTGATAATCATAATTTTGATTGTATGTAGGGTCCTCAAACTTTTTAAACAGAGGGCCAGGTCACAGTCCCTCAAACTGTTGGAGGGCCGAATTATAATTTGAAAAACAAACAAACCATGAATGAATTCCTATGCACACTGCACATATCTTATTCGTAGTGCAAAAACAATACAATAATTAAAATGAAGAACATTTTCAACAAATATAAAATTATTAGTATTTCAATAGGAAGTGTGGGCCTACTTTTGGCTGATGAGATAGGATTGTTGTTGTGTTCTTTCAAGTCATTTCAGACTTAGTTTGACCCTGAGCAAGGGCTGGGTAAATGACCTTGGAGGGCCGCATTCGGCCCCCAGGCCTTAGTTTGAGGACCCCTGATGTAGGGGATAAAGCAGAAGTGTATGATAGAGGAGACTTGGCTTAAAAGCAGCACATTAAAACAATTTAGGTATTTTAGAAGCTCGTATTTATTTGAACATAAATTTGGCTTGTATTTATTTGAACATAAATACAAGCCAAATGATGTAATGCACCAGCTAAAAAAACCTTAATGGAATCTAGTGGCACAGTAACAATAGTAATATGCCTATATTAGGAAAGAAAAAAGTTGCATCTATATTGTATTACTCAGGACACATTTTAAATACGTCACATTTTAAGGAGGATTCTTACTAACTCAGCACCATCCAGAGAGGGAAGAGGGAAGTTAAAAGAATTGTGTATGTTTTGGTCTGAAGAAAAATTAATTAAAGACAGATGTGATTACAGAACAAGAGAGCTGGAAGAGGGAAAGGAGAGGGTTTGCAAGGATCATAGAGTTGGAAGAGACCTCATGGGCCATCCAGTCCAACCCCTGCCAAGAAGCAGGAATATTGCATTCAAATCACCCCTGACAGATGGCCATCCAGCCTCTGTTTAAAAGCTTCCAAAGAAGGAGCCTCCACCACACCAAAGAGTTCCACTGCTGAACGGCTCTCACAGTCAGGAAGTTCTTCCTAATGTTCAGATGGAATCTCCTTTCTTGTAGTTTGAAGCCATTGTTCCGCGTCCTAGTCTCCAGGGAAGCAGAAAACAAGCTTGCTCCCTCCTCCCTATGACTTCCTCTCACATATTTATACATGGCTATCATGTCTCCTCTCAGCCTTCTCTTCTTCAGGCTAAACATGCCCAGCTCTTTAAGCCACTCCTCATAGGGGACAGGTTTCATCTGAGAGAGGCAGGTTTCATTATTATTATTATTATTATTATTATTATTATTATTATTATTATAAAACTTTATTTGTACCCCGCTAGCAGCTCCTGAAGGACTCGATGCGGCTTACAAAGGCCAAGGCCTCAACACAACAACAGCAAAACAATAACAATACAATTCAAAGCAAATTAAAAACATAAGCAATAACAAAACATTACATCATTACATAATAAAACCAGGGCCGGGCCAGTGATGGGTACAGGTTAAAAAGTGCTGGGTGTGGCAGGTGGTATGTTGGATTTCTGGGCAAGTACAATGTGCAGAGAGTCTTAAACTCTAATAAAGTGCTTCTGGGACATAGTGCTGGAGTTAATCCTAATCCGGAAAGGCACATCGGAATAGACAGGTCTGAGAGAAACAGTAAAAGCAGTTCCGTAGCAAAACAGAAGATTCTCCTGGTACAGTAGTATTTATACAAAGGACAGACAGGCATTTGACAAGAGTACTGTAACTAATTTCATGTAAACTATATCTTTCCTTCAATTTCAGTTCATTATTGGAAATGCTTTGGATGCTAATACAGCACATAATTAACATGTGCATCTTTTTCAGTCAAATAAACATGATAATTTTCCAGGAGATTATAGGATTCAGGGGAGGGGAGAGGATGCAAGAAAATATACCAATTCAGTATGAGAAGTTCTCCTTATCATTTTCTGAACCAATAGTTGTTTGGCCAGACAGGGTAGGAGGGATAAGTCCCATACACTTTTCCAAATATCTTTTTTTCTCAAGTAGATTAAAGACTCCTACCTTGCCGCATGATTTTATCTCTCTGGTCTAGAAGACGGTATTTATCTTCAGAGGTCTCTGCCACCATGCCGATAAGGCTGCTGGAGGACGCTGGAGATACCTCCACATTCTCGGAGCTGTGTACTTCAGGTATAGAATCAAAGGCATACGCCTCAAATTGCAGAGCCTTTTTAAGGCCAGGTTTCTTAACTGGAGAACTGTAAACAAGAAGAGGTGTTTCAAAGAATTCCTTGACTGAAGAAGAACAGGCTGCTAGGAAACGGGAGACACACCTCTGGCTTGGCATGCTCAGCCCCTCTATGCACAGATACATCTTATGGAGAGTAAGGGAAGGGCACATAGTTCTGGTATACGATATACCAGCCCCACATGGGTGCTGTGAGTGTGATGAATTCAGTAAGTACAGTAATCATTAACTATTCTAAATTTTACCTCATTTTAATGACTCCTTTAAACAAATATGGAGAGGGAGGTTTCTTCATTCTCCAAAGGATATTTTAGAGGAAGGGTGTCCAGCCTTTGGCTTCCATGGGCCACACATAAAATAGGCTAACACTAATGATAACTGATGATACCCCCCCCCCCCACAAACACGCACACACCAAAAGTCCATGCACACTTTTCATATGTAGCAGCAAAGATAAGCTTTTAAAAAAGCCTTGCAAAATAATCCTAATTATATGCCACCCCATTCAGAGGACTTTTTACAATGATAAAACAGGTCTTCTGGCTCAACTGTTTGCAATTATAATGTGAATTATGGATAATACTCCAATATTTGTAGATGTAACATACTCTGATTATTTCATTGCATTCTGTAGTTTAAAATATTTGCATCCAAGACATATTTAAAAACACCAAATCATCCAGGCGTCCCCTGGGCAACGTCCTTGCAGACAGCCAATTCTCTCACACTAAGAACGACTTGCAGTTTCTCAAGTCGCTCCTGACACGACAAAAAAAAATCTAAGACCCGCAGAATCAAGTTACCAAAAAACCTCATATTTTAAGCAAGTTTAGGATTTTGTGCTGGGCTGCATTCATAGGTGTCCTGGGCCACTTGTGGTCCAAGGGCCACAGGTTGAACAGGTTGTTTAAATGAACAAGTGTCTTCATCATTTTTCATGAGAAACAAAATAAAGATGTAGGCAAAATTCATAAATGTCCAAACAAATCGATTGGAAGAATAACATAATTGTTCCACTGTTTAAAAATACTGGGCAGAAACCACATGATGTGCTATGCTAGCCCTTCTTTCAGAGTCGCACAGTGGTAGCAAGGAAAGGCAGACCAACTCTGCTAGCTCTAAACATCCTAGCCTTTTTCTTATCCAAAGGATTTGGATAAGTTAAGCGGAATATTCATTAGTAGATGGCTAGCTAAACAGCCACCAGACGGGCAATAGCTAATCAGAGTGTAAGTATACTGTTTTAATCTTTATTTATTAATGTTCATGTTAATTGTTATATTTGTTATTCTGTATTCTGTATTTTATGATGCGGCATTGAATTATTGCCAATTATAAGCCGCCCTGAGGGGTTGAGAAGGGTGGGGTAGAAATGTTCGAAATAAATAAATAAATAAATAAATAATTTTTTCTCTTGTTCTGGGCAATAGTCCCAAAGAATCTGTTTTTGCTTATAACCCAGTCTTATTTTGGGATTACAGCTTATATGTAACAATTTTAAACTTGTGATACTAGTTGTTGCAGCATCTTGTTCAAAATAACCACTGCACATACACACACATCTTGCCAGCGAGTAATAATGAGCTAGGACTCATGGACACCTGAAACACAAAATCAGCTCTGGATTATGTATTGGGGCTGGGAGAAATGACATGACTGCTGTATTGAGACAGGGAAAAACAAAGGACTCCCTTTTGACATACTGCATATGTCAAAAGGGATAATGATGATGATGATGATGATGATGATGATAATTTTTTCTTGATTAGCCCTTAGGCCATATCACAATACCAAACCAAACAACAACAAGGCTTGATAAGACTTGATTACACTATATTTAGTAAGTTAAACTAAGACACTTATAACAATACAGTAAATAAATATGAGAATACTGAATATATACATCACTCTAGATGCATTCCATCACATTCATTTTAAAAATTCATTCTGTCACAGACCTCTTAGTTGACAGGTTTCCGCTACCAGCAGAACGGAGCAAGGCTTTGCCACGGATAGAAACCTGATGACTCAACTGGTCACTGCTACGTCTCCCACTGCTTTCATTTGCCGTCTCTTCCGTGGAGGGATAATCTTTCTTATTAGGACCTGTATAAATTTAATGACATCAAAAACATGCCACAGAACTTACTTTTTACTATATTACAGATGCTATCTATTTCTGTAAATGTATAAGTTGTCGATATACAGACTGTCCTCAGGTTACAGACAAAGTATATTCTATAGATTTGTTCTTAAGCTGAGTTTGTAGCAAGTCAGAACAGGTACACTGTTTAAGTGTAACTCCAGTCATATCTATCTATCTATCTATCTATCTATCTATCTATCTATCTATGAAGGTTTGGATAGGACAGGGAAAGGTGATGTCTTTGCTGTCTGTGCCCCTGTTCAAAAGATTTCCTTCTCTCTTTGTGACAATTAAATATGTCTTGGAAACAAGGCTTGTTGATAAGGCTTCAGTGGAGACACCCCTTTGCCACGATAATTCTCCTCTTCTCTCGTCCCCATTTGTAACTAGGAGTCATAACTAGGAGTCATATTTCTGTAACTCAGGGACTGCATGTAAATTACCTTGATTCAGGAAAACACAAGTAGCAAACACATGCCTACTTCCTGTGTGATCTCCCCAAAGCTGGTCAACCTCAAACACTTTTCATCATCAGCTGGGCAGCAAGGGAAACACTCTCTCCCCCAGCTCCTGAGAGGGATGGGAGGCAGAAGTGTCTTGAAATGTATGTATGCACACCAAAATATGGAGTGCATTGGGGGGTGAGGGCATATGTTGATATATACAAGCCCCCTGCTTATACCAGATGTGCTTTGCAACAGTGATTAAATGGCATCACACAAACAAGGAACAATGGATGCTTCCCAAAAGCCAGCCATGTAAACCAGTTTGAAGCTTATTTGTTTACATTTCACTCAGTGAGTTCAGTTAATATATCAAGTTTTGGTTAAAGCAAAATGGCTGTAGTGGGGAAAAAGGTGTATATGTGTGTGTACAAACAATTATTTGTGCCAATGCAAAGGAAGCCTAGCTTATTCAAAATACACTTTGTCCTATGTAGTGAATGCATTTTCTCTGAAGATCTGGCAAAAATTAGTTCTTTTTCGGAAACATACAAATCTCATGCCTAACAATCATTTTTCTAGGTGTTTTTCTTTAAGAAAACAGATAACAACTTACTTGTTTTTTTCTTATGCCAAAATGTCACTATGTCTTTGTGTAGGTCTTTTGCCTTCTTTCTGGCTAAAAGAGCAGATGCCTTGGGGAAAATGCCATGGAAATGTCAGTTAGGATCAGATTTGCATATAAAATATTATACAAAGGACACTAAACAATGGCCAAACAACACATCTTTCATCTGTTTTGTGGGAGTTTGTTGTCTAGCTGTTGCAGTTTGAAGATAGATTTGAACTAGATGGGGCAAAGTTATGAGCACTGAGGTCCCAATGATTTCAAACAGGGTATGTCTAACTGCAAGCTAGAACAGCCAAAATTGCCCAACTAACACCACTTTCAATTTTACAGGTTTAAATTGAGTCATTTCAAGAAATAAAGGGTATTTATAAGAATATCAAATAAATCTCAACATAGCATATTATTCTACCATTAATATTTTAAAACTCACATGATCATAGCAGTATACAATAGCCAGCTTTTTATTTCGGATGGTACGGACACGTTGGACATCAATAAACTTCTTGAAGTGTTTCTCAAGAACGGTTCTGTCATTTAGAAAGTCAGGAATATTTTTGCACTGGAAGGTTATCAGTTCATTTGGAGGCAGTCCTCCAAGGCTCTCTGTACTTCCACTGTTCCGATTTCTACGCAAAGGATTTGGGCTAGCAGTACCTGAAAGAATTACACACAAAAATATTCAAATTGTAAAATAAAATATAGGCATGTTTCAGAAGTAAAATGTAAAATAATATTTACTATACTGAAATGTACCATTCAAACGGATTGCAATATTTTCATTTTCCATTTTAACAAAAGGCTTCAAGCTGATACCGCCTCACCCCCTACCAACCCCAGAGATCCCTCCGTTCTGAGGACCAAGATCTATTGGAAATTCCCAGTGTCAAGACCTTGCGTCTAACAGCAATCAGACGCAGAGCCTTCACAGCAGTGGCACCATCACTCTGGAATACTCTGCCACCTGAAGTCCGTGCCTTGCAGGACTTATCAGCTTTCCGCAGGGCATGTAAGACATACCTGTTTTGACAGGCCTTTGATCTTGATATTGCTGTTTTTAAATTGTTTTAAATTGTTTTTAAATTGTGTTCGATTTTAGCCTGTTCTTGTAAGCCGCTCCGAGCCCCAGGGGAGTGGCAGCATATAAGTTCGAATAACAAATAAATAAATAAATACTTACCCTCCTTGAATTTGACCTTACTTTCTTCCTTTCTTGGTGTTGCTACTACTGCTCTAGCCATGGCGAAACCAGTCTGGCTTTCCCCTACTGCACCTGCTTGCTCCATTTCTCCAGATTCTGCAGGAACTTTCTCCATTTTTGACTCTTTCTTATTGCTTTTCAATACATCTAGCAATGTTCTGTCAAACAAACCTCGTATAGGTCGATTCAGCCTGACAGGTCGCTTATTGGGAGAATGGTCACTTTTTGATAGAAGTTCTGGCTCATCCACACCATCATATTCATGTCGTCTTGGAAAAGGTTCTTGCTCTTCTTTCCGCTTTGTTCCCTTTCCAAAGAGAGAATGTGGCTCACTTGGTGCAACAATTTCTTCATGCTGCAGCTTGGCTGATTTATTCATTTGGAAAGGATCCACTAGAGACCCAGTAGAGGAGTTTGAAAAGGAGGTAAAACTACTACTAGGGCTTGCAAAGAATACTGCAGGTCTTTTTTTGTCATCCTCTGTAGTCTTGCTTGGTAAAGCAACACCGAATGAAGATGCTGAAGTATTGCTGCTTAGTGGTTTTGAAAAACTATAGCTTGTACTGGCTGCGCTGCTGCCTGCTTGAGAGATGGCAAAGGGAGCTAGTCTTCCAGATCCACTAGTACTTGGAGAGGAAAATGTGAAAGAAGGTTGGTTTCCTGTGTTTGCCAATTTTTCTTGTCCTGAACCAGTTCCAAAAATAGGTTTGAATACTGCATTCTCCGGGGTTTTGAAGCTGAAATCTGGGCCCACAAAACCACTGCCTGAAGTTTCTGTAGATGTAGCTCCAAAGTTAGGAGGAGTGTGAGAAGGCCCAAGAGCTGTAGGTGGTTTAAAACTGAATGCTTGCTTGCTAGGAACAGAAGAGTAAGTTGGGGCAGAAGTCACAAAGGACGTGGTCTGTGCAGCAGTATAAGACTGTGCAAATCCAGGAGTCTGCCCCAAACCCAAAGAACTACGAACTCCTGTTGTTACTGTAAAATCAGGTAGGTGAGTAAATCCAGGATTCTTCAGCAATACTCCACTACCTGTGTTTTTCCCAAAAATAGGTGGTTGACCAAACTGGAATGATGGCTGAGCAGGAAACATTCCAGTTGCAGGCTGAGGTGGCAGTTGGAAACCTCCAGGTTGCTGTCCACTGAAAGGAGTATTTGGGTTCATTTTCACAGCTCAATAGCCTCTACGTCAAAGATTTGACTACTTTTATCTATGAACCATTGTATGGTGGATCTGCAAAATAAAAGTAGTTTTGTTTAGAAAAGAAAAAAAATCTGCTTAATAAAATATAAATAAAAACTAGGAACACAGCTTGGGGGAAATAGACCTTGACATTTGGGAGTTGTAGTTACTGGGATTTATAGTGCACCTGCAATCAAAGAGCATTCTGAACCCCACAAATGATAGAACTGGGGCAAACTTCCCACAAAGAACCCTTATGACCAATAGAAAATACTTAAGGCCATCCAGTTCAACTCCCTTCACCGGGACAAGAAAACGTGTTCAGATACTGTTTACCCATGTTACAGAAAGACATTACATATATTAGAAACCAACACTTTCTCATTACTTTATTTCCCAGATCACCAGACTGGGCCACAGTAACGTGTGGCAGGGGGCCGCTAGTTAAAAATACCATTGTTAAAGTGCCAAGGTAAAACTACACACCACAGAAATTGAGGGTGAAGGTTAAAACAGAGTTATTGAAATGTTTTTAATGTAATCAGTTTTAAGTCTCCTTGTGGAGAGAAAAGGGGGGTATGAATAAATATAATAATAATAATAATAATAATAATGCCAGTGATTTTTAAAAGGGGAAGACGTTGGTCTTCCGCACACCAAAAAATCCCTTCCACACAGAAACTTGTATCCATTTCTCTATGTCAAACAACTTTTTCAATTATGAAGGGACACTCAGGGTCCTTCCACACTGCCCTCTATCCCAAAATATCAAGGCAGAAAATCCCACAATATCTGCTATGAGCTGGATTATCTGAGTCCACGCTCAAATAATGTGGGATTTTCTGCCTTGATATTCTGGGATATCAAGGCAGAGTATCAATTCTGCTGTGTGGAAGGGCCCGTTGTTGCGCACGCTCCATCATTTGAGGGTGAATCTACACTATAGAATTAACGCAGTCTGGCACCGCTTGAACTCCCAGGGCTCAAGCTATGGGCTCTAGGCCTGAGACATCACCTAATCCTTAAACGAGGGGCCATTACCTGGGAGGCAGCGCTCAACGCTCCACTTCAGCCCTGGAAGGCCCTTCCGGACACAAACAAACAGCCGAGCCGGAAGTAGGCTCCCGCGCCGTGCTTTGCGGGACTTATCAGCTTTCCGCAGGGCATGTAAGACATACCTGTTTCGACAGGCCTTTGATTTTTGATATTGCTGTTTTTAAATTGTTTTAAATTGTTTTTAAATTGTGTTAGATTTTAGCCATTCTTGTAAGCTGCTCCGAGCCCCAGGGGAGTGGCAGCATATAAGTTCGAATAACAAATAAATAAATAAATACTTACCCTCCTTGAATTTGACCTTACTTTCTTCCTTTCTTGGTGTTGCTACTACTGCTCTAGCCATGGCGAAACCAGTCTGGCTTTCCCCTACTGCACCTGCTTGCTCCATTTCTCCAGATTCTGCAGGAACTTTCTCCATTTTTGACTCTTTCTTATTGCTTTTCAATACATCTAGCAATGTTCTGTCAAACAAACCTCGTATAGGTCGATTCAGCCTGACAGGTCGCTTATTGGGAGAATGGTCACTTTTTGATAGAAGTTCTGGCTCATCCACACCATCATATTCATGTCGTCTTGGAAAAGGTTCTTGCTCTTCTTTCCGCTTTGTTCCCTTTCCAAAGAGAGAATGTGGCTCACTTGGTGCAACAATTTCTTCATGCTGCAGCTTGGCTGATTTATTCATTTGAAAAGGATCCACTAGAGACCCAGTAGAGGAGTTTGAAAAGGAGGTAAAACTACTACTAGGGCTTGCAAAGAATACTGCAGGTCTTTTTTTGTCATCCTCTGTAGTCTTGCTTGGTAAAGCAACACCGAATGAAGATGCTGAAGTATTGCTGCTTAGTGGTTTTGAAAAACTATAGCTTGTACTGGCTGCGCTGCTGCCTGCTTGAGAGATGGCAAAGGGAGCTAGTCTTCCAGATCCACTAGTACTTGGAGAGGAAAATGTGAAAGAAGGTTGGTTTCCTGTGTTTGCCAATTTTTCTTGTCCTGAACCAGTTCCAAAAATAGGTTTGAATATTGCATTCTCCGGGGTTTTGAAGCTGAAATCTGGGCCCACAAAACCACTGCCCGAAGTTTCTGTAGATGTAGCTCCAAAGTTAGGAGGAGTGTGAGAAGGCCCAAGAGCTGTAGGTGGTTTAAAACTGAATGCTTGCTTGCTAGGAACAGAAGAGTAAGTTGGGGCAGAAGTCACAAAGGACGTGGTCTGTGCAGCAGTATAAGACTGTGCAAATCCAGGAGTCTGCCCCAAACCCAAAGAACTACGAACTCCTGTTGTTACTGTAAAATCAGGTAGGTGAGTAAATCCAGGATTCTTCAGCAATACTCCACTACCTGTGTTTTTCCCAAAAATAGGTGGTTGACCAAACTGGAATGATGGCTGAGCAGGAAACATTCCAGTTGCAGGCTGAGGTGGCAGTTGGAAACCTCCAGGTTGCTGTCCACTGAAAGGAGTATTTGGGTTCATTTTCACAGCTCAATAGCCTCTACGTCAAAGATTTGACTACTTTTATCTATGAACCATTGTATGGTGGATCTGCAAAATAAAAGTAGTTTTGTTTAGAAAAGAAAAAAAATCTGCTTAATAAAATATAAATAAAAACTAGGAACACAGCTTGGGGGAAATAGACCTTGACATTTGGGAGTTGTAGTTACTGGGATTTATAGTGCACCTGCAATCAAAGAGCATTCTGAACCCCACAAATGATAGAACTGGGGCAAACTTCCCACAAAGAACCCTTATGACCAATAGAAAATACTTAAGGCCATCCAGTTCAACTCCCTTCACCGGGACAAGAAAACGTGTTCAGATACTGTTTACCCATGTTAGATAAAGACATTACATATATTAGAAACCAACACTTTCTCATTACTTTTTTTCCAGATCACCAGACTGGGCCACAGTAACGTGTGGCAGGGGGCCGCTAGTTAAAAATACCATTGTTAAAGTGCCAAGGTAAAACTACACACCACAGAAATTGAGGGTGAAGGTTAAAACAGAGTTATTGAAATGTTTTTAATGTAATCAGTTTTAAGTCTCCTTGTGGAGAGAAAAGGGGGGTATGAATAAATATAATAATAATAATAATAATAATAATGCAAGTGATTTTTAAAAGGGGAAGACGTTGGTCTTCCGCACACCAAAAAATCCCTTCCACACAGAAACTTGTATCCCTTTCTCTATGTCAAACAACTTTTTCAATTATGAAGGGACACTCAGGGCCCTTCCACACAGCCCTCTATCCCAAAATATCAAGGCAGAAAATCCCACAATATCTGCTATGAGCTGGATTATCTGAGTCCACGCTCAAATAATGTGGGATTTTCTGCCTTGATATTCTGGGATATCAAGGCAGAGTATCAATTCTGCTGTGTGGAAGGGCCCGTTGTTGCGCACGCTCCATCATTTGAGGGTGAATCTACACTATAGAATTAACGCAGTCTGGCACCGCTTGAACTCCCAGGGCTCAAGCTATGGGCTCCAGGCCTGAGACATCACCTAATCCTTAAACGAGGGGCCATTACCTGGGAGGCAGCGCTCAACGCTCCACTTCAGCCCTGGAAGGCCCTTCCGGACACAAACAAACAGCCGAGCCGGAAGTAGGCTCCCGCGCCGCACAAGCGCTCAAACAGGAAGTGACATCACTCGCTCTCCGCTCCCCGGCCTGTGAGCCGAGCGGTGGAGCGCCTAAGAGCGCATGCGCAAAAGAATAACTCGAGGAAAGCACGGGCAGGCGACTGTTTTCCTTCCTGGTGAGAGAGTTTTTTTTTCATGGCCCCTTCTAAGCATTTGGAGCAAAGAGTATGTGCGAGTGAATGAAGCCTACTAAGGCTTTACAGTTGAAGTTTTACAAGGCGTTTCGCTGCTGCTTCCTCACTAAATTACAAACCCCAGGATTCCATAGCACTGAGCCATAGCAATTAAACGTGGAGTCGAACTGCATTAATTCTGCAGTGTAGATGCACCCTTGGCCGGGGTCACCCAGTAGGTTTCCATGGCAGAGCAGGGATTTGAGTCCTGGCCTCCAGAGTCGTAGCCCAACGGTTAAGCCACACGTATTTGTAGCAATGGTATACCCCGTAGTAACTAGGCCTGGACCTTAGGGAAGGCTGAGCGAAGGAAGATAGATGCTTTTGAATTGTGGTGTTGGAAGAAAGTTCTGAGAGTGCCTTGGACTGCGAGAAGATCCAACCAGTCCATCCTCCAGGAAATAAAGCCCGACTGCTCATTGGAGGGAAGGATACTAGAGACAAAGTTGAAGTACTTTGGCCACATCATGAGGAGACAGCAAAGCCGAGAGAAGACAATTATGCTGGGGAAAGTGGAAGGTAAAAGGAAGAGGGGCCGACCAAGGGCAAGATGGATGGATGGCATCCTTGAAGTGACTGGACTGACCTTGAAGGAGCTGGGGGTGGTGACGACCAACAGGGAGCTCTGGCGTGGGCTGGTCCATGAAGTCACGAAGAGTCGGAAACAACTGAACGAATGAACAACAATAAAGTAGTGATTCAATGCTCAGATTACACTATGCTGACTTTCAAATGAGAGTATAGCACATACTTATTAAATTAAATCCCCCCCCCCCGAAATTCTCATGGTGGTCCGTGAGAAGGCCTTACTGGTACATTATTTAAACTGTTATGTTTATTCATATCACGATCTGATCACCATGCTCAATATATCCCATATGCATGGGGGTATTGGGGTAACAATACAAAAGGTTTGCTAGGGTAGACCCTCTTTCACTCAGACTCAGCCCCCCCCCCCCCCCCCCCGCCCCTGAATCAACTATGAATCCCCTCTAGACAATGATGTTTGGGAAAATGGAAGGAAAAAGGAAGAGGGGCTGACCAGGGCAAGATGGATGGATGGTATCCTTGAAGTGACTGGATTGACCTTGAAGGAGCTGGGGGTGGTGACGACCGATAGGGAGCTCTGGTGTGGACTGGTCCATGAAGTCACAAAGAGTTGGAAATGACTGAACAAATGAACAACAAATTTGTAGTGTCATTTCTAGGGCCCCTTCCACACAGCTGTTGAACTGGGTTATATGTTGGTGTGGACTCCGATAACCCAGTTCAAAGCAGATATTGTGGATTATCTGCCTAGTATTCTGGGGGGCCTTCCACACAGCCCTCTATCCCAGAATATCAAGGCAGGAAATCCCACATTATCTGAGTGTGGACTTAGATAATCCAGCTCAAAGCAGATATTGTGGAATTTTCTGCCTTGATATTCTGGGATATGGGGCTGTGTGGAAGGGCCCTCGGAATATGAAGGCACGGTATCTAATTTGAACTGGGTTATTTGAGTCCACACTGCCATAGAATCCAGTTCAGTGTGGATTTTATACAGCTGTGTGGAAGGGACCTAACAGAAAATGAAGTTGGTAGCATACTTCTTCGGAGGTAGGAGGGGTTGATTTTGCCTGTGCTGGGATCTGATCTCAAGTTTTCTGCTTTAAACTAGATTATATGTGTCCACAATGCCAGATAATCTGGGACAAAGAGAAAAATTGCGATCAGATTGTGGGATATAGGGCCGGTTTGGAAGGGCTCCTAGATAACAACTACAACACCCAGAGGGGTTCCTCAGGTTGCAGCCATGGCAAATGAAAGGGGATCAGAGTGCAATAACACTATGTAACCAAATTTGAAAACAAACATTCTGTTCCTGGTTTGAAAGTGTTATTTCCTGTTTAAGTGTGTGGTACCTAATTTATTTATTTATTTATTTACTTTATTTGTATACCGCTCTTCTCAGCCCTTGGGCGAATTTGAAAGTAGTTGTTATGCTCTGGAAACTTCATTTTTGTGGCTGCTACAAATTATGTTTTTTTTATTACAGACTTTGCTGTTCTAGGTTGTGGTAGATGTCAGTAGTGTCTGATGGTGATCATTTTGGGAAAAGTCAATCTTGTAGACTGGTGTAGCATCTTCCCTTATTAATGAGATGAGCCTGATCATACGTAACCTGCAGAGAGCCGTCCCCATCCGGAGAGTGCCACTTCGCAAGAATATAGAACGACTGCGTTGCATTTTGGGTGTGCAGCGGTTTGATCTCGGGGTTATCTGTGTTAGTAACAGGCACATACAGCAGCTCAATAGACATTACAGGCAGAAGAACATCCCTACCGATGTCTTATCTTTTCCTTTTCATGAGGTAACTTTTTTTCTTATTTACTCTTTTTTTTATATATAAACAGTAGTTTAATCCTGGGAGCAAAAATGGGATGCTAGGTTTGTAATGATATGTGGTTATGACAATTGTAAGATGAGGGGCCAAATCCTCTACTGGACCCCAGAGAACTGCATCCCTTGCCACATGCTCCAATTCCCAATTTTATTTTAATGTTAAAATCTTTTATTTAAAAAAGCAAAACAGAACAATGCCTAGTTGCACCCTCCTGCTGTACAGAGAATAATGTCACCATGTTGTTGCATCTCTCTCTGTTTGAGGTTAAATAATTTTTTAAACTATAAAGTATAATTCACTTCTGATTTTAAAGGGGGACATCCCCAGTCTTACATGAATTCAGAAAATGGTATGACAAACATTCTCCGCACACACTGGGATGTAAGGGAATGGCTAACAAATGGCCTTGGATGGCTCTGTTTGGGCCACATTTTTCCCACCCGGCACATGAAAACATTGAGAATCTCTGATAGAAAGACAATGGTTGTTACAATTTAAGAACCCACATAAAAAGAGGAAGAGGATTGTTCCTCACTCTATAACCTTGCCTGTTTAAAAGTGCAAAAGATGTAAAGAGAGGAAAATATCCTCATTTCTGATGGACACAGAAGGCTACAAAGATAAAATAAGGTAATTAGAAGGCTTAAATACCAGGCACCAGATCCTGTCTGAAATTGGAAACTAAGCAGGGTCATCTCTAGCTAATGTCTGGATGGCAGACTATCGTGAAAACCAGGACTGTAGGCTGTATTTCAGACGAAAGCTGTTGTAAACCACGACAGTGTGTTCCTTGCCAAGAAAACCCTATGAAATTTTTAGAGTTGCCATAAATCACTGGTTCTCAACCTGTGGGTCCCCAGATGTTTTGGCCTTCAACTTCCAGAAATCCTAACAGCTGATAAACTGGGATTTCTGGGAGTTGTAGGCCAAAACACCTGAGGACCCACAGGTTGAGAACCACTGACAGCCAATTTAAGTTGTTGTCGGGTGCCTTCAAAGGCAAATCATTTCCAATTTAATACTTTTTTTTTGGCCAGGATTTGTTCAGATTTGCTTTTGCCTTCTTCTGAGGCTGAAAAGTTGTGATTTGCCTAAAATAATTCAGTGGGTTTCCATGGAATCCAGAATAATAGTCTAGCACTCAAAATACTTTACATCACTGGCATATACCCACGCAAATAAGAGAATAATTCCTGTATGATTATGTGATTTGGTCCTACCTTTTAATCACTATAATATCTAGGCATATACATTGTCCTGGATTGGGAGATGCTAGATAAATGTAGTTTCTGGTTGCTTGAGTGTTACTATAAAAATAGGTCTTTTTTACTGTATTACAAAAACCGTTTTTAAATGTAAAGTATACTTCAGGATTTTTTTCTGGTTGCTTGAGTTGCAGTTAACTAAGGCCTCTTCAGCAATGCCATATAATCCAGATTATCAAAGCAGATAATTCACATCTGTTTTGACCTGGATAATATCAGTCTATACTGTCATATAATCCAGTTCAAAGTAGATGATCTTGATTTTATATGACCTTGTAGAAGGGGCCTCAGAATCTATTGTATACAGAATCTAACATCTTAAACATTGTGACATCTGTGTGTTTTAAAATATATATTTATATATAGCGAACCAGCCTAAAGACTTAACAGAGTGGTTGCTCATTCTGTCATATTCCTTCTATCTATCATGGTATTCCAGGATTTAAGAGTGCATAAGGAGACTGTTGATGTTAACTCTGCCTGGACTTCACCAAGGTTCATGAGTTGTCAGCCCAGACAAGCAAGGGGAAAGATACAGATACAGATTAGTTGAAAGACAGCAAATAACCCTCAGTTGTTAATCTAAAGAGATACAGGTGAGAAATTCTGCATCATTTTTGTGTTCTGTTCCTTTCACAGAATCTGAAAGCAGGAGAACTGCCACAACATTTTGCTCAAGATGAATACAATTTGGGAGACATTTTTCTAGGAGTCGAATATATTTATCAACAATGTGTACAATACAATGAAGATTATTACAATATTCTTACAGTAAGTATGTGGTTTCTATTTCAGTCATTTTTCTAATTGAGCTAGTCCCCATAAAAAAGAGAAAGAGTTCTGAAATCACAGTCAACATGTAAAATATTAATGCCGTGTTTCCGCAAAAATAAGACATTGCCTTATATTTATTTTTCCTCAAGAAGACACACTATGGCTTATTTTCAGGGGATGTCTTATTTATATTAAGTAATTATGGTACAACAATCTGAATTTATTCAAATACAGTGCTCAGTAAAATGGCAGTTTTACTTCTTCCCCTTGAGGAGACACAATACCTAAAGGAGAGCATCCTGCTCTTCTCTTCATTGAGACTTCCCAGGGTGTGGTCTGAAGGGAAGCAGTGCTGCCCTGGAAACTAGGACTCAAATGAGTCATGGGTTCAAATCTCAGGAGAGGAGATTCCATTGAACATTAGGAAGAACTTCCTGGCCATAAGAAGAGATCCCACTTGAACCTGACAAGGAACTTCTTGCTGTTCAGCCATGGAATGCAGTGCTTCATATTGTGATGGAACCGCCTTCTCTGGAGGTTTTCTGTTGGGAGCAATTTGATTGTGAATTCCATCACTGTGTCCCATTTAGATCTGGTGACACTCTCACTCATTCGTGGAGGAAGCCTGGCTTTGCCTGGCCTGAACCGAAGGGAAGAAAGAACAAAAGGGGGGAGGAAAAGAAGGAGGAGGAGACAGGAAGTGAGAGGGAGGGAGGTCCGGATTCGGCTCTGTTGCCGCTGCAGAAAGTTCTTGCATTTCACTTTCTATGTCTCTCTATGCCTCAGCTTGTATCACTCTGTCTTATTTTTGGGGTATGGCTTATATTGCGCTAATGCTTAGAAATCCTGCTACAGTTTCTTTTATGGGTATGTCTTATTTTTGAGGAAACACAGTATTACTTCAGTTTCTGAGGGGCTTTGGAAAAGTTTCCAGAAAGAAAGCTACATAATAACAGCATTCTCTTGGTCACATAGGTCTTGCTTTTTCTTATGTTGTACTGTATCAACATAAAACTTTGTTGACTTTGCTTACAAACTTTTTCTGGCTTCTCTATTCGTTTTGAAAAATAGTTTTTACTCATTATTTGGGGTTTTTTGTTTGTTTGTTTTTACTTCTAAGCATTAGATGTGGAGAGATTTTGTCAGTTCAGGATCTTGATAACCAAGTAAAAGAGGTTTTGCTTCTAAAAGCTCTTCATGCATTGCACAATAATTTGACATGCTGCACTATCCATTTGTACATTTCTGGGAGCAACATGCTCCTGGAAACAGAGAGTGCTCACTAATGCTTCCTCTTCATCTTGGAAAGAAGTGACAAGTGGAGTGCCGCAGGGTTCCGTCCTGGGCCCGGTCCTGTTCAACATCTTTATTAATGACTTAGATGAAGGGTTAGAAGGCATGATCATCAAGTTTGCAGACGACACCAAATTGGGAGGGATAGCCAATACTCCAGAGGACAGGAGCAGAATTCAAAACGATCTTGACAGATTAGAGAGATGGGCCAAAACTAACAAAATGAAGTTCAACAGTGACAAATGCAAGATACTCCACTTTGGCAAAAAAAATGAAATGCAAAGATACAGAATGGGGGCCTGGCTCGAGAACAGTACGTGTGAAAAAGATCTTGGAGTCCTCGTGGACAACAAGTTAAACATGAGCCAACAATGTGATGTGGCGGCAAAAAAAGCCAATGGGATTTTGGCCTGCATCAATAGGAGCATAGTGTCTAGATCTAAGGAAGTAATGCTAACCCTCTTCTGCTTTGGTTAGACCACATCTGGAATATTGTGTCCAATTCTGGGCACCACAATTCAAGAGAGATATTGACAAGCTGGAATGTGTTCAGAGGAGAGCGACTAAAATGATCAAGGGTCTGGAGAACAAGCCCTATGAGGAGCGGCTTAGGGAACTGGGCATGTTTAGCCTGAAGAAGAGAAGGCTGAGAGGAGATATGATAGCCATGTATAAATATGTGAGAGAAGCCACAGGGAGGAGGGAGCAAGCTTGTTTTCTGCCCTGGAGACTAGGACGTGGAACAATGGCTTCAAACTACAAGAAAGGAGATTCCATCTGAACATTAGGAAGAACTTCCTGACTGTGAGAGCCGTTCAGCAGTGGAACTCTCTGCCCCGGAGTGTGGTGGAGGCTCCTTCTTTGGAAGCTTTTAAGCAGAGGCTGGATGGCCATTTGTCAGGGGTGGTTTGAATGCAATATTCCTGCTTCTTGGCAGGGGGTTGGACTGGATGGCCCATGAGGTCTCTTCCAACTCTTTGATTCTATGATTCTATGATTCTGATCCATCCTGTGGTCCACCCCATGTTACTTAGAATCCTCTCTAAGGGGCTGACAGAGCCTCCAGAGCAAGATCATGGTGCCACAGAGACTGCCAAGGGGTGGAGGAGCTGAAAATCATTGCACCTACACTGGCATATAATGCAATTTCAGAATGGGTTGTTGTAAGTGTTTTCGGGCTATATGTTCGAGAATGTTCTAGAGGCATTCTCTCCTGACCTTTCGCCTGCATCTATGGCAAGCATCCTCAGGTAGTGAGGTCTGTTGGAACTAGGGAAAAGGGTTTATATATCTGTGGAATGACCAGGGTGGGACAAAGGACTCTTGTCTGCTGGAGCTAGGTGTGAATGTTTCAACTGACCGCCATGATTAGCATTTGATGGCCTGGCTGGTGTTTGGTGTGGCTTGTTAGTGCCTGGGGCAATCTTTATTTGTTGGATTTTCTTGGTGGGTCTGTAGATACCCACCAAGAAAATCCAACAAATGCTAGGTTCAGCAAAGGACAAGAGGGATCCTCTCACTTCTGCAGGAGTCTACTGTATACCATGCAGCTGTGGACAAGTCTACATAGGGACCACCAAACGCAGCATTGCCCAAACACGAATCAAGGAACATGAAAGGCACTGCAGACTACTTCAACCAGAGAAGTCAGCATATTATTTGAGAACACAGAAATGCTGGACCACTCTAAAAACCACCATGTCAGACTACACAGAGAAACCATTGAAATCCACAAGCATGTGGACGATTTCAACAGAAGGGAGGAAACCATGAAAATGAAGAAAATCTGGCTACCAGTATTGAAAAAAAACTCTTAAAATTACAACAGAAAAACAACAGAGAGGAAACAATAATCACCTCTCAACAAAAGATTGCCCCGGGCACTAACAAGCCACACCAAACAACAGCCAGGCCATCAATTGCTAATCAAGGTGGTCAGTTGAAACATTCACACCTAGCTCCAGCAGACAAGGTTCTTTGTCCCACCCTGGTCATTCCACAGATATATAAACCCTTTTTCCTAGTTCCAACAGACCTCACTACCTCTGAGGATGCTTGCCATAGTTGCAGGCGAAACGTCAGGAGAGAATGCCTCTAGAACATAGCCCGAAAAAACCTACAACAACCCAGTGATTCCGGCCATGAAAGCCTTCGACAATACTATTTCAGAATGCAGGTTAACTACATTGAACTGCATTATATGGCAGCGTAGACCAATACAATCCAGTTCAATTAAGTTAAACTGCATTCCAAAACTGCATTAAATGGCGGTGAAGATGGGGCCTAAGTGGCATACTGCATTTACACATTTTTGTGCCAGGACTTGAGAAACTGCAAGTCATTTCTAGTATGAGATTGGTTGTCTACAAGGACATTGGCCAGAGGACGCCCTGATGTTTTACCATCCTTTGGAAGGCTTCTCTCATGTCCTCATATGAGAAGCTGAAGCTGACAGACAGGAACGCACCCTGCTCCCCGGATTCAAACCGCTGACCTTTCAGTCAGCAGTCCTGGCAGCACAAGGGTTTAACCCATTGTGCCACTGGAAGCTCCTATTTACACTAGTGCATGTTGGTATTCTGCAGCATGGATCACAATAATTATGCTAGGCATAGTTGGCTATTGAACTACAGTGTCTGCTTCAAAAACTGATGAATCAATGAAGATAATTGTGCAAATATTTTAGACTGTATGTTTGAAGGTATCCAATTAATCGTAAGCTATTAATGTAAAAGGCCACATGCACTTATGATGCTATATAAACAGATAGTGATGACAATGATGATAAATTAGATTGTCCTTTATAGCTGTTTTCAATTTTGCAACAATTTACTGCAAACTCAGATCTCTCTAATATTGTGTTCTTCCAATCTCTTAACATTATATGAAGCACTATGTTTTTCCTCTTTATGCAGGTGACAGTTGCTCATGGCTTGTGCCATTTGCTTGGGTATAAGCACAGCACAAAAGCCGACTGGGAAGAGGTAGGTATTCTCCTTGAACTAAGAACAGGAATTTATTGTGGTTTGAAGCTATACATGACCAAACGAATTTACCTTGGTGTTTTTTATCCTATATATGCAGTATCATTGACAGATTCAAGCTTGTAAGATCACATGTAGTTATCCTGTTTGAAAGGAAACATATACATTCACTGTTCTCTTTTCTTATTTCAGATGTATAAAAAGGAAGTACAAATTCTCCAGGAGTTAAGCAGGTTGTCAGATATAAACTTCCAGCCGCTGACAAAAAACCACTTCTAGTTGATATATCTGTAAATTGACCCACAAATAAAAGAGAGAGAGAGAGAGAGAGAGAGAGATAAAAAAAATGTAATGTTCGTTTGTGGGATTAACTGAACTCAAAAACCACTGGATGAATTGACACCAAATTTGGACACAAGACACCTAACAACCCAATGTATGTCCTCCACTCAAAAAAAAAATGATTTTGTCATTTGGGAGTTGTAGTTGCTGGGATTTATAGTTCAACCTACAATCAAAGAGCATTCTGAATTCCACCAACGATGGAATTGAACCAAACTTGGCAAACAGAACTCCCATGACCAACAGAAAATACTGGAAGGGTTTGGTGTGCACTGACCTTGAGTTTTGGAGGTGTAGTTCACCTACATCCAGGGAGCACTGTGGACTCAAACAATGATGGATCTGGACCAAACTTGTCACAAACTCACATATGCCCAAATATGAACACAGATGGAGTTTGGGGAAAATAGACCTTGAAATTTGGGAGTTGTAGTTACTGGGATTTATAGTTCACCTACAATCAAAGAGCATTCTGAATCACACCAACGACAGAACTGGGGCAAACTTCCCACACAGAACCCCCATGACCAACAGAAAATACTTAAGGCCATCCAGTCCAACTCCCTTCACCAGGGCAAGAAAAGGTAATCAAAGCCCTCCTGACAAAGAGCCATCCAGCCATAGTTATAGATCAATATATATGATTCACACAGAGAGAGATATTATCATAGATTTGAAAAGGACTCCTAAAGAAGGACAATTATGTGTTGCATCTTCCAGAGTAGGCAAACCGGACAATTTCTACATCAACGCTGACAGCAAGAAGAAACAGCAAGAAAAACTGTTTACCCAGAAGCAGAAAGAAATTACATACATTAGAAACCAACACTTTCACATTACTTTATTTTTCAGATCACCAGACTGGGCCACAACAACGCGTGGCAGGGGACGGCTAGTGTGTGTGTGGTGTGTGTGTGTGTTTGTGTGTGTGTATATATATTCTGTTTTGTTTAAATACACTAATTGAACCATTTTTATATTAAGACTATTGTCTTTACTCAGTTCACCTGAGCATTCACTCCCTTTGTGGTATGAGACTATAAATCAATCCAAGAATTTTACATATGTGCAATACATTTCAATAAAATATTTATCTCCTTTTTTCAAAGATTCTTTGGTCATTTTTATAAGCGTAGACAGCATTTTCCTTCATCACTAAATGAATCATACTACTGTATATACCTATAAATTTTTACTCAAAAATCTGTGTCAAAAACCAGGGTCAGTGTGTTGATGGGCCAATGTAATTACTTGGTAATCCAAAAAGGATTAACTCTGAGTTGAGTTGTGAAAGGAAATATCTTAGTCTGTCCTGGGAGGACCTGAAGGAAGTAGTGACTTGCTCTACTCTCAACCACTGCACTGCTTCTGGCCTTTTTGAATCACTGAGTGGGAAAACGGCAGAGGAAACAGCTCTCCTAAGGTGGTGGCATTGCTTTTACCTCCCCATGCCCTCAATTTATCAATAGATTGTATTAAAATCCATAATTTTCACTGCTTTAAGCAAAAGTCTGTTGTCAAAATAATGTTGTTAAAAACTTCATTCACATCTTCTGTAAAAATACATTGAATCAAGCAGATATTTTATTTAAGAAATCCCAGTGTGGTCTTTTACGGTATGGTGACTTCCTAATTTGCTATTCTTGGGAGCTGAATGTCTGTCACAGGAACACACAAATGGAATAATCCATGCTAAAGAGCTCAGCTGGCAACTTGTAAAATCAATGTCAGTTTTAAAAGATCCAGAGTTCCTCTAGATGAGACTACCCCACAACAGATAAAACCGATTTTTGTTCATGTGCAAATGAAAATTTCTTCCCTGAATAAAGTTGACCCTTCATGTTTATAGGTTTGACTTTTGCGGATTTGCCAAATATTTAACTCAGAATAAAGCTAGAGGACCTACGGATCCCTAGAGAACATCTTTCTAAGAATCTCTAGATTCTCTAATGCTTCTAACAGAAATTATCCATACAGTTATGTTGGAGAACTTGGAGGTTACTAGGGGTGTTATCTCAGGTAATAAACAAAACGTATTTATATTCATTATTTTCCCACTTTTTTGGTGATCCTATGCCCTTGGTGAAAGTAGAGGGCTGCCTATAGTCTGTGGAATAGATTTTTAGATCAGAAATTGTATAATTTTTACAAGATTGTGATTGAAAATGCAGTTAAATAAAAAGTACAGTGTCGATTCCCAGTACCTTCCTCAATTGCTAAAAGCATTTATAAACATAAATATTTTCGGGTTGCTCTGAGGTTTCCGAGCTGTATGACCATGTTCCAGAAGCATTCTCTCCCGACATTTCGTCCATATCTGTTGCAAGCATCTTCAGAGGTTGTGAGGTCTGTTGTAAACTGGGCAAGAGGGATTTATATATCTGGAATGTCCAGAAGGGGAGAAAAAGCTCATCTGTTGAATGTGAATGTTGCAATATTTGAATGTTTTGAGTTCCTTTTCTAGTTGGTGGGTAATCTATTCAGCCCAGGAGAACTTTTGATTCCAAAGAAGATGAGCAGACTGAGTTTCCATCCAATCCCAAACATCCTTCCTGCCCTCTTTCAACATCCACCAAACAAACCGCATGAGTATAGCATGTTCATTGGAAAGTATAGGAGAGATGCAGGCTGTGCTTTGGGCAAGTGGTCCCTCTGCTGACTCCGCCCCGAAGCCTAGGAGGAGTGGGAGGGAGGCCGGGGGATTCTTGCTGTTGCCAAGCAATTTAGAATGGCAGTGGATAGTGAGATCCAAGCCATTGTGGGTTTAGCCTGGTGAGAAAAGAAGCCAATATTCCAGAATAAATCTCACCAAGTTGAAGCAGAAGCCACCGAGGTATTTATTTTCAATGTATTGTCGAAGGCTTTCATGGCTGGAATCACTCAGTTCTTGTGGGTTTTTTCGGGCTATATGGCCATGTTCTAGAGGCATTTCTCCTGACGTTTCGCCTGCATCTATGGCAAGCATCCTCAGAGGTGATTTTCAGCTGAAAATGATGCTATCTTGCGGTAATCTGCCCTCAAAATAAGCTGAGATACATAACACAGTAAAACATGCACTTTTATACACTTTTCAGGTTCAAAATTCCCACCATCCCCAGCTGAACCTGGCTTGGCTGTAGTTGGTCAAGCCCGGATGATGTCAATGGGAGAGTGCCGCCTGCCTTGGATGCAAATTTCCCTCTGTCCAATGGTTGAGGAGGGGGTGGCAGGTCTTAGAAAAATAGATGAAATGATGGTTGATGGTGGGATTAAATATCCCTGATATGTGGGCACAGTGACCCTAATGGGTGTCCCAATACTTTTGTTGTCCGTTTCCACAGTTTCCGTATCCACGGTTCAAAGGAACGCAGTTTCAGCCATCCCAGGACACTGCGGGAGCATGCTGGGTGACCTGGTGTGATTCCGTGGCTCTGAAGATGGAGCCCCGACCCTGCTCCATCCCACAATCTACAAGGATAAGCTCCATCTGTATCCAGATCCTGCTTCTCTAAGTGCTCTTGTCATTGACTTTCACTCCATTTCTTCTGCAACAGGTCAGGCACCAAGTTCTGGTAGATCTCAGACATTTCCCCTCTTGTGAGTCAAGTGTTGGATTTTTAGCCAGAGGTCAGTAGATTTGTATTTTCTTTGACAATCTTGCAAATCTGACAGTCTTTTAGTAGATGAGGAGCTAAATGGATTTGCATCTCTGCCATTTGTCCCAACGTGGTCCTGTGATATTGAGATGTCAGATTTCTTTCAGTCCACCAGGTCACAAGGGCTTATCTGGGGTTCTTCCAGGCTCTCCTCCTCCACCCCAAAGTTGTGAACATTAATATTAGCTGGTCTTCCCACATGTATGTTAGCTGTTGAATCACTTCCTGAGTCGCCTGTTAAGGGCTGAAAAATGCAGTATAGAAATGAAGCAAATAAATAAATAATAAATAAATATTATTGAGCTTTTCCTCATGTCTTGGACTTCTTTCCGAAGCTTCTCCCGCTGTGTTGGTGTGTGAGATGGTGGGAGTCCTGCAACGGTCCTTCAAGCACGAATCAAGACGGCCACCCCACTTGAATGTTGTTCCACAGAAACGGCCATTCCAGGAGGAAAGGAGATACGGCCCCAGTGCCCTCTGCCGTCACCCTGCGTTCACTCCCTCCTTCCTCAGTTCCCTGCTCTGTCATGACTCCTTCACTGACCAACTGCCATTTCCTCATCCTAACAGATGGCCATCCAGGCTCTGTTTAAAAGCTTCCAAAGAAGGAGCCTCCACCACACTCTGGGGCAGAGAGTTCCATTGCTGAACGGCTCTCACAGTCAGGAAGTTCTTCCTCAAGTTCAGATGGAATCTCCTTTCTTGCAGTTTGAAGCCATTGTTCCATGTCCTAGTCTCATGTTCCTGATTATTTCCTCTATTTCTTATGTCCTTAATGATTTAACCTCATTCCATTTGTTACATATTGCTCTAATCATAAACTCCATTTAACTGTATATTTTTGCCACTGTTCCTTTACTTGCTTTTTCTCTTGCGTTTAGCAATTTATCTACCTTTAATTCTGAACTCCACCCATGATGGAATTGAACCAATCTTGGCACACAGAACTCCCATGACCAACAGAAAATGCTGGAAGGGTTTGGTGGGCATTGACCTTGAGTTTTGGAGTTGTAGTTCACCTACATCCAGAGAGCACTGTGGACTCAACAATGATGAATATGGACCAAATTTGGCACGAATCCTCAATATGGGGAAAATAGAATCTTGATATTTGGGAGTTGTAGTTGCTGGGATTTATAGTTCACCTCAGGCCCATAGCCAGGATTTCGTTTGGGGGGGGCTGAATTTTTTTCAGGGGGGGTTTCGGGGGGGCTGAGTCTGAGTGAAAGAGGGTCTACCCTATCATTACCCCAATACCCCCATGCATATGGGATATATTGAGTATGGTGATCAGATCATGATATGAATAAACATAACAGTTTAAGTAATGCACCAGTAAGGCCTTTTCGCGAACCACCATGAGAATTTCGGGGGGGGGCGGAAGGCTGGGATTTATAGTTCACCTACAATCAAAGAACATTCTGAACCTCACCAACGATAGAATTGGACCAAACTTCCCACACAGAACCCCCATGACCAAGAGAAAACCCTGTGTTTTCTGGTGTTCTTTGGCAACCCCTGACACCCCCTGCCCCCCCCCCCCCCCCAGGGCCCCGACCCCCAGGTTGAGAAACGCTGCCTTGGTGGATAGCCCTGCTGGGACTTGCAGCCCAGCCCCCCACCGGCGAGTCCTCTCACCCTGAACTCCGCAATGAATGGGTGTCTTCTGGAGGGGCCTTCCTTCCTTCCTGCAGGCCCCGCCCCTTCCCCCTCCCCTCCCCTCCGAGCGAGGCCGCAGATGGCGAGGCGAGGCGCCCTGCTCGGGCTCTGGCTGCTCCTGGCCTCCCTGCTGCTGGGACTCTCCTTGGCCCAGCCGGCCCCTTCCCAGGCCTTCCAGGCGGACCGGGGCGCCTCCTCTCTCCCAGCCGCCGCCGTGGCGCCTCTCCGACGGTGAGGAGGAAAGCGGGGGGCCCGGGCCTCCTTCCCTCGGCTAGGCCTGGGCCTGGGCCCGCCTCAAGAGGCTTCAGGACAGACAAGGGAGGGAAGGAGCGCCTGCTACAGCAGGCCACGGATTGAACCCAGGCTCTCTCGCTTCCTTCCTCCTCTTCTCTCTGGGCCCTATAGCAGGCCCTCCAGGTGTTTTGGACTTCAACTCCCATAATTCCTAACAGCCGGTAGGCTGTTAGGAATTGTGGAAGTTGAAGTCCAAAACACCTGGAGGGCCCAAGTTTGCCCATGCCTGCCCTATATCATACCCTATATCATACCCGGACCTACATTAACTGGCAGCGCAGACTCATATAATCCAGTTTGGAGCAGAAAAATTGGGATCAAATCCTGGAATATGGGCCTTCCTGGAAGAGGAAGCCCCCCCCTCTCTTTTCCTCTCTTCTCCTCTCTTCAGGCCCTCTTGTCTAGGAATGATGTTGTTCATTTGTTCAGTCGCTTCCTGACTCTGTAAACTCATGGACTAGCCCTTGCCAGAGCTCCCTGTCGGCCGTCACTACCCCCACCTCCTTCAGAGTCAAGCCCCTCACTTCAAGGATACCAACCATCCATCTTGCCCTTGGTCCCCTCTTCTTCCTTTTTCCTCCCATTTTCCCCAGCATCATTGTCTTTCTCAATGTCTTCTCATGATGTGCCAAAGTACTTCATCTTTACCTGATGAAGTACTTTGGCACATCATGAGAGTTGGAAGAGACCTCATGGGCCATCCAGTCCAACCCCCTGCCAAGAAAAACTATAGCAAAATGTGCTGCAGGATGTCTCTCAAAAACAATGTTTTTGGAATTTAATAAACCTATGTTTTTATGATAGAACCAATTAGGGAATGATATTTATCCCAGATAAATATCATTTCCTGGAACACTTTCATAATTCAGTATCTTCAAGATCTTAGTATCTTCAATATCATTTCCTAATTGGTTCTATCATAAAAAACCAATTAGGTATTTGTCCCAGGAACAAAAATCATGTTAACATAGTGTTGTCAGTAATTGTTTGATTTTTATATCTATTTTATATATGCCTGTATATACAGGCTCATGTAAAAACTCCTCAGGCAGAAAGGGGCTGCAATTGGAGAAAGTTTTAAAAGTCCTGGCCTGTTCATCAGCTGCATCCCAGCCAAGTACTAACCGGGATTGACATTGCTTAACGTCAAATGAGAGGTGATGGAAGATGTAGGAGATGTAGGGAAAGGCATCCTTCATTTTACCCTCTTCAATATATCAGTTGTATTGCTGTTGCCCTTTCCCTCAACGGTGAAATACAACACTGATTAGAATTAGAATTAACTCAAAGAGTTGTTGTAATACTAAAGAGATTGTGTGCTTTAAATTTCCAAAAAAGAAAAAAAGCTGCTGCAGGTGAAGGGCATACATAATGCAATGTAACGGTCTTATGATTCAAGAGGCTCTTGTAGGCTAAGTTCATTGGAGTCTTGTCCAAGATACTTGTGGGGTTCCCAAGGGCACAGTGCCCACTCTGCTGTTGAAAATGTGTACAATAAAAACAAGAACAGACATTCAAAGTTCCAATCCAGGGCAGCATGATTCTTGCCCATGGACTCAGACAGAAAAAAGGAAAAGCAGTGAAATGCTTATATTAGCGTATAGACCTGCATATCAGCTAGATTTATTTATTATTTATTTACGGCATTTATATGCCCCCTTCTCACCCCGAAGGGGACTCAGAGCAGCTTACAAGGTATATATTACATACAATATATTATATTATTAGCATAGTACAATATCACCATTAAACATAGCTATATTGCCTGGCTGCTGTGTCAACCTGGATGAGGGCAAACAAGCTGAAGATCAATCCCGACAAGACAGAGGTCCTCCAGGTCAGTTGAATGCCTGACCGGGGTATTGGGTGGCAACCTGTGCTGGACGGGGTCGCACTAGCCCTGAAGGTGCAGGTCCGCAGCTTGGTGGTCCTCCTGGACTCAGCGCTGACGCTTGATGCGCAAGTGTCGGAGGTGGCCAGGAGGGCCTTTGCACAATTAAAACATTCGTGCCAGCTGCGACCATACCTCACGTGAAGCCTGACTTGACCACGGTGGTCCATGCCTTAGTTACCTCTAGAGTGGACTATTGTAATGCACTCTATATGGTGCTGCCCTTGAAGACGGCTCGGAAACTTCAATTAGTCCAACACTCGGTAGCCAGACTTCTAACCGGGGCGAAGTACAGAGAGCGGTCAACCCTCCTGTTTAAGGTGCTCAATTGGCATCTGTTCATTTTCCGGTCCCAATTCAAGGTGCAGGTTATTACCTACAAAGCCCTGAACGGTTTGGGACCCACCTACCTGCATGACCACACCTACCACAAACCTGCACGAGCTCTTCGATCCACTGAAGAGGCCCTTCTCTCGCCCCTTCCTCTATCACAGACTTGTCTTATGGGAACAAGGGAGAGGGCCTTTTCTGCTGTGGCCCCCTGCTTTTGGAATTCGCTGCCTAAGGAGATCAGGCAAGCCCCCACCCTAGCTGGTTTTAAGAAAGACCTAAAAACCTGGCTCTTCCGTTGTGCTTTTGGAGAATGACCATTCAACCCATCTGGTTGTCTTAGTCTACAGCTGCCCTCAGAATAAAGCATCTCCCCCCCCCCTAAAATGGCTAAATCCCATGGTTCCTCCCTATTGGGCTCCTTTCCTACAAATGCACTTTTATCCCTATCTCACCCAGGGTTTTCACTTTTTTAACATTTTACCTCTCACATTTGGCCCGCCCTCCGTGTCTGGTTTCAATATGCTGTTTTATATTGTTGATTTTGTTATTTTATATTTTGTTATGAATAACCCCCCCCCCCCTTAAAATGGCTAAATCCCATGGTTCCTCCCTGTTGGGCTCCTTTCCTACAAATGCACTTTTATCCCTATCTCACCCAGGGTTTTAACTTTTTTAACATTTTACCTCACACATTTGGCCCGCCCTCCGTGTCTGGTTTTAATATGCTGTTTTATATTGTTGATTTTGTTATTTTATATTTTGTTATGATGTATTTTGTTACTGTGTGTTTATTATGTTGTATTATTTTGGGCTTGGCCTCATGCTAGCCGCACCGAGTCCCCTTTGGGGCGATGGTAGCGTATAAATAAAGTATTATTATTATTATTATTATTATTATTATTATTATTATTGTTGTTGTTGTTGTTGTTATTGCACTATACTTAATATTACATGTAATATAAATATATTATTATTATTATATTGCATTACATTTAATATTATAAATATTATATGTATATACAATATAATATATTATTTAGACTTGATTTTAGATTCTGTTCTTGGGCCTATCTACATTGATCATTTAATACAGTTCAAATCTAGCTTCAAACAGCGGCAGCCGTACAATAAACAACCACAAAACCTCAAAAAAGAAAGCTCTTAATGTGTATCAGTGCTCTGTAGTTTGTCTCATTGCCATCTGGGCCTCAAGCTGGTTCCAGGAGTTCCTATGTCATCAAGCTGCACAGCAAAACGACTTTCTTCAAAACTGGTTTTGAAATTGCATTAAATGGTCGAAACCATTTTATCGATCAGCCAATTGGCCTTATCAAAACAGACAATATAAACACAACATACAGTATACATCTAGTCCGAGTAAAAATATAAATATACACATACAGAGATGGCCACTTGTAACCAAAATGTGCCTTAATCTTGGGTATAGACATCAAATGATCAGTTAATAGGCGCCTACTGAAGCAACATGTCATAATTGATGGATGGAATACTTTGCTCTACAACAGAGCTAACTGTAATCCTGTAATAACTAATCTAAAATTCTCTCTGGAAATTGTCCTCATTTGTTACAAAATACTGGTTTTGGATGTCTCAAAAGTGATTGAAAACCTTGGCTTAAATGTCTGAATAGATTTGCAAGTGATACTATTTGTTTTGTTATACTAGGTATCTTTTATATGATGTGAACCCACCTGAAGGTTTTAACCTTCGTAGAGATGTCTATATACGTGTGGCCTCTCTTATAAAGACTTTGTTGAAAAGTGAAGCATGGGTATTGGTTTTGCCTCCTTGGGGACGGCTGTATCACTGGCAGAGTCCTGACATCCATCAAGTCCGGATTCCTTGGTTTGAGTTTTTTGATGTTCCAAGCCTCAATGAAAACATACCCGTCATTGAATATGAAGAGTTTATTTCAGGTAAAATATCCTAGAAAAATAGAAGGATGTCATGGTGTTATTGTCTAATGTTTATTGCTATTGTTTTAATGTTTATTACTTGTTTTATGAGTTTTATTTATTGTTGTATTTGTTATGCTGTTGTTTTATTGATGTGTTGGGCCTCGGCCTCTTGTAAGCTGCACCGAGTCCTTCGGGAGATGTTAGTGGGGTATAAATAAAGGTTTATTATTATTTATTATATTTTTAATATAATATTTATTTTTAGAATGTACAGTATATCTGAGATTTTCAGTTTGGTGAACTAACAGGAATAACATTTACAACTGTTTCAGAGAATAATAGGAATAGTTGTTTTTCTGGAATGTATAGAGAACCCGATGAGTATTTTGGAATCGATAGAGAATTTTCCAAAACCTGAACAGTCTTGAAGTCATTTCACCTCACACCTTTTCAATGTGCTTTCCACTAAATGTAGTTATTTTGGTAATATGCATACCTTTTGAAAAACAATTGCAATTAAAATTGGTTAAATTTCTCACAATCACCATGATCTTTTTAATACATATACATATATCTGTGAGATTACCTTGCTGAAAGGCACAGTTCATATCAAACTCAAAGGCCAAATATCTTGGTTATTGCACACGTACACTTACAAACTACTTAATGATAGCATTAAAATATAGTTTTCTTCTACTTTTCCTATAGTGTACAGTTCTTCTCTGACTCCACTTCATAATATTTTTCTGTTTCTGAAAATTCAGCAACCACAATCAGAAAACTCCCCCATTCTGGTAACTTCCCTGTTAGTTTCTGGATATACATTGTGAAATTGGCTATAATTGGCTATACTGTAGGACTCTTTCATATCTAGTTTTTAAAACGAAATACATATAGTCATGCCAGATATTTGTTTCTTTGTTATTCAGAGGCTGGTGGGCCCTTTATCGACCAGGTGTATGTTCTACAAAACTATGCTGAAGGATGGAAAGAGGGGACTTGGGAAGAGAAAATAAATGAAAGACCATGCATTGACCAACTCATGTATTCAATGGACAAACAGAAATACTACAGGTAATCTTCTACAATAGTGCAGCAGTTGCTGGGCTGAGAACAGCGGTATATAAGTAAAGTAAATAAATAAATTCAGAACTGAGCCAAAAGCATCTTTTTCTGTAGGCTCATTCTCTGAGAGTTTGGGTTTGTTGTAGACAGCTACTTTTCCTTACTTAGCTATTTTTTATTGAAGGAACAGCATTTTGAGTTATTTAAGCTCTCTGTTTTTTTCTGCTGCATTATTTTGTTCAGTTTCACCTTTTCTATCTTATTGCTGCTTATATTGGTTTCCATTTTGTTTGCATTCTGTTTGCAAACTTCTTGATAAAGTTAAAATGAATTTATTGTGTTAATATTTGCTAGATAGTTATGTAAGCCATGTGATGTTAACAAATTTGTGATCTACCTAACAAATTTATAGTGGTCTGTAGTTGAGGAAAAGAAAGTGTTAACTACTCTGTTTAGTGGTTCATCTTAGCTTAGACCTTCTTCCCAGTGAATTGTTTAATTCATTATATTTAAATGAACTGTTGGTCACATCATCCTACTGTCATGTTAAACTATTGTCATGTTGAAAATCAAATTACACTATGTAATCTTTGTCCCTGAGTTATAAATGCCATTTCCTAATTGGTTGTATCATAAAAACATGGGAAATGTTTTTTAAACTGCAAAACCTTTGTTTTTGCGGGACATCCTGCAGCACATTTTGCTTTAGTTCAGTGGTTCTCAACCTGGGGTCCTCAGATGTTTTTGGCCTTCAACTCCCAGAAATCCTAACAGCTGGTAAACTGGCTGGGATTTCTGGGAATTGTAGGCCAAAAACATCTGGGGACCCCAGGTCGAGAACCATTGCATATCTCATAGAGCAGTGGTTCTCACCCTGTGGGTCCCCAGATATTTTGGCCTTCAACTCCCAGAAATCCTAACAACTGGTAAACTGGGTGCAATTTCTGGGAGTTGTAGGCCAAAACACCTGAGGACCCACAGGCTGAGAACCACTGTCATAGCGCCTCAACCAATTCAACATACAGTAGTTTGTGGAAGCCATGAAAATGAAGTTTCTGGAGTATAGCAAATAAATAAAGTTGTTATACTCCAGTAAATACCACACAATTAAACAGGAAATAACACTTTCAAACCAGGAACAGAATTTTTTTCCAAATTTTGTTACATAGTGTTATTGTTGAAAGTCAAATAAAAAAAATCTTTTTATACTAAGAAATCATATAGGATTTTTTAAATTTTAAAAATGGGTGTTCAGTATTTTTATTAGTAGCTGCTTACATATGATAATATTTCAATCTCTTCATCTAAATTTGTAGGGGATGGTTCTGGGGTTATGAAGAAACCCGAGGCCTTAATGTGACCTGTTTATCTGTCCAGGGCTCTGCCTCTGTCATAGCACCACTGCTTTTGAACATCTCGTCTAGGTAAGATATGTTCCGTTTTATAGCAGATGTTAGCAAAATTCCTTTAAAATTTATTTTAAAAAGAAGAAAACAAGTCCCTTATTCGAATACACTTAGAGATTCACAAATAATTTGAAGTGTTTTGGTATGAGCATTTGTGTGCCCTCAGTTTGAAATGTTACCACAGAAACATTGAAAAATACCACAGAAAAGGATATGGGCACAGTTGGGGCTGGGGGAGATCACTTGGTGTCACTGTAGATCCTGCTTTTGTCCCAGTCTTTTTATTGCGAAGTGTCTGATGAGAACAGTAAAAGGCAGACAACGGAACATGGTTCTTCAAATAGGCTGCCCCCAAACCAGTTACGACTTATCACAGCACCTTGAACCAGAACCATAATGAATTGCAAACTGAGATAGCTTGCACAACACTGGTATAATATGTTCCCTGATGTAGATCCTGGAAATAACCTAGCTACTGCATTCGGAACAACAGAAAATTTCAAACTATTTTAGGCAATATGTTGCAGTTGTAGATGTTACTAAGTCATGTTGATCGCAGAGCAGGGTCTATATGTGGGTTTGAGAATAAAGTGTTACACAAATTAAGCAAAGCAGAGCATCAAAGTCCTATCTTCTTCAAATGTTAAGAGACCACCTTCACTACTCATAACTATCCCACTGAGCAACATTATGCTGATGCAGTGTTGGCTGAAAGGGTCAGAATTCTTGCCATCATCACCCACCTAGAATATTAATAGAATTAGTAGCATAATTAAACTTGTGATCAGTTCAGTTAGGCCCCTTCCACACTGCCATATAGCATCCAGATTATCTTGCTTTGAACGGGCTTATCTGGCAGCGTGGACTCATATAATCCAGTTTAAAGCAGATTATGTGGATTATCTGCCTTGATAATCTGAATTACATGACAGTGTAGAAGGGGCCTCAGTCTCACTGCTTACCTTCATACACCCCTAGTTGCTGGATTCATTTTCCCATTAATTTCATCACTCCCAGGTCCTTAGAAAAGTGAGGATTGTAATCTCTGTCAGTCAACAGAAACCATGGAGGCACTACTTTACCAGTCCTCCACTTTGAGCCTGCCCTATCACAAATATCTACGCCCACACTGTTGTTGTTTCTGTTGTTTTCCATTGTCAGCTTTGGCTTACAATGATTATCTGAACTAAAGACATCTGAGAGATCCTGTTATTAACAGCCCCGCTTGAGTCTTGCAAACGTAGGGCCCTGATATTCGGGAGGGAGTCCCAGTTTACTGCAATTCATATAACTAATTCAAAACTGCTTGGCAGTGTAGACTCGGTTTTATCAGTCAGCAGCAGTATTGCACTCACTGGCTGTTTCATCCATTTTTGTAGGTCAGTGATGCTAGACAGAGCTGAAAATCTTCTGCATGACCAATATGGAGGGAAGGACTACTGGAATGTAAGTATTTTATACTGATCTGATAAGAATTTATCACTTGGAAAAACTTTCCTCAAGGCTAACGGTTTTATAACCCCCTGTATTTTATATCATTCCATTCTTTTTATCTTGCTGAACTCCCAAACAAAATGTTTATTATATAAATACTGGAATAAAGTATTTACCTGTCTGAACGCATCTCTTCCTATGAATCATCTAGGTGTTTAAGATTGTCTGGAGAGGCCCTGCTCTCGGTCTCGCCTTCTTCACAGATCAGATTGACGGGAACGAGAGACAGGGCCTTCTCAGCAGTGGCCCCCCGGCTGTGGAATGCCCTCCCTAGGGACATTAGATCGGCCCCCTCCCTCCTGATATTTCGAAAGAGTTAAGACCTGGCTGTTTGTATAAGATGCTGATTCTGACCTTTAAAACTTTATATGGCCAGGGTCCATTGTATCTTAGGGACCGTCTCTCCTTCTGCCATTATCGGAGATCGCCATGACCATCCCAACTCGATTTGCTCTATGTGCTGGGTCCTAGGGAAGTGCACTTGGAAAGCTCCAGACGCAGGACCTTCTCTATTTCTGCCCCTGCCTTATGGAATTCCTTGCCTCCCTATTTGAGAGCCATGTGTGACTTAGGGCATTTTATCCCAGCACTTAAGACTTGGCTTTCTACTAAAGCATTTGACCCATGTTAATTTTAATATTTGTATGTGTGTGTTTTATCCTGTATAATTTCTGCAGTGTAAATGGCCTAAAGCATCTCGGATGGAGGGCGATTAATAAGTAATTAAATATGATGATAATGATGATGATGATGATGATGATGATTTTCAAGCAGGCATTTGCAGACGCAGTATAACTGATTAATTGAGACTCATGGAACAACAGGATGATTCAATGGAAAATGATTTTAATGATGAGATGCTGAGAATTGTATTTTATGACTTTAATTGTTTATTGCTATTGCTTTTATATGGTTTATACTATATGTAATTGTTTTTGATGGTATTTTATCTTGTGGGACACTGATGCGAAATGTAAACTGCCTTGAGTGGCCTTCGGGCTGAGAGGGGCAGTATAGCAAATAAATAAATAAAGGGATTCCCTTATAATACATTTTCTGAGTGGCTGCTTTGTGTGGAATCATCCAGCCATTGCCACCAGGTTTCACATTTGCAGCCTTTACCACATCTGGTTGTCTGCAATCCCAGAATATTAAAAGGATCACACCAATTCTGATACAGTGTTAATTCTATTGCTGAGTATATTCACAAAATAAATTAAGCAAAACTAACTTTACTTGCATCTTTTCTCCAATCACAAAACTGCTTTTACTGCAGTAGGTACTTTATATCAGAACATTGATTATTTAAGTCTAAGAAAAATACAGTCTAATGCAAATCACTTGACCCAACTCACAATTGACACTAACAAAGCACTGTGCTACTGGTTTCTTTTTATCTTGTTACAATACACTTTGGGTCCCATCTGCACTGCCATTATTCTTGCCCAATATAATACCCATACCCAAAACCTATAAATACTGGTGTATCTAAACCCTGTTTTGTATCTCTAGAAAGCAATTTTAACAATGCTTCAATTTATCTAAGGCAGTGGTTCTCAACCTGTGGGTCCGCAGGTGTTTTGGCCTGCAATTCCCAGTAATCCCAGCCAGTTTCCCAGCTGTTAAGATTTCTGGGAGTTGAAGGCCAAAATATCTGGGGACCCCACAGGTTGAGAATCACTGATCAAAGGGATCTTCTCATTTCCTCATAGCTACCTGTATATTTATATGAGACTAATGCACCAACAAATCAAATAAACAACTCAATTTTCAAAGCCCTGAAACAAAAAAAGAGTATTAGCTGACAAAAGTAGTGTGCAGCTGCAAAAGATGCACTCTTTGTAATATTTATTTATTTATTTATTTCGCACATTTCTACCCCGCCCTTCTCAACCCCCGAGGGGGGACTCAGGACGGCTTACAAAAGGCACAATTCGATGCCAACAACAACAATGAAATAAAACTTGTATCAAAAGCAATTATAAAACAATTAAAACAATCCATAAAACCAATCTAATGTTCAACGTTAGCCAGCTCAGAATCCATAAATTCATTCCACATTGTCAAATTCTATCAATTCTAGTCATTGTCCTTTGTCTGTCTGCCAGATTACCCAAAGGCCTGGTCCCATATCCATGTTTTTAGTATGCCCTGCTTAGAATTCTTTCTTTAAAAATAGTTTTGTCGGAATACCAAAGCTTTCAGCAATGGAAAAGAAACCTTGGGTGCATCTATACTGTAGAACGAGTCCACTTTAACTGCAGTGGTTCACTTCAGTGGAATCACGGGGGCTGTAGTTTTACAAGGCCTTGAACTTTCTCTGCCAAAGAGTGCAGATGCCTCATTAAACTACAAGTTCCAGGATTACATAACATTGAGCTATGACAATTAAATTACCGATGACATCCATCAAATAGAAGCTCCAGGTGGTCCTGAAGCAGCTTCCCCTTTTTGCTTTAGCATTAAAATAACCCTATTATGCAAATGTAATGTGTACCCTAATTTTGGCAAGGTAATTTAACCAAACAAGATTAGCATTAGATTCAAGTAAATACAGTAATCAGGCTTACTGGCTTGATCGTTTTGTTCAATTCACAGGAATATTTTCAGGTGAGTGGTGTTCAGAGAAGCATTCCATGAGCAGAACAGCGAGTAGAGGCTTTCCCTGTCCTCACCTTTCCTTCAGGGATCACTTTAAGGAGTAACCCACACAAATTCAGCTTTCCCAAGTCATCCCAGAAAGATGTAGACTTTAGATTGGAATTTCCTTTGCCTGAAATAAATGGTAGTGTATTGTCGAAGGCTTTCCATGGCCAGAATCACTGGATTGTTGTAGGTTTTTTCGGGCTAAAGACTATTCGCTGACAAAAGTAGCGTGCAGCTGATTAGGAAACACAACATACAAACTATCTACAGATCCACCAAGAAAATCCAACAAATGCTACATTCAGCAAAGGACAAGAGGGATCCTCTTCCTTCTGCAGGAGTCTACCGTGTACCATGCAGCTGTGGACAAGTCTACATAGGGACCACCAAATGCAGCATTGCCCAAACACAAATCAAGGAACATGAAAGGCACTGCAGACTACTTCAACCAGAGAAGTCAGCCATAGCAGAGCACCTGATGAACCAACCTGGACACAGCATATTATTTGAGAACACAGAAATGCTGGACCACTCTAACAACTACCATGTCAGACTACACAGAGAAGCCATTGAAATCCACAAGCATGTGGACAATTTCAACAGAAAGGAGGAAACCATGAAAATGAACAAAATCTGGCTACCAGTATTAAAAAACTCTAAAATTGCAACAGCACAACAGAGAGGAAACAATCAGGGACATCTAATCACCTCTCATCAAAAGATTGCCCCAGGCACTGCCAGGCCATCAAATGCTAATGAAGGTGGTCAGTTGAAACATTCACACCCAGCTCCAGCAGAGAAGAGCTCTTTGTTCCACCCTAGTCATTCCACAGATTATAAACCCATTTTCCTAATTCCAACAGACCTCACAACCTCTGAGGATGCTTGCCACAGATGCAGGTGAAACGTCAGGAGAGAATGCCTCTAGAACATGGCCATATAGCCCGAAAAAACCTACAACAACCTGCTAAATAGTTGTGGTTATTTAAAATTCCTAATATGTCAATATGTTGAATGCTTTTGAAGATCTCTGCTAAAGACATAGTCTGATCATGACAGATGCTCATAAAGGCCCACCTCCACTGCAGGTATATCTTTTGCATAAATAATAACTACCTTAGCTTTCCCACAATCTCCAAAACTATCTATGTATTAGTCTAAGGTAAAGGTAAAGGTAGTCCCCTGACATTAAGTCCAGTCATGTCTGACTCTGGGGTGTGGTGCTCATCTCCATTTCTAAGCCGAAGAGCCAGCGTTGTCCGTAGACACCTCCAAGGTCATGTGGCCAGCATGACTGCATGGAACGCCGTTACCTTCCCGCTGGAGCGGTACCTATTGATCTACTCACATTTGCATGTTTTCGAACTGCTAGGTTGGCAGAAGCTAGGGCTGACAGCGGAAGCTCACGCCGCTCCCCGGAATCGAACCTGCGACCTTTCGATCAACAAGCTGAGCAGCTCAGTGCTTTAACCCACTGCGCCACCAGGGGCTCCCATGTATTAGTCTAGCCAGTCCAAATTTATAGTCCGTAAAATTGACCCATCTCCATCCAAAGCTGCCCCTTCTCCCATCCCTCCCCACCCTGCTTTTAGTCTTCTGATTCTCAAAGACCCTCCATTTATAGTTATGGGAGGATTGAAAATTCTTTTCCTCCAGTAATTGTTGGGAATTCTAATTAATCCCATACCTTATCCTATAAAATGTACTTTGGTAGTCGTCCTGAGATCTCAGTGGAGGGAGGAATCACAGGTGCAGCTCATATCTTTAGCAACATTGAGGGTAATGGTTTGTTTGACTTATTTACAGCCTCTTAATATGTTTGTCTTAATGCAAACATAATGAGATACGGTAAAATTCTATGATCTTTTTTTCATTCTCAGTTGAACCCTATTTTCTCTTAAATATCAGTCTTATAACATTCCATTGGTATTGCCATTGCTATTGAGTTCTGTAGATTTACGTATTCCTATAATGATGTTGAAACGAGTCTAATGTAGTTCTTGGTATCTTTCTTCTTTTTGTAATAGACTCGGAGAAGTATGGTGTTTGCTAAGCATCTTCGTGTGGTGGGGGACCTGTTTAGAGACCAGTACTTAAACTCTACTGATGAGAAGGATGGGACACAGTATATCGAGGACTGGACAAAAATGAAGGTAAAATAATGCCACAGACCTGGTATAGTGTCTAGATCAGGCACGGGCAAGCATCGGCCCTCCAGGTGTTTTGGACTTCAACTCCCATAATTCCTAATAGCTGGTAGGCTGTTAGGAATTGTAGGAGTTGAAGTCCAAAACACCCGGAGGGCCAATATTTACCCATGCCTGGTCTAGATCAAGGGGAGTAATGGTGCTCCTCTATTCTGCTTTGGTCAGACTTCACTGGGAATAACACTGTCCAGTTATGGGCATCACAATGGAAGAGGGCTATTGACTCTAAGCTGGAAGGTGTCCAGAGGAGGGTGACTAAAAAGATCAAAGGCCTGGAAACCATGAATCCCTATGAGGAGCGGCTAAAACAAATGGGTATGTTTAACCTGCAGAAGAGAAGGTTGAAAGAGGAGACATGATAGTCATGTCTAAATATGTGAAAGGATGTCCTGTGGAATAGGGAGCAGGCTTGTTTTCTGCTGTTCAAGCGACTAGGACTCAATGGAGCAATGGATTCAAATGACAGGAAAGGAGCTTCTACCTCAGGGGTCCTCAAACTAAGGCCCAGGGGCCAGATACGGCCCTCCAAGGTCATTTACCTGGCCCTCGCTCAGGGTCAACCTAAATCTGAAATGATTTGAAAGCCACAACAACAAAAATCCTATCTAATCAGCCAAAAGCACTTCCCACTGAAATACTAATAAGTTTATATTTGTTAAAATTGTTCTTCATATTAATTATTGTATTGTTTTTAAGTGTTTATTTCACTACAAATAAGATATGTGCAGTGTACATAGAAATTCATTCATGGTTTGTTTGTTTTTTTCAAATTAAAATCCGGCCCTCCAACAGTTTGTGGGATTGTGACCTGGCCCTCTGTTTAAAAAGTTTGAGGACCCCTGTTCTACCTGAACATTAGAAAGAACTTCCTGACCTTAAGAGCTCACTGCCTCAGAGTGTGATGGAGGCTTTTAAACAGAGGCTGGATGGCCATCTGTTGGGATGCTTTGATTGTGCTTTTCCTGCATGGGAAGGATTGGACTTAATGTCCCCTGTGATCTCTTCCAACTCTATGATTCTATATTCTATGAATGCACATTTCATGGAAACATTGTAGTGTGCTAGTCAGATCCTTTTATACTATGTGTCTTTTATTCACGTGGCACAAGAAGCCGTTGTAATGTATTTTTGTCAGAAATGCACAGCATCAAAGGGAAAAGCACTGGCCTTTGTACTCATAAATCACAAAGATGTGAATGACAACCCAATAGTAGATGCAGTAGCCTGTATCTTCCCATAAATGTTCCTGGGACTTGAGCATTATAAGCAAATTGAAGTCTCTTTTATTTCTATGTGTATTTCTTTAACATGGCTGCTCCTTTGTGTGTAATCCCTACATAAGCTTCAGTGTATGTACAATAAAGTAGGTGCCTGTGTTATGTACTCATAACATCTGGCGGATGTTATGAGTACATTGTCCTAAAAGAGGCTATCCTTGTAGGAAAGTATATTGCACACAGTCCCCCGTTTTAAACCTCTGTAAACCAAATTATCTTAATTATGCCTAATTAAAACTGTTGATGAGTACTCAATTCAATTAAAATTCTTTTAAATGTGCTATTTGACAATTTACGTTGAGAATTGCAAATCGAGAACTTGAGCTTGCTATTTTTCCACTGAATCCATGCCATTTTATTTCAGTTTCAGCCTGTTCTTCTGTGCTAGGTAAAGCTGGGCACGGCCATAGGTGGCCCATACCTTGCAGTTCACCTCAGGCGGAAAGACTTCATCTGGGGTCACAGAAGTGATGTACCTAGCATCCAGGGAGCTGTTAAGAAAATCCACAGCCTTTTAAAGTTACATAAACTTGAGAGAGTTTTTGTAGCCACTGATGCCATTGTGGAGGGTATGTATTCTTTTTTTTTTTTTACTGATCAGTTTATTACTTTGCATCCCCCCTCCCCCAAAAATATTTTTCCCATTATGCCAAGTAGAAAATTGTAGGATATATTTAAGTTCCCTTTCACTGCAGAGTAACTTCCCCATTTTTGCTGCTTTCCCAGAGGACAGTGGAGGAAGTGATTGTGCAGACTGCTTATTGCGTGGCCATGGATATTTATAGGTATATGTATGTACAAACAAGATAGGTTCTGTAGGTTTGTTCTGAAGTTGAATTTGTTTGTAAGTTGGAACTGGTACATTATACATTTATTTATTTATTTATTTCGGGTATTTTACCCCGCCCTTCTCAACCCCCTAGGGGGGTACTCAGGGCGGCTTCTAGCCGGCACACATTCGATGCCTACAATTAAACACAATAAAATGCACAACAACAGTAATTATAAATAATTAAAACATTGAGTTAATACAATAAAGTGCAACTCCAGCCAAATATGTATATACTTTTGCTTTGGATAGCATAGGGAAGGGTTAACACTCCTGTAGTGTTTGTTTCGCTGTCAGTGCCCTTGTTCAGAAGATTTCATGTCTGTGATCATTGGATTTTGAAAAAAATGGCTTGTTGTGGAGACAAGGATTAGCGAGAAAGCTTCAGTGGAGACATCGTTTCCCCATCATAATTCTTCCAGGAGAGAATTTCCCTTTTGAGGGTTCGATTTCTCTTACTTCCTGTTGTCTTGTTCTTAACTAAGACTCCTTTGTAAGTCAGATGTTTGTAACTCGGGGACTCCCTGTCTATGTATACATATACTTATGGCCTAGAATTCATGAAGCCACCTTTGATATTTGAAACATTCTCCAAATCTGCCCCAAATTTTTGTTGTTGCTCTCAAATGCCTTCAAAATCAGCAAATTTGTTCAAGTCTCTCTCCATACTCTGCAGAGTCGTCTCAAACTAGAAGTCAGAACTAACAGCGAAGTAATGTATCCAGCTTGCAGGGTTGTGAGGACAAATATTAGCTATTGTCATGGTTGCCCATCACTGACATATTAAGAGGAAACTCATGAAGATCTAGACTAGTATTCCGTAGTGGACTTGATGTACTAAAGAACTGAGAAGCCTTGGATTCTATTACTAGAGTGCTGATAGGCATTATATCAGTGCAAACAGGGTGTGTGCTGTTTCATCCTGGAGCAAGGAGGCATATACAGTAATTCCTCATGAGAGTGGATCCTTCAGTTTACCCAGCACAACAGTCGCTCACCTGGGAACCAGACCCAAAGCCTGGTCAGAATTCCCATCCATCCTTCCAAGATCAAATTAGCCGGTGACTGGCATGCAGGGTACGCTGGGATACTGGAAGTGCTCATACTGCAGTTTGGCTATCCGTCTTGATCTTCCTCCAACAATGCACAATCCCTTTTAAACCCATTGGTAGGTTTTCTCACTCTTTTGACTTTAAATTGGATGCTGACCTCTCAGTTTAACTCTTAAAGTTTCATCAGTTGCCTGTGCAAATTTTCTTTTCCTGATCCCATGCTTTCACTACATGGTAAACAAATGTGTGAACTGAGTAAATGCTCAGTTCTATAGTCTTCAAAAGATAGCATCTTTTGCCCTTTTTCCCTCCCTCCCTTCTCATTCTTTCCTCTCTTAAAAAAAGCTGAAATGATTAAGAAATTGTGCTTAGGGTGGTTGTTCAGCCAACCTTTTTATTCAGACAGGCTTTTAAAGAAAACATTTTCAGGGGTTGTTGTGATTTTTAGTTTTGAATATGTATGTATTGATTTTAACTGGTTTTTAAAATACCAATGACCTTTAATTCTGTGTTAATGTTTATATGCTTCCTCTTCATCCTGGAAAGAAGTGACGAGCAGAGTGCCGCAGGGTTCCGTCCTGGGCCCGGTCCTGTTCAACATCTTTATTAATGACTTAGACGAAGGGTTAGAAGGCATGATCATCAAGTTTGCAGATGACACCAAATTGGGAGGGATAGCCAATACTCCAGAGGACAGGAGCAGGATTCAAAACGATCTTGACAGATTAGAGAGATGGGCCAAATCTAACAAAATGAAGTTCAACAGGGACAAATGCAAGATACTCCACTTTGGCAGGAAAAACGAAATGCAAAGATACAGAATGGGGGACAATGCCTGGCTCGAGAGCGTAAACATGAGTCAACAATGTGATGTGGCGGCAAAAAAAGCCAATGGGATTTTGGCCTGCATCAATAGGAGCATAGTGTCTAGATCTAGGGAAGTCATGCTACCCCTCTATTCTGCCTTGGTTAGATCACACCTGGAATATTGTGTCCAATTCTGGGCACCACAATTGAAGAGAGATATTGACAAGCTGGAATGTGTCCAGAGGAGGGCAACTAAAATGATCAAGGGTCTGGAGAACAAGCCCTATGAGGAGCGGCTTAAGGAGCTGGGCATGTTTAGCCTGAAGAAGAGAAGGCTGAGAGGAGATATGATAGCCATATTATAAATATGTGAGAGAAAGCCACAGGGAGGAGGGAGCAAGCTTGTTTTCTGCTTCCTTGGAGATTAGGACACGGAACAATGGCTTCAAACTACAAAGAAAGGAGATTCCATCTGAACATGAGGAAGAACTTCCTGACTGTGAGAGCCGTTCAGCAGTGGAACTCTCTGCCCCGGTGTGGTGGAGGCTCTTTCTTTGGAGGTTTTTAAACAGAGGCTAGATGGCCATCTGTTGGGATGCTTTGAATGCAATATTTTTGCTTCTTGGCAGGGGGTTGGACTGGATCGCCCATGAGGTCTTTTCCAACTCTATGATTCTATATAGTTGTAGATTTTAAATGCTACTGAAATGCTTTTAATGTAAGCCACTCTGAGTCTCCTTTATGGAGTGAAAAAGCAGGATATAAATAAACACAATAATCATCATCATCCCTTAAAGGCCCCAGATCCTAGCTGGGTCTATCTCTGGTTAGTACTTGGATGGGAAAATGCAGGTGAATACCAGGTGCTGTCAGTTATATTTTACCTAACAAAACCCTGTGAAATTCATGGGGTTGTCATAAGTCAACAGGTGACCGGAAGGCATGTACACATAAATAAAAATAAACAAACAAGCCCTTAGCTGATGAAACCATTGAATTGGCGTTCCTTTTCAGAAACTGAAGAGCTGAAGAGATTGCTTCCACAAATGGTGAGGTTTGAACCCACTTGGGAGGAGGTAGAACAGTATAAAGATGGTGGAATCGCTGTTATTGACCAATGGATATGTGCACATGCCAGGTAACTATGCTGCTTTTTGTTAGATTTATGCTAGAACAGTCTCTAGGTATATCTATATGTTGATCTCCTGAAGATCAAAGTTATTTTACATACTCATGTATAAGTCTCAAATCATTTCGGTCATTGACCAGCACAGAAAATAGAAGTCACATTTTCATACAAACTTGGTATGTTTGGTACATTAAGAATATAAATATAACTACTGAAGCACAATATGGGCGAAGGAGTGGAAGAGGAAACAGGGTAAAAACATACAATGCACAGATCCATCACCAAATTGTAGATTCAGGGAAGAAGATTACTGGACACACAGTTAACTTTTGGGACTAGTTATTCCCTGACTAGAACCTTTGGTCAAAAATCAGCCTCAAAAAACCTGGATTGACTTATCTGTGGGTCAATGTAAGAGTTAATGAATGTAAGTACTTCACTAATTTAAAAATGAACCACCTCCTTCTCTGAGTGGCAAAATATGAGACCTTAGTTCATCTTGGAAGAACCTAAATGCAGCACCGACCCCCTATTCTCCACTGTGGCACTATTTCTATCCTTCCTTAATGAGAAAATGACAACAGAGGTGTTTGGCCTCTTAAGGTGGTGCTGATGCCATCCCCTTAAACTTATCCTTGGGTCATATCAACATCCCTAATTTTTGACCTCCAACCTTCCTTTGACTTACTTCCTTTGAGCACATGATACATGTGTTTATGTCATGAGAGGCTTTCACTATATTGTGGAAGAGAGTTTTACTATATTGCAGAATTCTAGCAGATGCCACTTTAACTGCCATGGCTCAATGCTATGGAAGTATGGAATTTGTAGCATTGAGAGTTATTCAGCCTTCCCTGTCAGAGAACTACTACAAATACCAAGCAGTGTTAAGCTGCTATAATTCTGCAGGGTAGATACAGGAACCAGGTATGAGAGATTCAGATCTGGTTCCTGCATTAGATGGGCCTTTCAAATCACTATAGTATAGTAATAGCCAACTGCGACCGTACCTCGTGAAGGCGGATCTGGCCAGGGTGGTCCATGCCTTAGTCACCTCCAGATTGGACTACTGTAATGCACTCTACATGGGGCTGCCCTTGAAAACGGGCCGGAAATTTCAATTGGTCCAACGCATGGTGGCCAGGTTGTTAACGGGGGCTCCTTACAGGGAGAGGTCAACCCTCCTGTTTAAGGAGCTCCACTGGCTGCCATTCATTTTCCAGTCCCAATTCAAGGTGCAGGTGCTTACCTACAAAGCCCTAAATGGTTTGGGACCCGCCTAACTGCGTGACCGCATCTCTGTGTATGAACCCACACGATCTCTTCGTTCATCTGGAGAGGCCCTGCATCGCAAGCGCGATTGGTGGGGACGAGGGATAGGGCTTTCTCGGTGGTGGCCCCTCGACTCTGGAACTCTCTCCCCAAGGACATCAGGCAGGCCCCGTTGCTAGCAATCTCTAGGAGGAGCTTGAAAACATGGTTGTTCCAGTGTGCCTTCCCAGAATAAGGAAACTCCTAGCATTATGTCCCAACGCACTTTATCAGAGATCAAGGATATCTGCATGCCCATCCCCCTCCAAACACTCCTCCTGGTCACACCTAGCACTTCTTAATTTTAATTATTACATTTGGCCCTGCCATTGTTTTTAATTGCATCATTGTGTGTTGTTAAATGTTATTGCTCTGTTTTTTGAGTTATTTTGTTGATGTTGTTGTTATTGTTTTTACTGTTGTATTTGGGCTCGGCCTCATGTAAGCCGCACCGAGTCCTTTGGGAGATGGTAGAGGGGTACAAATAAAGCATTATTATTATTATTATTATTATTATATCTGACAGATACCTAAATTTCTCACACCCTTGCTAAATTATTTTTGCTTGGTCATTGCTCTTCCCATTGGGAAGCAGTATGCATGGAGCTTTCTACTTGTTGCTTTCTCCTTCAATGCCTTGTTATTCATCTGGTTCTTGAGTCCAGGCAAAATAGAACTCACTGTGTTCACCGTGAGGTTTTCTCTTCTGCAGTAATGGGGAGGAAATCCTTCACACTGGATCTGTCTCCCCCCCCCTCCCCCCATGCGAGACAAGTAGTGCTGAAATCTGCCAGTCATCCTTACCACTCTAAAGGGGAGAGACAGCCCCTCTTTCCTAGTTCTGTCCTGCCTTCACTTGAAACAGGAAAGGGCTTCACACTCAGATTGATCTTGGGCTTTTAAGGTTGTTGGGGATTAACAATTAACTCCTATGTTTGTTTGAGCTTTACTGCCTTAAAGATGACAGTCACTCTCAGAGAGTGACAAGGGCTATGAGGAGTTTGGGCTGGACCGGGCTATGGATGAAAACCCCCCCAAACCAAACAGTCCTTGGGTTTGGTGTGTGCTGCTAAAGAGTGTGATGGGATCTTACAGCAGGGCAGATCATGGGGCAGCTCAACTGCAGGGCAATACTATTGTGCGAGGGCTTGTTTTTTGTTTTGTTCTGTTCATTTTGTTGGTTTGAGGTATTTATTTGAATTAAATGAACTCGGTAGCTCCATAAAAAGGGTTATTTCACAATTCAGGATTCTTAAAACAGAGACCAGCTGTCCCCATTGGGGTTGTTCTGCTCTGCCATCCCACCAATTTGGGACTCCGAAATGACCTGTTAGGGTAATACTACCCTAATCGTAAGTAAGCCATGCTGCTTAGTTGCTTCAGAAACACACACTGGACCCAAGGGCCGTCCTGTCCGTTCTCTCTCCATGCTGTGAGGACGCCTCCAATATACAGTCCATCTGAGAAAAAGTTGGAGCTGGTGTGAAACGTTGAGTGTTTTCTTATCAGATGTTTGTTCCCATCTTCACTTACGTGTTTCTGTATTCTCAGGTATTTTATAGGCACCTCAGTCTCAACATTTTCCTTCCGCATTCATGAGGAAAGGGAGATTCTTGGTTTTGACCCAAAAACAACTTACAACAGATTTTGTGGCGATGAAGAGAAAACATGTGAACAGCCGACTCATTGGAAAATTGTATATTAAACTATCTCAGTCTGAGGGACTACAATCTGGGCTCACCAAAGCAATTAAACAATCATGGGAGTATTTTTAGTGCTGGTTTGTCTTTCATTTTTCATGCTAAGCACAAACAAATGGTAGTGGATCTCTTCTTCATTCATACACAGTTGGTTCAGTATATTTAGCAGTACTGGCAGGTTTTCTTTGAAAATACCAACGGTCTCTCTTTGAATGTGATTAGTTCATAATTTCAACAGCTACCATGTTTTCAGATAATATAATGCCAGCTTGTATTATATTCTTCAGATCAAAATAGCCTTTACTCTGATTGTAGTTTATTTTGTATATTTACAGGGATATTTTTTAAAGATGTAACCCTAATTTTGTAAGGTCTTGTTTACAAAGTTTCTGGTTCTTCACAAAGGCCTTCTATTATTTTTTTCTGAATAAGCATTGATAATAATTTAGAGTGTGACTACACAGGGATCCCTTGAGTAACAGATCTACCATAGGTAGCTTTCCTAGCCAAAATGGTTGTATAGGAAAGCTGTGTACTACTCTGCTTAATTGCATCGTCTTTTTCGTTCCTTATTAAATATCTGCTTTGTTTATTTTTGTTACCTAGAGTTGTCTGCTGTAACCAAAAATAGATTTACCAGTTGATTATGAATAAAATGATTCCCTTTTTTAAATTGCTAGTTTCCTAGTTCAACATATACTTTTATAAGCCTATATCTATTTCTCGGCCAGTAGTTTCCCAAGAATATATCCATAAAAGAGGCGGTGGTCTCTCCTCTGCTGAAGAAACCAGACTTAGATTGTTCGGTTCCCTCCAGTTATCGCCCAGTTTCGAATCTCTCGTTCCTGGGCAAGGTGATTGAGAGGGCAGCAGCGGAGCAGTTGCAGCAATTCCTAGACGACACAGCCGGACTAGATCCCTTCCAGTCCAGCTTCCGTGCGGGGCATGGGACAGAGACTGTGCTGGTCTCCATCACGGATCGCCTTCAATGCCAGCTTGACCAGGGCGGGTCAGCGCTGCTTGTGTTATTGGATCTCACAGCAGCATTTGACACAGTCGACCACAATCTTTTGATCCATCGCCTTGCTGCTGTTGGAGTCAGGGGGAGGAGGCCAAGCCAGGAGGAAGAACTTGATGAAGTCTTCTGCCAACAGTTGACCAAACAGGCACAGAGAAGAGATGTAGTAGTCATGGGCGATTTCAACTATCCCGCTATTTGCTGGAAAACAAACTCGGCCAAGAGTACAAAGTCCAACAAATTCCTCGCTTGCCTTGCAGACAATTTCATGGTCCAGAAGGTAGAAGAGGCAACAAGGGGATTGGCTACTCTTGATCTCATCCTAACAAATGCGGAGGACCTGATCGATGCGGTCGAAGTGGTAGGATCCTTAGGGGCAAGTGACCATGTGCTCCTGCAATTTGAGGTACAAAGGAAGGCCGAAACTAAGACAAGTCAAACCCGCATTTTGGACTTTAGGAGAGCTGATTTCCAAAAAATGAAGGAAACACTGAGCAGCATTCCGTGGACACCGATACTAAAAGACAAGGGAGTTACGGATGGATGGGAATTTCTCAAGAGTGAAATACTCAAGGCACAATTGCAAACCGTGCCAACAAAGAGAAAAAATAGGACAAGTGCAAAGAAGCCAGAATGGATGTCCAAAGAACTTCTAACTGTGCTAAGACACAAAAGAGACATGCACAAGAAGTGGAAAAAGGGAGAAATCACCAAAGAAGAATTCAAACAAATAGCCAACACCTGTAGGGGAAAGGTCCGCAAGGCTAAAGCACAAAACGAGCTCAGGCTTGCCAGGGACATTAAAAACAATAAAAAGGGCTTCTATTCTTATGTCAGTAGAAAAAGGAAAAACAAGGAGGCGATAGGACCTCTTCGAGGAGAAGATGGGGCAATGCTGACAGGGGATAGGGAAAAGGCAGAACTACTTAATGCCTTCTTTGCCTCGGTCTTCTCACAAAAAGAGAGTCTTCAACCTCAGCAAGATGGAGTGGATGAGGGATTGGAGGACATCCAACCCCAAATTGGGAAAGAAGTCGTCCAGGAATACCTGGCCGCTCTTAATGAGTCCAAGTCCCCAGGGCCAGATCAACTATACCCCAGAGTATTGAAGGAACTAGCGGAAGTCATTTCGGAACCGCCTTTTTTCATCTGTGGCAGGCCAGACATGCCAGACTAATCTGATCTCTTTCTTCGATAGAGCTACAAGCTGGGTAGATGCGGGGAATGCCGTGGATGTAGCGTATCTGGATTTCAGTAAGGCCTTCGACAAGGTCCCCCATGACCTTCTGGCAAGGAAACTAGTCCAATGTGGGCTAGGCAAAACTACGGTGAGGTGGATCTGTAATTGGTTAAGTGGACGAACACAGAGAGTGCTCACTAATGCTTCCTCTTCATCTTGGAAAGAAGTGACAAGTGGAGTGCCTCAGGGTTCCGTCCTGGGCCCGGTCCTGTTCAACATCTTTATTAATGACTTAGATGAAGGGCTAGAAGGCATGATCATCAAGTTTGCAGACGACACCAAATTGGGAGGGATAGCCAATAGTCCAGAGGACAGGAGCAGAATTCAAAACGATCTTGACAGATTAGAGAGATGGGCCAAAACTAACAAAATGAAGTTCAACAGTGACAAATGCAAGATACTCCACTTTGGCAGGAAAAACGAAATGCAAAGATACAGAATGGGGGACAATGCCTGGCTCGAGAGCAGTATGTGTGGAAAAGATCTTGGAGTCCTCGTGGACAACAAGTTAAACATGAGCCAACAATGTGATGTGGCGGCAAAAAAAGCCAATGGGATTTTGGCCTGCATCAATAGGAGCATAGTGTCTAGATCTAGGGAAGTCATGCTACCCCTCTATTCTGCCTTGGTTAGACCACACCTGGAATATTGTGTCCAATTCAAGAGAGATATTGACAAGCTGGAATGTGTCCAAAGGAGGGCAACTAAAATGATCAAGGGTCTGGAGAACAAGCCTATGAGGAGCGGCTTAAGGAGCTGGGCATGTTTAGCCTGAAGAAGAGAAGGCTGAGAGGGGATATGATAGCCATGTATAAATATGTGAGAGGAAGCCACAGGGAGGAGGGAGCAAGCTTGTTTTCTGCTTCCCCGGAGACTAGGACGCGGAACAATGGCTTCAAACTACAAGAGAGGAGATTCCATCTGAACATGAGGAAGAACTTCCTGACTGTGAGAGCCGTTCAGCAGTGGAACTCTCTGCCCCGGAGTGTGGTGGAGGCTCCTTCATTGGAAGCTTTTAAGCAGAGGCTGGATGGCCATTTGTCAGGGGTGATTTGAATGCAATATTCCTGCTTCTTGGCAGGGGTCTCTTCCAACTCTTTGATTCTATGATTCTATGATTATCAGCTTTCCGCAGGGCATGTAAGACATATCTGTTTCGACAGGACTTTGATTTTTGATATTGCTGTTTTTAAATTGTGTTAGATTTTAGCATGTTCTTGTAAGCCGCTCTGAGCCCCAGGGGAGTAGCAGCATATAAGTTCGAATAATAAATAAATAAAATAAAATATTGACCATGAACTCCACATCTGAAATGCTGTAAGCTCCTTTGTCCTACAAATCATACGTATTAAACATGATGTTCCTTTTAACTAAGCAGCAAAAAGATGTAGAAAATATGTTGTTTTTTGTTGTTCTTTGTGGTGGAACTGAGGGACTCTGGGAACGGCACTAATGTTGCGTACCAATAGAGGAGGGGCCATTGCCACAATTCTTACTTATTCACTCCAAACAAAGTACTGTACAGGTGCAGGATAGCCATGAATCTTTTGATGATAGGATACCATGTTATATAGGATCCTCAAAGTTGTGTATGTAAGCCAAATTGTAGTGTGAATGGGAAAACAGGTACCACATGCGCTAGATCAGGGTTCCTCAAACCAAGGCTTGCAGGCTGGATGCAGCTCTCCATGGTCATGTACCCAGCCTCCATCGTAAGGGTCATCCTAAATCTGCAACAACTTGAAGGCATACAACAATCCTAATTAGCCTGTCTCTCTCATAAGCCAAAACCAGGCCCACACTTCCCATTGAATTCTGGTAATTTTATGTTGGCTAAAATTCTCCTGTGTTTTTTGCATTACAAATAAGATGTGTGCAGTGTGCATAGGAATTAGTTTTTGTTTTGTTTTTGTTTTTTCACTAGTCCAACAGTCTAGTTTGAAAAAAACCCTCTGCTTAAAAAGTTTGAGGACCCTTGCAGTAGTGTCCTAAATTTGATATGCAATAATGGCCTCAATTACATAGCAAATGTAGGGGGGGGGGGGTCCATCTATACCACTGCAACTGGCTCTTCTCCCAGTATTCTTACCCTTCCTTTCCTTGTATTGTTAATGGCCTATCATCATGAGATTTGCTCTGCATCATTAACTTTTGGCCTATAATGAGTCACTTTGTCCTCAACAGTATTGCCACATGGACCTTGCCATGGAAAGCAGCCTGGTCATATTGAGGCTCCTGCAAAACTACTCCACTGGCTTCCAGTTTGAGCGCAAGAGTGCTGGAAGCTTAAGACCCAGATATTTGTTTGACCACCTTCACCAATTTGCCTTAACAAAGGAAAATTAACTTTCGCTCCCTGAAATTGCCCAGGGAGCAGTTGTGGACCCAAGAGAAATACCTTTTTTGTTGGTGGTGTGTGTTCCCTTAAAGGAGCTTACCTAGCTCTTCTTTCATCATCATTTAATAAAGTATACTATCCAGGTGAATTTGCAGACCTAGAGAACCCAAAACATCATCAAGAAACTGGAGCTCTTTCCTATGAGAAATGTCAAAGTGCTTGAGCTGGTTTAAAGGGGGAAGGATATAGAATTTTATAAAACTAACAGAAGCCATGGAGTGCCCCCCCCCCCTTCTCTGGTCCTGTTGGCTGTTAGGAGAGGAAGGACCCACTGGTCTGCTTTAGCAGAACTTTTCTAAATCACTTTTTCACACTGTCTCTACTATCCTTCCCTCCAGTGAGCAGTCGGGCTTTATTTCCTGAAGTATGTACTGGTTGGATCTTCTCGCGGTCCAAGGCACTCTCAGAACTTTCCTCCAACACCACAGCTCAAAAGCATCGATCTTCCTTCGCTCAGCCTTCCCTAAGGTCCAGCTCTCACATCCGTAGGTGACTATGGGGAATACTGTAGTGAAGTGTAAATTTTTAACTTGCAGTTATGTGTAATTATAGATGTTATGTATAAGTATAGACAGATGTTTAAAGGGTTAGTAATGGTAAGTATAGTGTTGCATAACCAAGGAAGATGGCAGCCAGCTCAGCCTATGTTGAGCTGGGTTACCATGGAAACAGGGGCAGAGCCAACTGCCACTTGGCAGGGCAGCCATTTTAAACGGTTAGTCTGTAGTCGGAGAGCTACAGGAGAAGACTGATTATCTAGGAGGGAAATCAGGGAAATTGTCTACAGTCTGTGAACTGTAGGAGAGGCTGTTCTGTTGGGTAGAGAGAACCAGAAGGGATCTGTAGTTTAAAAACTACAGGGAAAAGACTGATTCTACTTAGTAAGAATCAGGGAAGTTTGGGCTTTTAGCCTGAGTAGTTTAAGTAAGTCGAGTGGGCTTATTTATATTAATAGTTAGTGTTGAGAGAAAGGGTGAGAGAAACCTAATGAGAGTCTCTATTGTAACAGAGACAATATAAAGAAAGATTAACTTGTAACTGAAGTAATCTATTAAAGAAAGAAACCCAGTTTGAAGAAAAATAATTGAAATCTGTTTAGTGGAAGGAAGAGTCCTTTCCAGAGTTGTTTAATCAAAGTTATAAATGTAACTTTTGAAGATCTATAACTCTATGAGAAGAGAAACATTGAATCCATCACGTTTCCTCTACATTTCAATAAACTTGTTACTGTTCTTTTCCTAAAGCCTTGCCTCTGAGACAATTTCTTTCCAAGTTAAGTCACGCTACACAGAAGAAAGACCAAATCAATATTATTAGCCATAAGCTACGCTAAGTTAATAAACCCTCACAAAGTGGTGGCTTCTTTACAAACGTTCACAAAGTGGTGGCAGTAATCCTACGCTTCCTCACAAATACCACTGCTTTAACTATGCGGATCTTGGTTGCCAGTGTGATGTCTCTACTCTTCACTATTTTATTGAGATTGGACATTGCTCTCCTCCCAAGAAGTAGATGTCTCCTGATTTCCTGGTTGCAGTCTGCATTTGCAGTAATCTTTGCACCTGGTCACTATAAAAGCTGAAATAATGCATGGAAAAGTGACGTTACAAAAATCCTTTTCCAACTGAGTGCCTCGCTGCAATACCATAATTGTATACCTCACCTGCTTTGAAAAATCTTTTAGAATACCTTTTACATTTAAAACAATACCCAGGCTCCAAGGATAGTTGCGTCCATTTTATTGGTGGACCCACTTCATTGAAACATTTGGATTTCGACCACATTTCTTTCTTTCTTCTAGAACAGTATCAGGAGATTTTTGTTTTAACAAACAAAAGTTTGTGCTTAATCTGCAAAGACATAAAAAGAGCTTCCTTTGAGAGAAGACAGGTTTTCCAAAGCTTAGAGGACTTCTCACACAAACTAGAAATAAACTCCCACTGCACTTCTGAAGCAACAACATAAACGAGGTATTTCCAGTCATTCAGTTTCACTGTTAGAGGAAAAGAGTTGGGATTTTAGAGGCAGAGAAGCAAAAGGATTCGGTGCCCTTCTGTCTGTGATCGAAAAGCACCTTGCAGTGATACTGTGACTTATTTACCTCCCAGTCATAGAGGAATTTAAAACAGAAAGTAGGCAGAGTTATGAAGTCATTCAGCCAACTCACAAAGGCATTTGGCTTAGGTATGAACCTCTTTGCAAGGACAGTTCAGTACGAGTTTGTTGTTTATATGCCTTCAGGTTAACTCGGACTTATATCAACCTCAAGGCAACCTCTTATGGGGTTTTCTTGGGGAGATTTAGCCAGAGGAGCTTTCCTATTACCTTCCTCTGTGGTTGAGAGAGTGGGTGTGCCCAAGATCATTCAGGGCACTGCCTGGTCGATCCAGGTTTCGATCCCTGGTCCTAGTGCAACCCTCATAGTACTACACCATGCTGACTCCCCTCTATACAAATACAGGCACATCATTCTCAATCCTACTGGAGGCAATGGACCATATAGCAAATTAATATTTTGCTCACACCATTCATATGAACTGTACTGCAGCATATATCAGCCACACATTATCCAAGCTAGAAGTATTGGCATGCAAACAAGAAAATGTCTCAAAATAAAATGAGCCTAAATCATTTAATGATTGGCATGGAACACAGGAATAATATTATGAAAGATGTTTGTTGCTAGCATGGATTTCTTTTTCTATCAAGAACTGTCATGCTTTGATCTACATAGGAAAGTATACTGTTACATAGCCATGGCATTAACCCAAATGCACTCTGCATCCATTAAGTGTCAATTTGCCATGTCATGGTTTTATTGCTTTTGACAGTGCAGGGCTGAGAGGTACAAATGTGGCAAGTGGACTAAAGGGAATGAAATGCTGAATATTTTTGAGGGCAAAGGAAAGAGACTCTTAAGTTGTAACACCAAATTGTTAGTGAGAGTCAATAAACATATCTCTGGCATAGCTTTGGGGAAGATGCTTCTTTAAAAATGTCTTTTCTAAAAGAAACTAGACACTAAAGATTTATTGCTGTGTTTAGACTAAAGAAACTGGCTAGTGTAAACTATGATTTCCTATCAAGCCAAGATCATAAACCAATTTGATTGGGGATTATTTAAACAAAACAAACTTTAACCAGAATTAACTTGAGATATAATAATAAACCAAGGCAAAAGCTGGCTCTCCAAATGTCATGAACCTTTTTTTTGTCGTGTCAGGAGTGACTTGAGAAACTGCAAGTCGCTTCTGGTGTGAGAGAAACTGCAAGGATGTTGCCCAGGGGACGCCTGGATGTTTTGATGTTTTATCATCTTTGTGGGAGGCTTCTCTCATGTCCCCGCATGGGGAGCTGGAGCTGATAGAGGGAGCTCATTCACGCTCTCCCCGGATTCGAACCTGCGACCTGTTGGTTTTCAGTCCTACCGGCACTGCGCCACCGGGGGCTCCTATATAATTAATTGCAATGTCATCTTCCCTCACTGTTGGCTAATCTGATGGGACAGGACAGTCCAACAACATTTGGAGAGCCACAAATTGTCTGTCCCTGGCTAGATCAAAAGAGAAGCAGATGCTATGCTCTCTTGGGCCCATGATCAGGAGAAAGGGTATTGAGCCCACGACTTGGTCCTGCTGTTTCACATTACACTAGAATATGATTCAGCCCAGTGACCTAAACTGTGCAGTCTTAAAAATATGTAACATGCTCTTTTCAAGCTATATGTTTCAAGGAATTTACCATATACTGTGCATCATACTTCAGTGACTTTTGCCTATCGAAATCACCACAGTAAGAATCATAGGAAGGTTCAAAATGAGGGTTGTCAATAATTAGGAGGAGAAAATACTAGCCCAGTTATTCTTTTGTGTTGCTTTTGCACTTGTGACCACCAGAGCAAAGGACAAAACAATCCTATTAGTTTTGTACTGGAGCTATCCCGTCCCGCCCGTCCCCCCACCATTGAAAGCTATATATCTTATAACAAGAATCAGTAGATCAAGCTCTGTTCTCAGACCTACCAAACACGTTTGGCCTTTGTCCTCATTTCACCCTCCAGCTCATGAGCCATGGGACCCAATGCCCAAGCCATACCTAGGGACCAAAAAGTTTCCTTCTAATAGTCAGTCTTAGCAACTACCTATTTCATCTTAGAGTGGCCATGATTTGCCATTGATCCTCTATGCTGGAATAAGCTGCAGTGAATAAGCTGCATTTAAGTGGCCAACTTTGGGTGTGTTTCTTGTTTCGCATATATTTTAATAGTTTGAATTTGTTCATTAATATTTAAAGATGCCATATACATGATGAGCTTTCACATAATAAAACTCTTGATTTATTCTATCAACATCTGTATTAAGTTATTGCTATCATGCCTCTTAGTCAATTAAAAAAAACGAACATAGTTTTCTCTCCTTTAAAACAAAGATATAAACCAATTACAGTATAGGACTTTCTTGGACATGCATATAACCTTGTATAGTTTGTGCATCTATCACCACAACACTATGTAGGCAGTAGTATCTGGACAATACTCAAAAGTGAGGAGCTAGCTACCTTTTCTATCTACTATACATAGCCACACAGATAATTTAAATACTTTTAGCTGGTGTGATATCTTCAAGATGGACATCACATCAAGCAGAGGCCAATATACATGTGATATACATCTAGTATTACAACTTGACTTCCTGTCACTGGTTTAGCAAAACATGTAAGCATCATTTAGCTCCAAGCAGGTGAGCAGAATTTGCTAAACCTACACGGCATGCTTTGTGGAATGGAATCGAGAAGATCAGGCCCAAATTTCTATCATGATTGCTAAGAATTCCCTCTTTCATTTAAAATGAGATTAATTAACTGCGGAAGTAATTTCCTAAGAGGATTTCATATTTATGTCTAATCGGTGGGGCTTGATACAGAAGCTGAGGTATTGAGCTTGCCCATCTGATTCCATGGTCACCCTCATCCCCATACCAGGCAGAACAATAAGAAGAAGATAATACTTTCTGAAACATTGGCAGTGGACAGGAGAGCTACATGTGACTACTGGCTTTGTAGATTACCTAGTTACAGGACTATGCACACTGCACATTAGTGGGAGCCCTAATGTGCAGTGGTCTGTGCAACACACACAGAGGGCGCTCAGGGGTATGACCAACAGAGATGTGGGCTTAACGCTACTCACTAGGGTTACTAACTCCCTCAGCCAAAACCGACGTCCCTGAGAGATCCAGACCTGTACATGCTTGTGGAGCAAGGATAATGCAAACCAACATGAGGATCTTCTAGTAATTGACTCCTGTTACTAGAAGATCAAAGAAAACTGAACTTCAGAATAAGACTTCAGATCGTTTTAAATGCGTGTCTCGGGCAATAGCTTTTCAGATGGACACGACAGTTTGGCTGAAAATATGTTAAGGCTCAGAAGAGCTCTCACTTTAAAACCTGCTTTGTCCATGGAATAACCCTTAGCAGTTGGGATGTTTGGATCTAGGTTGCTTTTTGGCAAGACAGCAGATTTCCTCACAAACGAACAAATGTTTGAAATTGCCACATCACTGGTAACATTACTGTTGTACTCAAATGAGTTCCTGTGAAACACATCTATATCTAAAGGTTTTTGTACACTGAAGTCTAAAATGTGTTAGATTACAAATATTTTTGTTTCCAGTTTACAATGGTAAAAAAATAACTACACAATATGTGCAAGTGGGGAGAGAAGACAGGTACTTTAAAATAGAATAAAAAGTGGCATGTTAAAAATTGGATCACAGATTAATAAATACATACATCAAAGACACAAAGTTTTCAGCAGCTGTTTTGAAAGATCAGGGAAGCAGGGAAAACTAGCTAGTCAAACTCCAGTCTCATTTTTCTATTCTGTATCTTTCCTATACGTTTAATCCATTTAAAAAATAAAAATCTAAAAGCAGCACATAAATTAGCTGTCTTTTAGGCTCTAAAAGAACATAAATTCAAACCACATAGTCAAACTTTAGTGTAACATCCTATGTGATTCACATTAATCATGCACCCGTCAACAATGTAGGTAAAATAATTTGTAAACTCTTCAGATGAATTACTTGTAGAGAGTTGCACTGTGATTTTCCCTGCAGACTAAAGTTCTTGAGAAGGTAATCAACTCTGTTTGAGTCCAAACTCATTTTTATGTCATCAGATTCCCATCAATTTTAATACTTCTGTAAAACAAACAAAACAAAACTTGGTCACAAGTTAGTCCTCAAACCACAAAAAAGGTTTAAAAGCTGCTGTTATAATGGTACAAGTGAAGTGCTGATGTAGTTTCCATTGTAGTTTCCACCACAGTCCCTGGTCCAGGTGAAATGCAATCCAGAGATCAGACTGTGAGCGAAAACTGATCCTGTTCAATGGGCTTCTCCACCCAGGCGCCAAGACCCGCCTTCAAAAATGCTTTGAACAAACATTCTTTGGCAGTTTGATATTCCGCAGCTACTTGCTTCGTCTCATGATATATGTTTGGCTTGCTGACTTTCGAACGAAGGTTGGAGGAAAGCTGGGGGGAGGGGAGAAAGCAGGAAAAAAGAGACAGTCTTTGTTATCTATAATAATAATAATAATAATAATAATAATAATAATAATACTTTATTTATACCCCGCCACCATTTCCCCAAGGGACTCGGAGTGGCTTACATGAGGCCAAGCCCAACAACACATCAATAAAAACAAAAAAGCAATAAACCAAAACAGTAAATACAATTAATATCTATGGCAAACTTGTGATGATTTATGACATTATCCAGCTATAAAACTATTGCCAAGAAAAAAACAAGGAGTTCTTTAATTCTTATTTACTGTATCTCATCACTTGCCCAAAGCAATCCAAACCCACATTTCCCATTCCGTCGCTTACCATTTGTGTTTCTAAAATTAAACTATAACACTATGTAACACGATTTTTGTTCCTGGGTCATTTCCTAATTGGTTTTACAAGGGGCAGTAATTAAAGATTTCCCCTGACCCACTTTCTGTGGACTGAAAACAATGAAACTTGGCACAGTTATTAGTCTTTCTCTGCTTAGGTGCCAACTAGGGACACACACTTCTCCCATCTGTTAAAGCAACTGTAAGCACCTCACTTCTAGAAGTCGACAGGTTGCTCCAAAAGCTACATTGTGACTTCTGAAATCAGAGTCTCATCATCTGAAAAACGCTTGCCCTTCAAAATTAACTTTATTGTTGAAAAGAGGTGGAAATCCAATGGTGTGAGGTCGGGTGAATATGGGGGATGCGGTAGAATTTCAAAGCCACAGGAGCATGCTTCCATTTGGGCAACAGGTGAGTTGTGAACTGGTGCATTGTCTTGCAGAAGACTGACACCTTTGGTGAGCATGACATGTCTCTTGGTTTTGATGACCTCCCACAATTTCCGCAACAGTGAAGCATAGTGTGCCCCAGTGATCATGGTACCCTTTCTTGAAATCCATCAATACTACTCCATGTTGGTCCTAGAATACTGTGAGCATTACCTTGCCTGCTGAGAATTAAGCCCGTGCCTTCTTTAGAGACAGTGAGTCATGATGCTTCCATTGCTTTGACTGGACTTTAGTCTCAGGATCATAGTGATGGACCTAGCTTTCATCCTGTGTGGTCCGGTCCGTCTGTTGAAAAAGTCCTCCTGGTTTCCATGGCACATTGTCAATAGCCTGAGAACATTTGACTCGTTCTTGCTTCTGGAAAGATGTGAGTAGCCGAGGGACCCAGCAAGTGGGTACCTTATGCAGGTGAAGATGGTCTTGGATTTTTTTTTCCACAGACCCCACAATAATCTTGACATTTTGGGCTAGGTGGTGAATGGTTACGTGATTTTCCAAAATGGTGATTTTCACTTGCTGGATAGTGTGTTCATCAATAGCAGAGTGGGGTCACCCTCCAATTGGAGCTGTTTGCACTAAAGTCCGACCACAATTGAACTGACAATACCAGTTCTTGACTACATCATATGATGGGGAATCATCACCATAAACCTTTTTCATCTCATCGAACATCTCCTTTGATGTACAACCTTTCAAGTAAAGGAACTTAATGACTCGGGCCATTCCACTGGGGCCATTATCAAACCTCATACCACTTCAGCACCTGTACAATCAAGACCGTTATCAGTTCTGAGTTGTAAATTGGCATGTAACCTATAGAGACTTATATCACTACACATGTGCAGTTTCAGCGTCCTGTGATAAATAGAAGTGGGTCTGGGGAAATCTTTAATGAATGCCCGTCGTATAATAAAAACATGGAAAATATTTATTGAACAGCAAAAAACTTTGTTTTTGCAGGACATCCTGCAGCATGTTTTGCTATAGTTTTTCAATGACTAGCTTGGAGCCCCCAGTGGTGCAATGGGTTAAACCCTTGTGCTGCAGGACTGCTGACCGATAAGTCAGTGGTTTAATCCTGGGAGAGTAGATTGAGCTCCCTCTGTCAGCTCCAGCTTCCCATGCGGGGACATGAGAGAAGCCTCCCACAAGAATGGTAAAATATCAAACATCCTGGCATCCCCTGGGCAACGTCCTTGCAGACAGCCAATTCTATCACACCAGAAGCAACTTGCAGTTTTCTCAAGTCGCTCCTGACGCAAAAAGATGACTATCTTCTAGAGTCTCAACCAATTCAACATAGTTTGTGGCAGCCACAAAAACAAAGTTTCTGGAGTATAACAGTGACTTTAAAGTACGCACCGCACAATTAAACAGGAAATAATATTTTCAAATCAGGAACAGATTTTTTTTCCAAATTTTATTACATAGTGTAATGCTTTGAGGCCTGGAAAAATATATGAAAACATATACAGAATTTACCTGGACTTAAACACCAACAAAGCATCTCTTAAATTCCAGCACAGGGGACCCCAACCTAAGGCACGTGGGATAGATGCACCCCTCCAAGGACATTTATCCAACCTTCCACCCTAAACTTTAGACTTAGGGTTGCCCTAAGTCTGGAACGACTTGAAGGCACACAACAACAACAACAATACTAATTAACTTGACACATCAGCCAAAAGCAGGTCCACACCTCCCACTGAAATACTGCCAAGTTTATGTTGGTTAGAACCATTCTTCATTTTAAATAATGCATTATTCTTTCATGGGTTTTTTTTTTTGCACTACAAGTAAAATATGTGCAGTGTGCATAGGGATTTGTTCACGTTTTTTCAAACTATAGTCTGCCCCTCCAACAGTTGGCTTAAAAAGTTTGAGTCATGGCAATTAAAGTGGTGTCAAATTTCAGTATTTTTCACTGTACCATTCTATCACTCTATCTAGTTTTACTTGAATTTTGAAATCCTTATACCTTTTACTCTGGAGAAAATTGTTTGCCAACAAACGCTAGGCCCAAAAGCCCCAGTGGTTATATCTGGTGATTACAGTGCTAGTCCATCCACTTCTCAAGACATACCTTTCCATAGATGCGCATCCAGCGATTATACAGAGCTTGTTTACAAAGACGAGATGCACGACCCATCTCATCTTTGCCAGTTGTGGCATTAATAACTTCAAGGCCAGCATCTCCTACTGTCCAGTTCACACTGAAATTTGGTGCTTTACCTGGTTGGCGGGCTTCAGCATTGCTGATACCTGAAAGAAATAAATTATTACTATTTTATTCATTGACAAGCGGTCCCCTGCCACGCGTTGCTGTGGCCCAGTCTGGAGATCTGGAAAATAAAGTAACGAGAAAGTGTTGGTTTCTAATATATGTAATGTCTTTATGCTTGTGGGTAAACAGTATTTATTGCTGTTTCTTTGCCAGTGTTGATGTGGAGAGTGTCTGGTTTGCCTACTCTGGAACATGCAACATATCATTGTCCTTCTTCAGGGGTCCCTTTCAAATCTTTGATACTGCATCTGTCACATATATATATGTGTGTGTGTGAATGGCTGGATGGCCCTTTGTCAGGAGGGGTTTGGTTATGTTTTCTTGCCCTGGTGAATGGAGATGGACTGTATGGCCTAAAGGCAGCATTTCTCAACCTGGGAAGTCAAGACCCTGGGGAAGGGGTAACCGGGAGGTGTCAGAGGAGTCACCAAAGACCACCAGAAAACACAGAATTTTCTGCTGGTCATGGGGTTTCAGTGTGGGATGTTTGGCCCAATTACATCGTTGGTGGGGTTCAGAATGCTCTTTGACTGTAAGTGAACGATACATTCTAGGAACTACAACTCCCAAATGTCAAGGTCTATTTCCCCCAAACTCCATCTGTGTTCACATTTGGGCATATTGAGTATTCCTGTCAAGTTTGGTCCAGATCCATCATTGTTTGAGTCCACAGTGTTCTCTGGATTGAGGTGAACTACAATTCCTTGGGTTAGTAGGTGACTTGTGGCCAAATTTAGTGGCAATTCCTCCAGTGGATTTTGAGTTATGATGTCACTCAAAACAAACAAAGCATTTTTGTATTGTTTGCCTACTCTGGAACATGCAACATATAATTGTCCTTCTTTAGGGGTCCCTTACAAATCTATGGTATTATATCTGTCATCTGTGGTATTATATCTGTCATAAACATATGTGTGTGTGCATCATATATATTTATCTATATCTATGGCTGGATGGCTCTTTGCCAAGAGGGCTTTATTTTTTCTTGCTTGGGTGAAGGGAGTTGGACTGGATGGCCTTAAGGCAGCATTTCTCAACCTGAGGTTTGGGACCCCTGGGGGGCTTGTGAGGGGGTGTCAGAAGGGTCACCAAAGACCACCAGAAAACACAGTATTTTCTGTTGGTCATGAGTGTTCTATGTGGGAGGTTTGGCCCAATTCTATCATTGGTTCAGAATGCTCTTTGATTGTAGGTAATCCCAGTAACTACAACTCCCAAATGTTAAGGTCTATTTCCCACAAACTCAATCTGTGTTTATATTTGGGTATATTGAGTATTCCTTCCAAGTTTGGTCCAGGTCCAGATCCATCATTGTTTGAGTTCACAGTGCTCTCTAGATGTAGGTGAACTACAACTCCAAAACGCAAGGTCAATGCCCACCAAACCCTTCTAGTGTTTTCAGTTGGCCAGGGGAATCCTGTGTGCCAAGTTTGGTTCAATTCCATCGTTGGTGGAGTTCAGAATGCTCTTTGATTATAGGTGAACTATAAATCCCAGCAACTACAACTCCCAAATGACAAAATCATAAATTTTTGAGTGATGGTCACTCCTTGTGTAGTGAGATATTTTGTTGCCAAATTTGGTGTGATTTCGTTCATTTGTTCTTTCGTTTTTAAGGTACTCATTATGCACAGAGCATTTATAGATAGATAGATAGATAGATAGATAGATAGATAGATAGATAGATAGATAGGCTTTGGCCTATAAAGCCCTAAACAGCCATGGCTCAATTTACCTGTCCGAAAGCATCTCCCCTTACAAACCACCGCGAAGACAGGGGAGGCCCTGCTCTCAGTCCCTCTATTGTCACAGGCGTGTTTGGCAGGGACAAGAGAGAGGACCTTCTCAGTGATTGCCCTTTGGTTATGGAACTCCCTCCCTGGCAAGATTAGATCAGCCCCCTCCCTCCTGTCCTTCAGAAAAATGGTAAAGACCTGGCTGTGGGACCAAGCTTTTGGGACAGTGCAATAGGGCAATAATAGGAAACCCACTCCACTGACCAGAGCCAGCATGATGTTTTGAGATGGTTTTAAACAATTGATTTTAAAGTAGATGTAACTGTTTGTGCATATTTATAGTTATTTTATGTCCTGGCATGGAATGCTTGCCATTTATATGTTGTGCTCCGCCCTGAGTCCCCTTTGGAATGAGAAGGGTGGAATAGAAATGTTTCAAATAAATAAATATTTTTTTCTGCAAGAAAGAGACTCAAGGTGGTTTTTTTTTTCTTTGTCGTGTCAGGAGCGACTTGAGAAACTGCAAGTTGCTTCTGGTGTGAGAGAATTGGCCGTCTGCAAGAACGTTGCCAAGGGGACGCCTGGATGTTTTGATGTTTTGATGTTTATCATCCTTGTGGGAGGCTTCTCTCATGTCCCCGTATGAGGAGCTGGAGCTTGATAGAGGGAGCTCATCCACCTCACCCCGGATTCGAACCTATGACCTGTCGGTCTTCAGTCCTGCTAGCACAGGGGTTTAACCCACTGCGCCACCGGGGGCTCCTCAAGGTGGGTAACAACATATTAAAACAATGCAAGTGAAAAGAAATACAAAACCTGAACTATAAAGAATTAAAAACGATTAGATAATGTGCAAATTAAAACATTAAACACGTCATGTGCCCTGCTCAGACAATTATTTTACCCTGTTTACCCCGATGTCAGCCTATCAATCTGCAGTACTGTAAAAAAACATACCAGCAAAAATTCAGTTTATCTTTCATTGTAAACTTACCACTGAGTAAAGGTCTATTAAGCACATAGAGAGGTGGTAAATCTTCTATCTCTGCTATCCGCTGATACACTGCTCTGGATAGGTGGTCTCCATGGTATAAGCTCCCCAAGATAATGCTAGAGAAGTAAATTGGCTCCACAAAAAGGCTAAGTAATGCTCCTTGAATACCAAGTACATTCCACCTAAAGTAAAACAAATTCAAGGGAATTAGGTACAGAATGTCTACCAGCAAAAAGCAAAAAGATGAAATTATATAAGAGAGTAGAGCATCTCTGTCTAACCAATCTTAATAATAATATGTTGGGTTGTTGTAGGTTTTTTCGGGCTATATGGTCATGTTCTAGAGACATTCTCTCCTGACGTTTCGCCTGCATCTATGGCAAGCATCCTCAGAGGTTGTGAGGTGACCAGATGCAGGCGAAACGTCAGGAGAGAATGCCTCTAGAACATGGCCATATAGCCCAAAAAAACCTACAACAACCCAGTGATTCCGGCCATGAAAGCCTTCAACAATACAATAATATGTTGGTTTGTTAGGGGTCAAGGACGGAAGGTCAGAACTGACTTCAGAAAGCATGGATCAAATAATCAAGAAATCCAGAATTTCAAATTCATTTCAGTGTACCCTATTTGCTTCCTTTATCTCTAAAGAAAGGCTGACAGCACAATTGACAATATAATGGGAAATATAATCAGAAAGCATCAAGGTTCATCTGCAGCACTATATAACAGTCCCAAAAATATGTGAATCCCAGGACGGGTCGATGAATCTGAGATCTGATATATTCATTTCTATAGTGTGGTATAGAGTGTGGTATAGAGATTTTTTTTATCCTTCCCTTCAACAAGTTTCCAGACCGGATTACAAGGAATCAGCATGACAATAAAAGCTATTTAAAACAACAGCATGAAAGACAAACAGAATTTTTAAAAGCAGCACAGAAGCAATTGACGAAGATAAAACAAAAACAAAAACAAAGCAGCATAAAAGCAACTAGCTGAGCTAAAATCCATGTATAATAAATAATGCATTAAATCAGATTAAAAGAATTGGAAAACGAAATAGACTGAAATGTTATCAAAGTGAAACAGATAATAATAATATATAATAATAAAAATAAAACATTATTTGTACTCCGCCCCATCTCCCCAAAGGGTCTCGGGGCAGTTCACAAAAGCACTCAAGGTGCTTAAAAATAACTCAAGGTGCAAATAAAAATAAAATTACATAGCATCAACACAATACATAAATTAACTGAACACAAACAATGGACAATGGAGAGATGGAGTCAATTTTACACCCATCCTGAAACAGCTGCCCAGGCTGCCTCTTCCCTTCCAACTCCAATTCAGTGAACATGTTTAACACAGGCACAGTACTTCGGTTGTTGGACTGCATGTCACAACAGTTCTGTTCAGAATAGCAGGGCATATTTAGCTTGCAGAAGAGAAGGTTGGGAGGAGGTAAATATGTGAAAGGCTGTCACAAGGAAGAGGGAGCAGGCTAGTTTTCTACTGTCCTGGAAACTAGGACTCGGAGCAATGGGTTAAAATTACAGAAAAGGACATTCCATTAAGATGAATTTCCTGATTGTAAGAGATGTTCAGCAGAGGAACTCTTTGCCTCAGAGTGTGGTGCAAGCTCCTTTCTTGGAAGCTTTGAAACAGAAACTGGATTGTCATCTGTCAGGGATGCTTTGATTGTGCTTTTCTTGCATTGGCAGGGGGTTGGACTAAATGGCCTAAGTGGTCTCTTCCAACTCTATTATTCTATGATTCTATTATTATCTTCTTATCCCAAGAACTTTGTCCCAAAAGAAAGGCACTGGCTGCTGGAGCTGATGAACAACTGCACTGCATCCTGTCAGATCCCCAAAATCTGGAGGAAAGCAAGAGTCATCGCCATCTTGAAGCCAGGCAAAGACCGTAATGATCCAAAAAGCTATAGACCAATCTCCCTGTTGTGTCACCTCTACAAAGTCCTGGAGAGACTTACTTTGCATAGAATTATGGAAAAAATAGACCCATGTCTGATTCCACAGCAAGCTGGCTTCAGGAAAGGCAAAAGCTGCACGTCACAAGTGTTGAACCTGACTCAGCACATAGAAGATGGCTTTGAAAGGCAGCAGATCACAGGAGCTGTCTTCATAGACCTGTCAGTGGCTTATGATACTGTGAACCACCGCCTCCTCCTGAGAAAAATATATAATATCACAAAGGACTACCATCTCACCCACCTCATAGGAAACCTGCTACAAAACAGGAGCTTTTTTGTTGAGTTCCAGGGCCAGAGAAGCAGATGGTGGAAACAGAAGAACAGCCTGCCTCAGGGGAGCGTGCTTGCTCCATCCATGTTCAACATTTACACAAATGACCAGCCACTGCCAGAAGGGACAGAGAGTTTCATCTATGCTGATGATCGTGCCATTACTGCTCAAGCAGGGAGCTTTGAGATGGTTGAACAGAAGCTCTCCGAAGCTCTAGGTGCTCTTACTGCCTATTACAGGGAAAACCAGCTGATCCCTAACCCATCTAAAACACAGACATGTGCTTTTCACCTTAAGAACAGACAAGTATCCCGAGCTCTGAGGATTACCTGGGAAGGAATCCCACTGGAGCATTGCAGCACACCCAAATACCTGGGAGTCACTTTGGACTGTGCTCTGACCTACAAGAAGCACTGCCTGAATATCAAGCAAAAGTGGGCACTAGAAATAATATCATACGAAAGCTGACTGGCACAACCTGGGGATCACAACCAGACACAGTGAAGACATCTGCCCTTGCGCTATGCTACTCTGCTGCTGAGTATGCATGCCCTGTGTGAAACACATCTCACCACGCTAAAACAGTGGATGTGGCTCTTAATGAGACATGCCGCATTATCACGGGGTGTCTGCGCCCTACACCACTGGAGAAATTACATTGTTTAGCTGGTATTGCACCACTTGACATCCACCAGGAAGTAGCAGCCAATAGTGAAAGGACCAAGGCAGTGACATCTCCAGCTCATCCCCTGTTTGGATCAGCCAGCACGTCAAAGACTTAAATCAAGAAATAGTTTTCTAAGATCTACAGAGACACTCGGTGGAACACTTCAGCAAGCAAGAGTCCAAAAGTGGCAGGCTCAAAGCCAAAACCTCAATCAATGGTTGATACCAAATGAGAGACTCCCCCCTGGGCACACAGAAAACTGGGCAACTTGGAAGGTGCTGAACAGACTGCACTCTGGCACCACGAGATGCAGAGCCAATCTTAAGAAATGGGGCTACAAAGTGGAATCCACAACATGTGAGTGTGGAGAAGAGCAAACTACAGACCACCTGCTGCAATGCAACCTGAGCCCTGCTGCATGCACAATGGAGGACCTCCTTGCGGCAACACCAGAGGCACTCCAACTGGCCAGATACTGGTCAAAGGACATTTAATCAACTACCAAGCTTGCAAACTTTGTGTTTTGTCTGTCTGTTTGTTTGTTTGTTTGTTTGTTTAAAAAATGCAACAGAACTGTTTAATCTGCTCCTGACACGATAAATAAAATAAATATCCCAGATTATCTAGCATTGGAGACTCAATTAATCCAGATTAAAGCAGATAACCTGGGACCAGATCCTGGGATATAGGGCAGTATAGAAGGGGCCTCTGACCCTGAATCTAACTAATGTCTATCTATGACTAACTCTTGCAACATCTCAAATTTGCCAAATTCCCACTCTGACTAATTGTCATACTTACCTGCCTTTTAAAAATTCTTTCAAACATTCAGTTGATCACCAGTCTCTTAATATACCCAGTAACTGCAAAAAGACTTGATTTGACCGTACTACCATATGTTACATGGGGTGCAAATGCATAAGAAATCACTGCCTTGAGAACATCATCCCCACAATGAAGCACTGTGATGGCAGCATGGGGATGCTTATTCTTAGCAGTGACTGGGGCCCCTTCCACACAGCTGAATAAAATCCCACATTTTTTGCTTTGAACTGGAATATATGGCAGTGTGGACTCAGATAAGCCAGTTCAAAGCACATATTGTGGGATTTTCCGCCTTGATATTCTGGGTTATATGGCTGTGTGGAAGGTCTCTGGGACAGTGGTCTGGACTGTGAGCAAGATGGATGGAGCCAAATGCAAGGCAATTCTGAAGGAGACGCTGTTTCGGTCTGCAAGAGACATGGTGGTTTACTTTCCAGCAGGATGACCCTTAACCAGTGGTATCACACTTGTGGCCCTCCAGGCATTTTAGACTTCAACTCCCAAATTACTGACCACTGGAGAAACTGTGGTCCATCTAGAGGGCACAAGTTTGACACCTCTACCCTAAAGAAAAACCCAAATGATTTTAAAAACCAACCCTGAATGTCTTGAATGATCCTGAGTGCGTCACAAGAAATTCAATGTGCAGAATTGACAAATATGAATTTAATATGATGTGTGGGAATGAATGGAAGAATGGAAGGATGTGTGGTTGGAGTTAAAAATTTTGGAAACACCAGTATAATATTAAGACCTGCAATGACTAACAGCTGCTTTCTGGCATGTGATTAAAACCTGCTAATAAGATCTGAAGAGTAAACTCTGATAAGAATTGGGACAGTGATAACAGAAATGTTTGCAACATTCCTTATGTTAAGAAGGAAGTCAACATAAGGTCAACACCAATCAAGAAGATCAACACCTGGCCAGGAAATGGAGATGGATCCAGGATGGAAGATGTCTATCATTAATTTACAACTTTTGGACTACATCAGCAGAATATTCCTATAGTCTAATAATGCTCAAATTGTGACCGACCTGAGGAGTCTGGCTCACCCGCTATGCTCTGCTCCATGGGAAGGAAAGAGATAGCGTGCCTATGGAGAGTGGCAGATTTGCACGGGAGCAGTCTGGTCACTTTTGGGCTTCTTTCTCAAGGGAAGAGGAAGAAGTGTGCTTTTGGAGTCTTGGATTTTGTGCAGGGAGTCAGGCTGTATGGAAAACAGGGATCTGGTCCTTGGCATTGTGATTAGGGAAAGGAGTTTTGGCATTTCAGCGTTTTGAAGTTATGGCATTATGGAAATTATGGAACTGTGTATTGGCAGGCTGCAGGAAAGCAGGGTCCGGCCTAAGAGGTGCTTCTCCAAGGATGAAGAAAAGGAAATGGTAATATTTGGATGCATGTGGATGAATGCGTGTACATGTGTGTGAATGTTGAGTGAAAATGTAACTCCCCTTTGTTTTGTCGAAGGCTTTCATGGCTGGAATCACTAGGTTCTTGTAGGTTTTTTCGGGCTATAGGGCCATGTTCTAGAGGCATTTCTCCTGACGTTTCACCTGCATCTATGGCAAGCATCCTCAGAGGTAGTGAGGTCCCCTTTGTTTGTTTGTTAACCAATGTAATTGTAAATCCAATGTAGTTGCATAAGAATCTGTATGTCTGTATGTCCAATGTCATTTTTTGTCTAAATGTTTTTCTGTAATCTGATATACCCTCTCACACTGGAAATTGCAATTTAAAAAACCTATGCTTCAAAGTCATTCATGACAAGTGTCTTGAAGATTTGTCAAGAGAAATGGACAAAAATGGTAGGGTCCAGATGTGCAAAGCTGATAAAGGCTTAGCCAACACAACTTGTGTAATTGCTGCCAAAGGTGCTTCTATCAAACATTTGCTCAGGGGAGTGAATATTAATGCAGCCAAGAAATACTAGATAGTTTGGTGATTGTTTTGCACTTTCATCCTGCAATAAAAATATTTTGTCAACTATATCATGCATACTAAGTGCTAAGGATGGTAACAATGCCAACCTAGCCCATATCAGTGCCAGGATATAGGTCAACTACACATGGAGGGGAATTAAAAACATATTTTACATCTTACAAAGGGAGCATTGTTTTAGTTTCTCCCTTCCGGGAGTGAACCTCAAACCCAAGAATGTCTCTGTAAACACTTCCAAACTGAGAAAGCAGCATAGAGATTGGATTTGACATGAGATGAAACAAGTGGGATGCAGTGGTGGACAATGTGTTTGCATGCAGATTTCACATTAGTTGTATTTCCTGTTGTGGACATTAGGACTATAAATGGATACTCAGTGTTTGTTTAAAAAAAACCCCTCAGTTTTCCTAATTAAAATATGTACAATTGAAAATTTTATAAAAAGGGAAAACACAGCCAAATAAACAAACATGTAGTCAATCAACTTCCCAGGATAAAACTTTCAACAGAACTCAGTACATACATCATGAATTGTATTGCTGAATCATGTAGGATCCAGCCATGTGCAAAAGCTGTCAGTTCAGCAGAACAGAAAGAGCTTACCGGGCTATCTTATCGCTGCATGACATAGTGAGCAGTCTCTCTCCCTGCAGTACTCCATCCCAAGTCTGGATAGTTGTGGTAGATCGGACAGGGATGGTTCCTTCCCCAGATTCAATTTTCGTCCGTAGCTGCCCCCTTGCCTTCCGGTTTGGATGTCTGTCTCCCTGATCTAAGTGACAGAAGGGGCCAACATAACTGATCATAAAACAGAAAGTGACTGCTCATGTTAATGCGGTTAACTGTGCTTTCTAAGAAAGTTTAGTACTCTTTTCTGCTACTCACTGAAGACAAAGAAGGCAGCAAGTTAAACATGAGCCAACAATGTCATGTGGCGGCAAAAAAAAGCCAATGGGATTTTGGCCTGCATCAATAGGAGCATAGTGTCTAGATCTAGGGAAGCCATGCTCCCCATGCTCTATTCTGCCTTGGTTAGACCACACCTGGAATATTGTGTCCAATTCTGGGCACCACAATTCAAGAGAGATATTGACAAGCTGGAATGTGTCCAGAGCGACTAAAATGATCAAGGGTCTGGAGAACAAGCCCTATGAGGAGCGGCTTAAGGAGCTGGGCATGTTTAGCCTGAAGAAGAGAAGGCTGAGAGGAGATATGATAGCCATGTATAATATGTGAGAGGAAGTCATAGGGAGGAGGGAGCAAGCTTGTTTTCTGCTTCCCTGGAGACTAGCACACGGAACAATGGCTTCAAACTACAAGAAAGGAGATTCCACCTGAACATTAGGAAGAACTCCCTGACTGTGAGAGCTGTTCAGCAGTGGAACTCTCTGCCCCGGAGTGTGGTGGAGGCTCCTACTTTGGAAGCTTTTAAGCAGAGGCTGGATGGCCATCTGTCAGGGGTGCTTTTAATGCAATATTCCTGCTTCTTGGCAGGGGGTTGGACTGGATGGTCCGTGAGGTCTCTTCCAACTCTAGGATTCTATTATTCTAAGGCAAACAAAGGCAGCAGAAACAATACTAAGATCAGAGGCATTGAGAAATCAGGGATATATACTAAGAGTGGGAATGTACATTAAGAAATGTTATAAACATCTCATCCATGCAATATTGGCCTATTCATTTTGACTAACCCTGTACATTAAGAAATGTTATAAACATCTCATCCATGCAAATTCACAATCAAGACTTTCTTCACTAACATTTTCTTCATGCATTCCATAATTCCTGTAAGGGACCAACTCTGCACTTTAAAATTTTCTAAAGCAGCTTACAAGCAAAGATGGAGCAGTAAGGTAGAAATTGCATGTACCTAGTGTACAACACATTGCCACAGATTATGATCTGCATAAGCACAATACATTTGTTTCTACATAGTTTTTATCATGTATGAAATGGCCGTAAATGGTATCTATCTTTTTCTAAAGCAGTGTTTCTCGAACTGTGCTCCACCTGAATGTTTTGGACTTCAGTTCCCAGAAATCCCAGCCAGTTTACCAGCTGTTGCCCCCTGGTGGCACAGTGGGTTAAACCACTGAGCTGCTGAACTTGCTGTCCAAAAGGTCAACGGTTCAAATCCGGGGAGCGGGGTGAGCTCTCGCTGTTAGCCCCAGCTTCTGCCAACCTAGCACTTTGAAAACATACAAATATGAGTAGAATCATAGAGTTGGAAGAGATCCCTGACAGATGGCCATCCAGCCTCTGTTTAAAAGCTTCCAAAGAAGGAGCCTCCACCACACTCCAGGGCAGAGAGTTCCAGCGGTAAATCAATAAGTACTGCTCCGGTGGGAAAGTAATGGTGTTCCATACAGTCATTCCAGCCACGACCTTGGAGGCATTGACGGACAACACTGGCTCTACAGCTTAGAAATGGAGACGTGCACCACCCCCCAGAGTCAGACATGACTGGATTTAATGTCAGAGGAAACTTTACCTTAACAGCTGTTAGGCATTGTGGGAGCTGACATCCATAACATCTGAGGAGCACAATTTCAGAAACTCTCAAACTCTCATGATGGAATTTAAATGTTTTTTAAGAAAAGAAAAATGAGATTTGTATGAACTACTCAAGTCGCCAGTGTTGTTTTTATATCTCAAACATCTTTACTGGCAAGGACATTGGCTCTTACCTTCTTGGGCTGCTTCGTGGGGTGAAAAAATCCGAGCATCGCCACAAGGAGAGGTGCTGATGTAGAGATGAAACTGGACATTTTCTTTCAATTTAAAACCACCTTGTTCTGACCTGATAAAAATAGATTTTTGTTGCTCTTCCTTATTACTGGAACAAAGAGAGAAATATTTGAGAATGAGCTCTTTTGAAAAGAATAAAACCCCACATAACCAACAATTATTTGAGCGGATTTAGATGCTGGGCCACAATAGTATGCCTGCTACAATAAATTAAAAGATATATTGAATTTAGAGGCTTAATGATCATTCCGTCCTCCACATAATTGCATTTTTCCCCTGCAGAGTCTTTTTTTTTTAAAAAAAGTAATTCTATATACAGTACAGGCAAAGAAGACTCCCCTCACACACAAAAAAGCCAAAAAAGAAAAGAAAAGAGATGGGAGTTAAATGAATACACAAAATAGTATAAGACAGCAATGTAATGACATTTACATTTTCAATAGAAGAACGTACAATCTCACAATCTCAAATGCTCACTTTAAAAAACCCACAGAATCTAAAGACATTTTCAGATTCAGTAAAATGTAGAATATGTCAGGAAGCTTTAAAGATCCAGCTTTATGAATTAAGGAATGGAATTTGAATACGGTTTTAATCCCTGTTTTAAAACTGCAACCTGTTATTATTGTCCTCTTGTGATTTGATTTATTGCTGAATGTTCTATTTTACTTGTTTGGAATAGTTTAGTCTATCTTGTATTTTAAGGCATTGAATGGTTGTCTTTTATGTCGTGAACTGCCCTGAGCCCCCATGGGGAGATAGGGCGGGATAGAAATAAAGTTTTACTTACTTATTTACTAGAAAATGAAGCTCCTTATTTAAAATTTGATGCATGTGGGAACTATCTGAAATTGTTCACTGCTAACAAACTATGTCTACTATCACAATATTATTAACTCATGATATGTTGTAGTATAGTCTCCTGGTAACGCTATAACTGATAATAGGAGTAGTAGAGGAGGGAAGAGAGGTGCCCAGAGTTTGGACGAGGAGCAACAAAGAAATTAGGGAAATATTCATGTCACCTACAGACAAATATTCTTTTGAGGGTTTTTCGGAAAGTAAAATGGAGGAGGGAGATGGGAGTAGGGGTGCAAAAAGGACTACTTGCGAGCAAGAGTCAGACGAGGAGTATCAGAGGAAACGGATCCGTGACATACTTACTGCTCCTACTGAAGAAGAGGATTTTATGGGCTCTACAGGAAGTAATGAGTCTGGGAGTAGTGACGAGGAGGAGAATGGGTTGGATTGGACTCATGTGCAAGAAGTCAGAGATATGTGTACACAACCTATGTCCAGTGATACCTTTGAATCTGGGGATTGGCAATCTGGTGATACATGGGGAGACCTAAGTCTTGATAAATTCTGAGAGTGTCTTGGACTGCGAGAAGATCCAACCAGTCCATCCTCCAGGAAATAAAGCCCGACTGCTCATTGGAGGGAAGGATACTAGAGACAAAGTTGAACTACTTTGGCCACATCATGAGGAGACAGCAAAGCCTAGAGAAGACAATTATGCTGGGGAAAGTGGAATGCAAATATTTTTACCTTCAAGATTTAGGAAGGTCTTAACTAGTGTTTCCAGTTTGAACAAAACTATTATTTTTATGTTTCCCCCAGCCCAGTAGAGGAATTGAACCCCTTGCCCTATTGGTGGGTTTCATGTGGGAACCTCATGAAAGGAAATAGATGTGCACTTTTAGGTAAACATGCAGGCTTAAATAAGGAGCAGGGAACCTCAGGACTTGGGGCCGATCTCTCAAAGATCTGGCTCCAGCTCTTTGGGGTTTTCCAAATGGTCACACCTCCTGTTTTCCAGCTTCTATATGGAGACATTCCCCATTCTAATAGTTCGAAATGCCACTCCTATAATATGGCCTTTGGATGCCCACCCTCTGGCCAATTTTTTTAAAACAAAATCTAGCTCTCCATCCACTCCACTCAAGATTTTTGGTATCTATATATGAATTTAAAATTAAACTTGGTAAGTTTCCTTTTTATTACCAGTACCATTCTGGCAGAAAGGGTCCTCAAAACAAAATAAAACACCTTTCTCAAGCTTTGGTTCTAACATGCACTTCAATCATATGCTTCTAGTAGTCCACTCAATTTTAGGTAAACAGACTTGTCCCATACTATGAACCCTAGGAAAATAATGGAAGATTACCCCAATGTACGTGAATGCAGTGACAGCCTTTGTAAAAGTACCAACTTTTTTTTCTTCTGTGAGCCGTGAAGACAATATATATATATGACAATATTGCCAGTTTTTCCATGGGTTTAATTTGTTTGTTAATTCTGCTATCTTTTGTTTGTTTCAATGGTTTCATTTTTCTTTCTTGTATTTTGTGTTATTGCTGTAAAGCACTTTGAGGGCACTTACGGAGGAGATGCTCAAAGGCAGTATGTAAATGTGTTTACAAATAAACATTTCAATTCAAAAAAGATAAGAAAAAGCTCTAACACAGTTACTTTTTTCTACCCTTTCAGGTGCCAAATCAAAGTGCGACGGCAAAGGAATTATGCCAGTAGCATGGAACTCACATTTTGGTTTGCTGCATCAGCAGAGCACCCAATTGTCAAGTCACTAACCTGTGATTCTAAAGACAACTGTGGTCGATGAACCTTGCTTCTGTGCAAAACACCTGGGTTTGAAAAAGCGTACCTTAAGAGCAGTTCAAGTTGTGTGTAGAGAAATTTAAGGAGGCATCTCCGAGCTATAATTTCTGCATGGCAATCATTCAGCGCAAGGCCACGATCACTCATATATTCTCCGTTTATACATTTGGTTCCTGTAGAAACACTTATAACCTGAGCATCTTTCACATCAGTGCCTAGAAAATAAATTTCAGGACAAAAAGCCAATAAATATTTTTTCCAGAGGACTGACTTCCTGAAATACAAATGTTATGTCATGATTTCAGTACATTTTATGCATAATTTTATTATTATTATTATTATTATTATTAATGTCATTTTGATAATGTTGTTGTTGCCTGTTGTATATACTTTGATTTTATTGTGTGACTTAGGGCCTTTTACTCTAGCACTTAAGACCTGGCTTTTTACTAGAGCATTCAATCTCTGTTAATTTTTAATTTCTGTATGTATGTATTTTAGCTGTAAATCGCCTAGAGCATTCTCGGATGGAAGGTGATTAATAAGTAATTAAAGATGATGATGATGATGATGATGATGATGATGATGATGATGATTGCTGTATTATGTTGTCCGGGCTTGGCCCCATGTAAGCCGCTCCGAGTCCCCATCGGGGAGATGGTGGCGGGGTAGAAATAAAGTATTATTATTATTATTATTATTATGTAATTTAAAGTATTGGTTGTGATCCCAAATGATCTGGAGAGAGGAGAGATTTTTAGAGACTGCTCATTCCTTCTCATGGGATGCGAGATTGGCTCTTCTCTTTCATCTCTTTCCACTGGCAGGCAAATATATTTTTATTTCAACAGGTCTTCAATTTTTAACTGAGCTTGGCAATAAGGCTTTAAATGTATTAATAGAATTTTTCATTCTTTGGACATGTTAAATTTATGTTTTGATTTTATGTCGTAAGGTGCCTTGGATCCCATATTGAAAGAAAGGCAGGATGACAAATAAACAAACCAATAAATAAATCTAAGGGGGAAAACAGTTGTTAATTAGTGGGTTGTTGTAGGTTTTTCAGGTTGTATGGCCATGTTCTAGAAGCATTCTCTCCTGACGTTTCGCCTGCCTCTGTGGCAAGCATCCTCAGAGCTTTCGACAATACAGTTGTTAATTATATACAGGTATTTCACTATGCCCCCAACTACACTGCCATATAAACTATGGTTGCTTACCTGTAACCGTGGTTCTCTGAGTGGTCATCCGTGGAATGCACACAAATGGTAGTCTGATGCACGTGTGCAGCAACCCCGGAATCTGTATAAAGAATAACATCAATCAGTAGCCCCACCCCCTCCCCATGAGGTACTGAGACCACGTGGTGCTACTGCTCAGTTCCCCGCCGAAGCAGCAGCAGGAGAAAGGCAGGACCACGCGGGGAGGAAGGGTGGGTAGGTGTGGATTCCACGGATGACCACTCAGAGAACCACGGTAACAGGTAAGCAACCATAGTTTCGTCTTCGTGGTATCCGTGGAATGCACACAAATGGTAGAGTCGCAAGCTACTCACAGTGGAGGTGGGCGTCATGAGAGTGCCGAAGAGAGGACCGCCCTGCCAAAGGCCGCCTGGCGCCAGGAGAGGAGGTCGACTTTGTAATGGGTGACAAAAGTCAGGGGCGTAGACCAGGTAGCCGCCCTACAGATGTCCTCAAGGGGAATACCCCGAGAGAAAGCCGTCGACGTGGAGACCGCCCGAGTGGAGTGGGCCTTGATACCCCGGGGCGGGTCTTCGCCCGCGAGCTGGTAGGCCAGGCGGATGGCCGAGAGGACCCACTTGGAAAGGCGTTGAGGAGAAACCGGCAGGCCAGCGGTGTCCTGGCGGTATTGGAGGAAGAGGCGAGGAGACTTCCGGAGAGGCTTGGTGCGATCGAGATAGAAAAGGAGCGCCCGGCGAACGTCAAGGAGGTGGAGAGTACGTTCGAGGGCGGTGGAGGGGTTCTGGAAGAACCCCGGGAGGACAATATCCTGGGCGGAGTGAAAAAGAGAGGAAACCTTTGGGAGGAACGAGATGTTGGTGCGGAGAACAATTTTGTTCTTGTGGATCCGGACGTAGGGCTCGTCGGCACGGAGGGCGCAGAGCTCAGACGCGCGGCGCGCGGTCATCACGGCCACGAGGAAAGAGGTCTTCCACGAAAGATGGGAGAGCGTGGCCGCGTGGAGCGGCTCGAACGGCGGTTTGGTGAGAGCAGAAAGGACCAGTTGTAGACGCCATGGAGGAGGAGGGAGGACGCGGGGCGGGAAAGCATTGCGGTAGCCCTGGAGGAAGACCTGGACCATGGGGTCCAGAAAACAAGATGGGAGACCTCGGAGCTTCCTGTACGTGGAGATCGCTGACAGGTAACACTTGACAGACGAGAAGGCAAGGCCACGGTGAGCCAAAGAGGCGAGGAAGTCCAAGAGAAGCAGCGTGGGGGCGGAGAGCGGATCGGAACCCCGCTCCCGCGTAAAGTGAGAGAACTTGGCCCACTTGTGGTCGTAAGAGCGCTTGGTGGACGGCCGATGCGCGGCGGCAAGGATGTCTAGGACGGCCGAAGAGAACGGCCAGGGTGGAGGCGCCACGCCGTCAGATGAAGCCACTGGAATCTGGATGGCGGAGGGTCCGGCAGTGGCAGGTGAGAAGGTCCGGGCGGAGAGGCAGGGGAAGGCGGTGGGGGCCCGCCATTGCCGCGAGGAGAGGAAACCACGGCTGCCGGGGCCAATAAGGGGCTATGACAATGGCATCGGAGTGGTCGTGGTAGAGCTTGGCCACAGCCTTGGCGAGGAGCGGGATCGGAGGAAAGGCGTAGAGGAGGGGTCCCGCCCACCAAAAGAGGAAGGCGTCGCCCAGGCAGCCCACCAGGGTCGGCCGCACAGCCCAAGCGCAGAACATCGGGCACTTGGTCCGGGGCAGCGAAGAGGTCGATCGCCGGAGTGCCCCAGCGATGGAAAAGGGCGGCAGTGACTTCGAGGTGAAGGGACCACTCGTGGGCGGGCGTGAGAGACCTGCTGAGGAGGTCGGCCAGCTCGTTGGTCCGTCCCAGGACATGGACCGCCAGGAGACGGATGTCGTGGTCGACGCACCAGTCCCACAGGGAGATGGTCAGCCGAAGAAGGGAACGGGAGCGGGTGCCCCCTTGTTTGTTGACGTACCAGACAACGGTGGTGTTGTCGGTACAGACTCGGACGGTGCGACCATGAAAGAGGTCCCGGAAGGCCTGAAGGGCCTTGAAGAGCGCCACCATCTCGAGGAGATTGATGTGGCAGAGCCGCTCCGAAGGCGACCAGAGGCCTTGGACAGAGTGCCGGCCCGAGTGGGCTCCCCAGCCGAGCAGGGAGGCATCCGTCGTGAGCGTGCAGGAGGGGTCGGCGGGGCGGAATGGCATCCCGGTACAGACGTGATCCCGTTGAAGCCACCAGGAAAGGGAGGAACGAACAGCGGGTGGAAGGACGAGCGGAAGGTCCGGGTGGTCGCGTCGAGGCCGGAACGCCCGAAGAAACCAGGCCTGGAGGGGCCGCATCCGGAGGCGTGCTAGTGGCGTGACTGCTGTGGTGGAGGCCATGTGCCCCAGGATGGACTGGACGTCCCTGGCGACGCCGGGCCTGGAGGAGAGAAGACCGCTGTCTGAAAGCGGCCCTCGGGTAGGAACGCCCTCTGGGCCACAGAGTCGAGGATCGCGCCAATAAACTGGATGCGGGTCGTCGGCTGAAGGCTGGACTTGGAGTGGTTGACCACTAGGCCGAGGTCCTGCAGAAGCGAAAGGGTAAAATGGATGTCACGAAGGAGGAGGCGACGGGAGGGAGAGAGGAGCAGCCAGTCGTCAATATACGGGAAGACCGTGACGCCCTGGGTGCGGAGGTAGGCGGCTACCGCAGCCATGCATTTCGTGAACACCCTGGGCGCGGTCGCGATCCCAAAGGGGAGCACCCGAAAACAAAAAGCCTGATCGCCAATCAGGAAGGCAAGGAACCTATGGTGCGCCTGGGTGATGGTGATATGAAAATAGGCATCCCGGAGGTCCAGGGTCGCGAACCAGGCACCCGGAGGGATGAGCGGGAGGATGGTTGGAAGCGTCACCATCCGAAACGTGGGAGACCAAACGTGCTCATTAAGGGCCCTGAGGTCCATTATGGGCCGGAGGCCCCCTCCTTTTTTGGCAACCAAAAAGTAACGTGAAAAAAAGGCATGAGAAAACAAATTAGGGTGCAAGGGGACAATCGCCCCTTTAGAAAGCAAGGAGCGGACCTCATCCCACAATGCCTCCGACGGAGGGGTGGTCCGAAGGGCGCCGGTGCGCGGCCGGGTGTGGAAGTCAATGGCATAGCCATGGCGGACCACACTCAAAACCCACCTATCGGTGGTTATCGATTGCCAGGCGGGGAAAAACTCAGCCAAACGGGAACCAAAACGAAAATGCACCCCAGGGAGAAGCTGCCGCTTCTCAAGGGAAGAAAGGGAAACTGAAAACGATGAGGCAACACCGTGCCGTGGAGAGAACCCACGCGGGGTGGGGAGCGGCAACGGAGACACGGAGAAAGGAGAGGCAGCGCTAAAAGCGACGCCTCGGCTTGGCCTGATAGTGGGGCTTACCCTGTTGCCTCGGCCTCCCCTGCTGGGGTTGTCTGGAGGGCTGAGGCGTGGAGGCCTGCGGGAACGGCCTGTAGCCCGTCGGGTAGGACGCAGAGTAGGGCCGGCGAGGGTACGTTGCCGACGGAGCGGGTCCGCGGTCAGAGGAGCAAAAGGGCCGTTGAGCCAGGTAGCCAAACTTGTGGGCGGACTGGCGGACCTCCTGCTTGCTCTTAAGTTGTGTATCCGTGTCCGGATTAAAAAGCCCCGCGTCGTGGGGAGGAAGATGCTCAGCGAGCGACTTCCCCTCATCTGACAGGGCGAAGGCGCGGAGCCAGGCATGGCGAACAATGGACGTCGAGACCGCCAGGAGTCGGCCGGCGGAGTCGGCTGTGTGCTTGGCCAAGTCCTTCTGGGCGCGGGAGAGAAGAAGAGTCTCCTGGTGCACAGCCACAGCGAAAGGCCGGTGTTGGTCAGGAAGATATTGGAGGTAGGTGGCCATCCTAGCCCACAGGTAGGTCTGGTAGGAGGCCATGTAGGCCTGGTAATGGGCAAGACGCGTAGCGAACGAAGCGGCGGTGTGAACCTTCTTGCCCATAGCGTCAACTTTCCTACCCTCCCTATCTGACGGTGCGGTCTGAGGCTTAAACTTCTTCCCCCCTGCCATATCGGTAACAACGGTATTGGGGGCCGGAGGCTTCGCGACCCAGGGGGCGGCGGAGAGGTCGATCTTGTAGAGAAGGTCATTGCGGCGAGACACGGGCGACACAAGGGAAGGAGAGGAGTCAGGCGGCTTCGCCAACTGGAGTAAGTATGGAATAGAAGGAAGAACAGTGGAAGGCATGGGGGCCTGTTGTTGCTCATCCGAAGGGAAGAGAAAGTCCTCCACTGGTTGTTGCGGGGACGGCATGGGTACCTTCAGCGCCCTAGACAAGCAAATAAGCATCGCGGAGAACCCCGCCGCATCAGGAGGCCGAGGGGGTTGAGATTGGTCGTCCTCATCAACCCCGACCCCGGAGCGGGATGAGTGAGACCCAGAATGGGAGGAGAGGTCCGGGTCGGGCGGAGTAGCGCGCGGCCCTTGAGGCGTCATGGAAGCCTGCGCATGGAGGGGAGGAGGCGGGGCCGGAGACCGGAGTTGGTGCTCAGGCACCAGCACGGGGCCAAACACATAGGCCCTGCCCCCAGGAGAGCGGTGAATAAACTGGTCCCGTGAAGCCACGTGGGCAGGAGTGCCAGTCCAGGTAATAAAGCTCCCCGAGGCCCGCACCGAAGGAGGGGGAGAGGTAAAGGCAGGGGGATCCAAGGGGGAAAAGCCCCGGGCCCGGAGCGGGGAGAGGAAGGCTGGGGACACAGGCTGCTCACGCGTGGCATGGCCCTCCGAGGCCGGTGGGGACCGAGAGCGGCCCGAGACTGCGCGGTCCCGTGGCGTCCGGCTCGGGGCGGTGGCGGTCAGGACCGAGCGGAGGCCCGGCCTCCAAGGAGGCAGATGGGAGCAGGGGCACTAGGCCCGAAGGGAGGCTCCAATGGCGGGCGGCCGCCCCCGCGTCGGGGGGGCAAGGCACGCCCATGTCGCAGCCCGGGGTCGGCGGCGCCGGGCCCGGCGCGTCCATGGGCCGTTGCGCCGGCGTGGGCGGCTCCGAAGATCGAGGCGGCCGGTCCTGGAGAGGCGCCTGGGGAGGCGTGGCCGATGGCCGTGCCTCCTTTTTCTTCTTTTTCTTGGGCTTCGCAGCCCCAGCATCCCGATCGTGGGAGTGGGGACGCTTGGCGGGCGGAGCCCTGGAGGAGGAAGGCACCGGGGTGGGCGGAGCTTGCATCGAGGGAAGAGCCGAAGAGGAAGGAGCAGGAGAAGGAGACGGGGCCTGAAGCGACTGGGGGAAGAGGGCTCTCTCGTAAAGGAGAGCCTTCAGGCGCGTCTCCCTGCGCTTGCGGGCCTGGGGAGTCAGAGACTTACAGGCAGCGCAGGAGGAGACGACTTGAGCTTCCCCCAGGCAGAGAAGGCACCTGTCGTGCCCATCCGTCTCCGGAAGAGTGCTCCCGCACACGGAGCACTTCTTAAAGCCTGAAGGCATCAGGCAAGCAGGTAAGGAGCAGGAGAGAGATCCAGGAGGTGCTGCTGCGAGCGCGGAAAAAAGGGGAACTGAGCAGTAGCACCACCTGGTCTCAGTACCTCATGGGGAGGGGGTGGGGCTACTGATTGATGTTATTCTTTATACAGATTCCGGGGTTGCTGCACACGTGCATCAGACTACCATTTGTGTGCATTCCACGGATACCACGAAGACGAATCCAGTTTCAAAGCAGATAATCTGGATTCAGAAACTGGATAATATGGAAGTGTAGATCCAGACTATATTAAACAAAGGTAAACTACACATTAAAGGATATTTCACATACTTACAAGCAACAACACACCATGTCAGCATGGGTGAACATTGGTTTTTACCTGTTGTCATGACAACTCCAGCTAATACTTTTCTACGAGCATGGGGTGATGTAAAGTTATCCGTCAAACTGCTGAATTTATCTACCACCAAGCGTGCAACAGCATCGGCTAAAACCTGCAAAAAACACAAAAATACATTGAATGTTTGAACAGACCTTTCAGTATTGAGCATAAAGATTTAGCTTTGAAACTACCTCTTTAAAAATTGATAATGAATTTTTAAACCAGTATAATACACCTGCCACAACTAATCAATACTACTGTCTTTAAGCTCCACTAATTTAGAATGTTAAACAGTGTGAAGCCCCATGCTTTAGGGCTTCTGTCATATCACCTTTGTTTTTGTGGCAGAACTTAGTACCCAGCACGGAACCAACTATCTGAAATGTCAGCAACTCACATAACATTCAATTTTTAATTAGGTTCTTTATGACAAAGATCCAATGAAAAGATATTACTATGGAGAACGAACATCATTGAACTGAAAAGCAAAATCAAAGGGTAAACATTTAATTGATTTCGGACTAGAGGGTAGCAAAAAGTAGTGTTCCACAGAGGTCAGTCCAAGATCCTTTTATTAGTGACTGAGACAGAATGAAGATAAATGAACAAATCTGTAAACCAGAGCTTTCCAAACGCAATGTTAGTATGTCAGATGCAATGTGCAGATGTGTTGAGCGAACATAATGAGAAACCTCTGAAACTATGCGAAATAAGCAATCAATCATATATTTTAAAAATATAAATGATGGGTTTTCATGAGATATGTTGTGTCCTCCTAAATTACATTATTACAATTTGTGTTGTATTTATTATAAGTGGTTGGTTTAATCTCCGGTTTCCAGTTACACAAAATGATGCATGTCTAAAAAAATGTGTCACCAACATGACATGTTTGGAAAGCCCTGTTGTAGAGAATGTCCAATGTTGAGGAACTGCAAATGCTTAGGTAGATTTATTTATCGTGTCATCAGAAACCATTGTATTACAATTCTAACAGAGCAAAACAAACACACAGATTAAAAAGAAAAAGAAAAAAAACACACAGATTTTGCAAATTTGGTAGTTGGTTAAATGTCCTTTGACCAGTATCTGGCCACTTGGAGTGCCTCTGGTGTTGCCGCAAGAAGGTCCTCCATTGTGCATGTGGCAGGGCTCAGGGTGCATTGCAGCAGGTGGTCAGTGGTTTGTTCTTCTCCGCACTTGCATGCCGAGGATTCCACCCTGTAGCCCCATTTCTTAAGATTGGCTCTGCATCTCGTGGTGCCAGAGCGCAGTCTGTTCAGCGCCTTCCAAGTCGCCCAGTCTTCTGTGTGCCCAGGGGGGAGTCTCTCATCTGGTATCAGCCATTGGTTGAGGTTCTGGGTTTGAGCCTGCCACTTTTGGACTCTCGCTTGCTGAGGTGTTCCAGCGAGTGTCTCTGTAGATCTTAGAAAACTATGTCTGGATGTAAGTCGTTGACGTGCTGGCTGATACCCAAACAGGGGATGAGCTGGAGATGTCTCTGCCTTGGTCCTTTCACTATTGGCTGCTACTTCCCGGCGGATGTCAGGTGGTGCAATACCGGCTAAGCAGTGTAATTTCTCCAGTGGTGTGGGGCGCAGACATCCTGTGATAATGCAGCATGTCTCATTAAGAGCCACATCCACTATTTTAAGGTGGTGAGATATGTTCCACTCTAAACATGCATATTCAGCTTCAGAGTAGCAAAGTGCAAGGGCAGATGTCTTCACTGTGTAGATAAAATCAAATTGCACACACACCTATCTACACTGACCACTTTGGTTGGTTTGAGAGAAATCAGTTCCCCTGTGAGGATGATTATTCTGATATGTCTGGGACTGTTTTGAGGATAGGAAGGTGATTACATTAACCATTTATTTTTTTTGTCGTGTCAGGAGCGACCTGAGAAATTGCAAGTCGCTTCTGGTGTGAGAGAATTGGCTGTCTACAACGACGTTGCCCAGGGGACGCCCAGATGATTTGATGTTTTATCTTCCTTGTGGGAGGCTTCTCTCATGTAAGCATAGGGAGCTGATAGAGGGAGCTCATCCGCCTCTCCCCGGATTCGAACCTGCAACCTGTCGATCTTGAGTCCTGCCAGCACAGGGGTTTAACCCACTGCGCCACCGGGGGCTCCTATACATTAACCATGGAAGATGGCCTCAAACTGGGTCCAGAATCTGCAGTATTTGCAGCATCAGAATGTGGAGGTTTTTTTCTCTTTCCACATTAGCACTCTGGAGGCATATGAGGCATGAAAAAGGAGGAAAGTGATAGTTAGCCATAGAGATAATCAATTACATGTCCCGGGGGGGGGGGGGGGGGGGGGGGGAGAGATCAATTACCCTCCTGATGCCCTTTTAACTTGAAAATGTGCTTCAGTGCAGGCAGGTGTCCATAAAGTGCTTTGCGTTCTGCAGAGCCGTTTTCTCCATGTGTTTTAGTTTAGATCTGCTGCTCTCTGAAGTGCATTAACGGGTTCAACTTGGACTTTTCCCCACCTTTGCTTGATGTGCTTTATTGGCCTTGTTTTGTGTTGCAGCGTGCTTTGATGTCACACGTTTTGTAACTACTGCATTTTGAAGCCAGCCTGAAACCAGATTATATGGTCAGTGTAGATGTGCCCTAGGACAGACTTACTGAATCAACTGTCAGAGTACGTTTATTTTAACCCCCCCACTCCCCTTTTCAATGGATCCATTCTAGTGAGGAGTAGAAATAAGCAAAAATTAAAAATTAAAATAATCTCAATAAACAGGGGAGCTGATAAGTGACAGATATGTTAAAACCACCTTTCAGTCAGATGTTAAAACCACCTTTTCCACTTTCGTTGGGATTCAATGTTTCCTTTTAAGCTCCTTTGTATTTATATTTGAATTATTGTATGTTTAGTTTTAAGCTTTTTATTGTACTTCTGTTTGAATTACTTCTAAGCTTGTTGTTGTATTTATATTCAAATTATTATCTCATGTTTTATTATTGTATGTTTAAATTGATATGTTAATTGTTCAAATTCATATGTTATGTTTATTATTATATGTGTAATGCGGCATTGTATGCCATGGATTGTAAGCCACCCTGAGTCCCCCACTGGGGTGAGAAGGGTGGGGTATAAATGTAGTATAATAATAATAATAATAATAATAATAAACTCAAATTGCTCCGCAAAGCCCTTTGGACTCCACAAAGCAAGGCACTGCAGACTACTTCAACCAGAGAAGTCAGCCATAGCAACCTGAACCAACCTGGACGCAGCATTTTATTTGAGAACACAGAAATGCCATTTTAGCACCAAATAAAAGAATTACATTACAATAATAGCACTCAATAATAGCACTCAATAAATCAAAGACTCTCACAACCACTATGTCAGACTACACAGAGAAGCCATCGAAATCCACAAGTATGTGGACAATTTCAGCAGAAAGGAGGAAACCATGAAAATGAACAAAATCTGGCTACCAGTATTAAAAAAAACTCTAAAATTACAACAGCAAAACAACAGAGAGGAAACAATCTGGGACATCTAATCACCTCTCAACAAAAGATTGCCCCAGGCACTGCCAGGCCATCAAATGCTAATCAAGGTGGTCAGTTGAAACATTCACACCTAGCTCCAGCAGACAAGAGTCCTTTGTCCCACCCTGGTCATTCCACAGATATATAAACCCTTTTTCCTAGTTACAACAGACCTCACTACCTCTGAGGATGCTAAAATAATAATAATAATAATAATAATAATAATAATAATAATAATAATAATAATCTTCATTTATACCCCGCCACCATCTCCCCAACAGGGACTCGAGGCGGCTTCCATGAGGCCAAGCCCGGACAACATATTACAGCAATAAAATCAAAGCATATACATCAGACAACAACAACATTATCAAAATGACATTAAAATAATAATTAAAAAGTAATAATAAAATAAAAATAAAATAAAATAAAAATTCCAATAGACACAATCTATGCTTGCCATAGATGCAGGTGAAACGTCAGGAGAGAATGCCTCTAGAACATGGCCATATAGCCCAAAAAACCCTACAACAACCCTGTGATTCTGGCCACGAAAGCCCCTCGACAATACAATACAATTTTAGCACCAAATAAAAGAATTACATTACAATAATAGCACTCAATAATAGCACTCAATAAATCAAAGATTATTAGGAAGTGAGGGGAAGTCTATGAGGAGGAGAATCAATGTACTTCACTGGGAAGGGAATTACAAAGGGGTCAGATTGCCTTATTAAAAGCCTGTTCTTAATACTCATCAGCCTGTTAACAGATTTTACTCTGGATCTAGAGAGCTGGGTGTTTTAAAAAGCTGTTTTATAAGGTTGGTTTGCTGTTTTGCAAACAAAAATAGGAAGAGAGTTCTGTACATCTCAAGATGTGAGGCAGAAGGAAAAACTCACTAAATTCAATGAGATTCACTCTCAACTAAGTATATGGCAGATTGCCGTCAACATCCAAGCCCCAGCATTATTACTGACAACATGTAAATGCCCAGAATACATTTGCTGGGCCTCTGCTGTTATTGGCTGCATGATGTTCTTTAGCAGGACCTACGTCAAAGGCATGAGGCTTCTGGCTCCATCCAGCTGCAATTACACAGCTGGGGGAAAGGAGCAGCTGTTGCCATTCCTTTGGAGAAAGCAGATTAGCTCTTCATAGAATCGTAGAGTTGAAAGAGATCACAAGGACCATCTAGCCCAGGCCCTCACAACCTATGGCCTTCCAGTGTATATTCAGTCTAAGGTCCCTTCTACACTGCCATATAATTTCTGATCCCAGATTATCTGCCCAGATGGGATATATCCGAATCCTGAATTCGCTGCAAGGTAAAAGAGATGAAAGGCCCCATTTCATTCTGTAGACTTGGGGGAGGAAGATGGAGTGTGTGGAAAGGTTGGGGGATTATGAAGAGCTCCTGAATTTCTCCAGCAAAGGATCACCGCCTTGTCGGGGCGCTGGAGCTTGAGCACCTCAATGATGTCATGAGCGAAACCGTGAAGGGCCACCCAAGACGGGACGGTTGTGGCAGAGAGGTCAGACCAAGCGTGATCCCTGGGGAAGGCAATGGCAAACCACTCCAGTATCCTTGCC